TGTTTCATTCCATTATCTAAAAAAATACACTTGACAATTAAAACATTAATTCAATTTAAGATGAAAAAATATAACGAAATAAAATCCATAGCGGTTCTTTATCAAGTTCTTCATATAAAAATTGAATTTCCGCATATATTTTCAACGGACATTCATCATAGAACTTTTACATGTCAAAGTGGGCATCAAAGTCGTGCAACGCGTGACAAAGTGGCTAGTATAGATGGAAAGAGTAAACTATACGTAGCCACACGCTTAATAATTTTTATGTGTTTTTTAAATGGAAAAGGTACGAATTAACCCCCCTCCCCAACTATCGCAGTCATTTGAATTACCCCCCTGAACCATAAAACCGGATATTCTTCACCCCGAACTATGTAAACCGGACGAATTACCCCCCTGATCCAATCCGCGGTGGTTTTGGTCTACATGGCAGTCCACTCAGCAATTTATTTATTAGAAATTATGTGAGCCCCACCTGTCAGTTTCTCGCTCTCTCTCTCTCTCTTTCTCTCTTCTCCTTTAGACGGCGGCGGCGGAGGAGGAGGCGAGGGGGTGGAGAGGCGAGCGCGGCGGCGGCATCACGATGCTCCAGCGCATCGGCGCCCGCATGGCGACGGCCTGTCTCGCCATGTTCGTGGCGGCGCTCGTCGAGACGAGACGGCTCCACATGGCCCGCAACGACGGCCAGGTCAACCGGCCGGATGCGGCGACGGTCTGCCTCACCATGGTCGTGGTAGCGCTCGTCGAGGCGAGGCGGCTCCGCGTGGCCCGCGATGCCGCCGCGCTCGCCTCCTCCGCCGCACACCCCCCCCCCCCCGCCGCCGCCGCCGCTCGTCTTCTCCGTCACACCCCGCCGCCGCTCGCCTCCTCCGCCGCACCCCGCCGCCGCTCGTCTCCTCCGCCGCACACCGCCGCCGCTCGCCTCCTCCGCCGCACCCCCGCCGCCGCTCCCTGTCGCCCGCCTGCCTCCATGCGCGTGAGTGAGAGAGAATGAGAGAAGAGAGAGAGGGGGGAATAGTTGGATAGGAGTATGACACATGGGTCCCATATTTTTTTAATAAATAAAATGCTGACTGTACTGCCACGCGTACGCCACGTAGACCAAAACCACTGTGGATTGGGTCGAGGGGGGTAATTCGTCCGGTTTACATAGTTCGGGGTGAAGAATGTCCGGTTTTGTGGTTCAGGAGGGTAATTCAGACGACCGCAATAGTTCGGGGGGGTAATTCGTATTTTTTCCTTTTTAAATTGCTAAATGGTGTATCTTTTAAAAACAAAACTTTTTTATGTAGAAATTAAACAGATCAACTTTTAAATTTTCAATAGTTAATATTTAATTAATCGTGTGCTAATTATCGATCGTGTTTTCATCATCTTAGCCGTCCCGTCTAAGCTAAACGATGCCTACAGGTCTGAGTCAAATGAGCCTAAAGCCCACGTCTTTTTTTTTCTCTTACGCTGTTACGCATTATATAATATCAAGATCTTATATTTATACACTAGAGTATACTTGCCAAGTTTCTAAACGGTAATTTTTCAGAAGCTTTATTAGAAAACTTCTACTATAAAACAAAACTCTACACTTTTATAATTGTTAATGTATACTGTTTTGTACCTTTAAATATTGTTTCTTTTCGAATAAGATACCTCTAATATCACTGCAAATCGGATAATTCATCGTCCATTATATTCATCCGTTCAGCTGAAAAATGTTGTGCCTTTCCTAAAAAAGTCTATGAAATTATTAGATTTACAAGCAGCCTTGAAATTTGAATATATTTTTTTTCAAACCAGATTCCTATAAAAACCAGAGAAAAAAAATATTGTTTCAAACGAGCCCACGATCGACCAGGGATTGATGAAGATTAGGCAAGGCATAGATGAGATCGGAGCACTGATCTCATCTATGCGTACTGGAAGGGAGGGAGTCCTTTTTCTTTTCCCCTTTGACGCCGTTTAGTTCCGTTTGCTGGCTTACTTGTGCTTCCTTCCAGAGCCCGAGTCCGGTCATCGGTGTCTGTTCCCTTTCCTTAATGGGCAAGCTGACCCGTGCCGTCGTGCCCAGATGCTGCTGGGTAGCTAGGTCCCGCATGCCCAGAGGCTAGTACCTTGCTTTACGCTGTTTGAATTCCAGGCAACTCTAGTATAGTCATGTCTGTCAACTACTATTACTCCTCTAGTAATCCATTGCGTGAACACAATATGGCTACCGCCTCCGGGGCCGGTCCTATGATTCCGAGGATCCTAAGTGAACTCATCACGATGGACCCTCTAAGCTATATATAAAATTTTATAGTATATATAGACATTAATTTTACTTGTAAAATAAAAACAAATACATACATATATTAAATTTAACATGTCTGATAATTATCAAGAAATAAAGTCGACCAAAATAACAATATATTTGTAACTTGAAATTAATATCATTATTCATTAACTTAATGAAGAATAGAACCACATCATATCCATTGCTTCCCATAAAAAGATACTTCTTCGGGCATTTCTTGATGCAAAATTATCAAGAATGGTATTAAGATCAATAGTGTCCAAGATATTCTTCTCGATTGAGCACATAGCCAAGCCATTTAACCTTTCTTGTGACATAGTTGATCTTAGATAGTTCTTCGAAACTTCAATTTTGAGAAACTTCTTTTAGCTGAAGCTACCGTCACAGGTACAGTTAAGAGAATTCGATACGCAACAAAAATATTTAGATAACAATTTGCATCCATAACAAACTTCAGAATCTCAGGCGCGGACATCGAAGAATCTGGCAAACTCATTTGCAACACATTTAATTATGAATAAAAATAATTGATCTCAACATCGGATGAGGTACTAGACTACTAGTATTAGGTATTGGCCCCTATCATCATAGGCCCCCGGCGGTCGCCTCGGCTGCATAGGGCCAGGGCTGGCCCTGACTGCCTCTCGAGAAAAGTTGAGCCTAGAGCATGGCTATTTAGTAAAAATTAGAGAACTACAGTATATTTGTATTTAGTCCAACAAACTTTCTATCACATTCTCCAATCTGGAGTAATAGTTATCCCAATCCCAACATGTTAGTCTCTCTTTACTTCTCTTGTCCTTCCCTCTGTATTTTTCCCCTCGCCCATTGTCTTCTCTCTCCAACCAGGGGAGTGAGATTCACGTGGTGGCCCAGCGGAGCGGTGAGCTCGATGATCCGGATGACCTCGACGGAGAGGGCGCGACAGTCGACGCATAGGACGAACTCGGTGGCAAGGAAAAAGGGGCGGTAGTCGGCGTGGAGGATGAGCTTGACGACGGATCCATGTAGCAGACGACGACGGGGGCAGGAGGCAGAGGATGGGGAGCTCCTTTGCTGGACGTAGCTGGCGACGGAGGATGGACAACGGCGACCCCCAACCTAGATGCTTGCTGCAATGGAGGAGGAGGATGTGCGTCGGCGAGGAGGCGACGGAGATGGAAATCAGCAGCATATGCGATGGAGACTACTGGAAATCAGCAGCGGACGTACGGTGGCAACGTGAGGAGGGGACCCTGGCGCCTGGCGCTTGCTAGTGATCTTGGCTCCCAATCTTTGACAGCGGTGGCGCGAAGTTATGGATCTTCAACAACTGCGACGTGAGAGGAGTGCGACAGAGAGGGAGCGCTGGTGCGAAGAGGGGTGGAAAAGAAAAGGACGGCGACACAGAGGGAGAGTGAGTGAGGGGACGGGGAAAGAGGGGGTTTGGAGGGTGGTGGGGCCCACGTTTGGCAAGTTTTGCTAGCTAGGAGATGAGTTTGGCTAGCCGGATGGCTTAGCCATCCGTTTGGCAAGTCTGTTGGAGACTACATTTTTATTAAAATTGTCACATTTTGGTTTAGATAGTCGAATACCAACTCTGTTGGAGACTACATTTTTATTAAAATTGCTAGCTCTTTAAGGCTGTGTTTGTAACTCTTCTAAATTTTTAATTTTTTACAGAATTTTGAAAATAAACCAGAATTTTGATTTCCTTCCATATTTTCAAAATGCACATTAATTATGCAACTCTCAATTGGTCATCATGCCAAGTGCATTAATATCATACATCTTATTACTTATTCAATCCAATGTTAGGTTAGAAGCTTATGGGCAAAATTCTTATCTTTTTTGAAAGTTTTCTCTATATGATTAGGCCATAAATAATAAAATAACAGCCACGACATCCTCACAAAATATACCAGTTTTGTAAGTGTCCTCTAGCTATAGCACATTTTTATAATGCCCAATAACGAATTAAATAGCCATGTAGCAAAATTAGCCATTTATCCATCGGTAGACCATAAAATTGCCTCTAACAATATTGATTTCTTGAACACCAGGTAGATATTATTGAATTGAGAAACTCGAAAGGATACCCCTCCTCCTCAAAGAATATATAACAAAATACATTCAAACTACATATTTGTGACATCAAACTAAACAGCTAGCCCTTGGTGCCCACTCTCACCGGCCTCATGAAAATTTTAGGGAGAGTGGGAATAATTAGTTAATCCTTTCCAGCAACTTTAAATCAGGTCAGCCACACGAACATTGTACCACTAGTATTACCAAGGGCTTTCTTAAAAATAAAAAAGAAAGAAAGAAAGTATACAAGGGCTAAGCGCGCGCTTGTAACCCACTACGGTAGAAAAGAAAAGGGCAAAAGTGTAATTAAAAAGGGTTGTCGCTACTCGCTACCACTGCACCGTGCGCCAGGCTAGGGTATGGTCGTATGGATCGGTCGAACCGTACGTTTGCGTTGCGTGCGAGGTCCAGTGGTGAACGCAGTATACATACGATCGGTGCATGGCGCGCGGCTTAGGTGCAATGCAACCAGTAGTCGCCTAGTCGGTCGGACTTGCATGGTGGGTCCCATCCCTGGAGGGAATGAGTAGACGAATCAGCTGGCTAACGCCGTTTAGGCACGGTTTGGTTTCCGTCTTCTCCTGCAACCGCCTGAGGGGATCAACAGCTAAAAGCAAAAGCAAAAGAAACACGTCCTTATTCCTCTCTCTCTCACTCTCGGAGCACACGAGCACGAGCCGCGGCTGGTGTGAGATGGTGAGTCTAACTAGGGTTTGATCGATCCCATCCCTTCCCCCCATCCACCTATCGCCGCCGCCTCCGACCTCGCCATGCCCCGCTCCGTCGTCGTCTAGGGTTAGCTCGATCGCTAGCTCCACCACAACCAGCTACAACCGCGCGCTCCCGACGACGGAACATGATCCGCCTCCGCGCCGCCGCCAAGGCTGCCGCGTCGCTGGCCCGCGGGCGCACCACCATCGCCACCGATGCTGGCTGGTCGTCACACCTCCGTGCTGTCTGTCACCAACCGCTCTGAGCTGCTGCGCCAGGGGCAGGGGGCGACGACACGGGAGGCCGCGTCGCTCGCCGCCATCCAGGACGACACCAGAGCGGTGGCCGCGGTGAACGCCGTGCTCTTCTCCAAGGACGTCGCCGTCGCCAAGGAGACGGGCTGGCGCCGGGACGCCAAGATCACCGTCCGCGGGCGCGGCCACGGCAACCCACCGCGCGCTCTCGTCGTCCGTCCGCTCCCGTTGCTGCCCCCTTCTCCGTTCCTCCGCAACAGGGGCATCTCGTCACTCCCCTCCAACCAGAAAGACCAAGGTCTCAAAGAGCTGCTCGATTCTCATGGAGGTGGACCAGGCGACAGCAGCGCCATGAACGGCATCGCCTACAAGCACATCAATGACGACGCCGACAAAGCCAAGATGGCTGACGGCGCCGGCCTCCAGGACGCGACCGATGTCGACAAGTTCGGTACCGGAGCGGGAGGTGCGGGCAGCCAGGATGTCGAGGGCGCGGGCGACCAGGACAAGGCCAAGAATGTCGCCGCGGTGGTCGTCGATGGCACGAGCGACGTCGACAAGGCCAAGGATGTTGCCGGGGTGGTCGTTGAGGGCGACGCCGACAAGGCCGACGACCGCGCGCCCGGTGCTCGTCGCCGTCGGAGGACGAAACCTCGCGATGAACGTCTTCTCCAAAGGATTCTTCTCTACGCCAGGAACATCTCTGGCAAACTCGACGACTTGTGTTCTCGTCCGAGGTGAGAAACCATTCATCTAATCATCTCTGTTGTATGAGCTGTTTAAAATCAATCAATTTGTTCATCTTTTTTGTTAAGAGTATATTTTATTTTGGGCCTTCTTTACTAACCAAAATTTTACACCGGACTAGTTATAGGTTCATATTTTCACATAACACTGCATATAGTAACATTCTTTAACACTTTGGACCGGGGTTCACAAAGGGCAAGCAACAAATATCATATTGCTTGATTGATTATCTTAAATTGTTGATTTAATTTTTGAATGACTTAATTACCTGTCACTCTAAAGAATTGACTCTAATTAGGGGTGCGACGAGCTACTTCACTATTTTTAGTCTGAGTATTCATCAAGTTAAGTGCCCTCAATTGTCATGTGGTGACTGATTTGTGGAAGTTTATATGTACTTCCTTCGTTCCACAATCTTATCTAAGATAAGATTAGATCTATCCCAAGACTATGAATTTGGACATAGAGCATGTCTAAATTTATAGTCCTATGATAAGCCTAATCATATCCTAGATTGTTATGTTTGAGACAGAGTTAGTACTAATTAATGAAACCCTATTTGTTTGGTAGGATCTATTGTTATGTATAGTTTTTTTTGCGCTAGGATATGTATAGCTGTAAATTCTTATCGAAAGTGTAAAGAATGGTACTATATGTGGTGTTTATGTGAAATATATGTTAGGCCCTAGTATATTGTGAAACTTCAGTTATTAAAAGTGATCTAAACTGAAATTTAATCTTTTTATTATGTGGTTAGTATGCACAGTATGTACCAATCATTAGTTTCTGTTAGTGCATACATGTGTTCTTTTTAATGAAAGTTAAGAATAATCAATGTTTGTCATTTGGAAATTTTAGGACCGGAGCTGCAGACATGGATAAAATCAAGGTCATGATGAATCAACTTCGTTGGAGTATACCTTTTACAACTGGACTAGGCCTCTTTGTTGGAGTTGTTGTGACAGTTGTACTGGCGATCAAGTTCGGAATTCCCTTCGTGATTGACAAGTTCGCGCAAGAGTTGGGTATGGTGCTTCAATCAATTGATGCAGAAGACGTGAAAATGGTTATAGACACCTTTACCAACCTCATTCTGGAGAACGTCTGGGCTTTTCTGGTTGGGAAGATCCCATACTTTGGACGCTCCAAGTGATCTATATGAGAGGATGTGAGGCTTATTTCTTTCTCTAAGACTTGATTAGAAGAACAGTGGTTTAATTTATGCCTGAGTGCGTGCATGCATGCTCTGTTTGATGTGGATGTATAATCTGGATTCAAAGATTAGCTGCGGGCGTTGGATGTATGCTAGTCTGGGTTTAGTTGTCTGTTTAATCTCGGGCTGAAGCAATTTGCAGCTCATTCTAGCTCCAATATAACACCTGCCAATTTTGTTGTTGATTGTCCAAGTTTGCAATGTCAGTAGTACATTTATGTCCGTGAACAGTAATTGTGGCTATGAATAGAATCACTCGTAAGCTGTGTTAATTGACTAGTCACACGTTTTAATTAATAACCCGAGTTCCATTAATAGTTTCAGTCGTAAAAGATTTATCACAGATAAAAGGAAAAACTCATAGTTGTTGTGAGACCGAGAGGGTGAGTGCCCAAAATTTTTAATTTTTTTACTTATTAATTACACAAATGATCATTCTTTTAACGACTACACTTAAATGATCATAAAAGTTTAGAGAAAAAAAATCGACTAGCATAAGTTTTAGTAACAACATTGTATCAGCACGAACGTTGAAGTAATTGTTTCGTAAAAAAAACTGAATTTTTAAGAGAATAGAATATTTTATATGAACTCGGTTCTTTTTTTTTCTAAAAAAAGGAACTCGGTTCATAACTTGATACAATAAGAAATTACTCGACGGCGAATAGAAACAGATCCAAACAACACAAACAATTTATCATCCGTATCCGCTTCACTTCTCACATCCTAAAGCCCAACACAAAAATTTTCAAAAAAAACAAAAAAAAACACAATTGGACTTGTTCGGCTGCTAGGTTGTGGTTGTGCCGTAGCCGGTACAAACAGTACCATACTCACTGTGCGTAGCCGCAGCTGCAGCCCTCGCAGTCGGCTTGCCGAACTATCATATTGTTCTCGCTAATGCCAATGGGCATATGGGCTCATCGGGTGTGCGGCCCTGTCGGAACACACCCAGCGGGGATGGCCCCTTTGCCATCCCTATACCCGCTAACCCGCTTCACTTCTCACATCCCAAGCCCAAGATAAGAATTTCCCTAAAAAAAAAAAAAGCCATGTTCTCGCTACTCAGCCGTGCGCTCTGCGCCGCCTCCTCCTCGCCGGCGGCGCCGCGGGGGAGATCTCTTCTCGCCGCGCTGCTCTCCCCGTCGGCTAGCCCTCTCGACCCATGCCGGGGCCCTGCTGCGCCGGAGCCACCGAGGCGGCGGGCGTTCCATGGCTCGCCGAGCCCCCTGGGGTTCAGGTCCACACCGGCGTCGTGGTCCAGCCCGGAGGCGGGGGCGGCCGTCGGTGGGGACGACGGGCTGGAGGTCGCGAGGCTGGGGATCTCGCCGTGGATCGTGGAGAGGCTCGCCGCACGGGGCATCACCAGGCTCTTCCCCATCCAGGTAGCCGGCTTGCTGCTCGCTAATTGGAAACTTATTATGGCTTGCTTGATTTGGTCCGGTTTTGGCATGAAGGAGTAGATTCACGGATGAAATGCTTGGCTCCAGATGAGATGCTGGCATTTTTAGGTTTGGAATCGCTAGAACTGTGCGTGTGCTACTGATTTTCTTTTAGTTTAGTTGAATTAGCAGCATAGTTTCCTGATGGAAATGATGAATGGGCCATTCTTAGTTGTGCTACATCACAGCTGTATAGTTGTAGATATCCTATACACTGAGAAGCTAGTACTGTATTTTGTGTACCACTGTTGAATTGTTTGCAATGTTCAACAAGAGAATGTCTATTGTATAATTTGATTTTGGCAGCAAATTCGAATTCAAATGAATAGGATGTTGCTTTGAACCATCAACTGGAAATTTGATTGGCATTCTTCTGGTGCCTTTTTTTTAGAGTACACTTGTGCTTATTGTTATACACAATGAATCACAGAATGAGGTTCTTCCTGAGCCAAGTTCTTTAATCTTCAGATGTAAAATTTTAAATTCAAAATATTAGAAGAAAAAAGAAGGGAATCATAAGTTATTTGCATATTTGGACACTGTGTTCCACTGGAATCTGGTCACATTTGGTGTCTCAGCAATGCAGCAGTTATGGAACAAGCCTATTTATATGTTCATCTCATTCCAGATTGTGCTTTTTCTACAGTTCTGTCATATTTACATTTCATTGTCGTGTGCTACTGATTTCTTTTAGTTTAGTTGAATTATCAGCATAGTTGTGTGATGGAGTGAGGAAAGGGCCATTCTTAGTTTTGCTACATTAGGTTGTATAGTAGTACATACCCTATTCACTTAGCTGCTGGCTCTCTATTCCGTGTCCCACTGTTGAATTGTATACAAGTTTGGGCAAGAGAAAGAATGACTATTGTGTAGTTTGATTTTGGCACAAATTCGAATTCAAATCTTCCCTGCAAAAAATTCAATAGGATGTTCTTTGAACCGTCAACTCAAAATTTGATGGACATTCTTCTGGTGCCCTTGTTTTAGTACACTTCCTGTGCTTGTGCTTATTCGGTACTAGATGCCCACTAAAGATTGAACCTGTTTTTCAGCTCAATAAGTTTTCTTGGTTCCAAAATCCTAAATCTGTCCTAGAAATTTTCAAGTTAGAAAGATTTTCCACAGTTGAATAGTAGTCCAAAAGGCCAAAGTGCACATTGGACTTCTGTTAACTGCACTTAGAAGCTAGTAGAACATTTGCTACATTTTGCTGTGGTGTAAAAAAAAAACACAAGTTAAGCATCGAGACAAAGGTTTAATACAAGTAAACAATATGAGTACCAAACAGTGTGGATACTTCACATTGATGCTGTGCAACCAGCTGTTTGCTGTAAACTAAATCATTGCACAGTACAGGACATTAACTGTTTAAAAATTGAAAAGTTAATGATCCATGAAGAGTCCTAGATGCAAATATGCTGCATTTTGATCGACTTATCCCGCTTCTAAGTGTTAAATAACGTTCTCACAGTTAATTGTTTCAAATGAAGCCAAGATAACATTGCCATATAAGAACAGATGACTGATGGACCAAAACGCCTTGTCACCCAAATTGTAAGCCATAATAGAAGCATATGGTATTTTCTCCATATAAATTCCATACAAAAATTAAATAGGATCATGAATTTAAAAACCAACACATGGAGTCCCCACCAATATCTCTCATGAACAGAGGACAGGCTTGCTGTGGATCTATCATGGTAGACTCCATAACGCCGCCTTCCTCAGTAGAAACTGAGGTTTGATTGATTAGGCCCGTTTTCAACATGAACGAGTAGAGTGGCTGATGAAATTCTTTCCCCTAGATGAGATGCTGGTGTCGTTAGCTTTGGAAGTGCTAGAACTGTAGAGTTATCAGTCGTGTGCTGCTGAATCGTTAGATTTAGTTGAATAGTGGCACAGTTTTGTCATGAAAACTAGGAATTTGCCATTCTTAGTTTTGCACATAGGAGCTGTATAGTTGTACTTACACGATGCTGAGCTGCTGGTAATGTATTTTGCATCGTACTGTTCAACTGTTTGCAAGTTTGGACAAGAGAAAGAATGTCTAATTTATTTTGGCAGCAAATTCGATAAATCAATAGGACTTTGCTTCAAACCATCAACAGAAAATTTGATGGACTGTATTGTACCTTATTTGGGGTGGTGTATACTCGTGCTTATTTAGTCTGCAATATAAACGAGGTCTAGTGATTCTGAATTTCTGACCAGGTCAAGTTCTTTCATCTAGAGATGTAGATCCAAAATATTAAAAGGGGAAAAAAGAATTACAAGTTATTGTGGTCCTTGAGTTCCACCAGAATCTGGGCAGATCATTTGTATTCTTGGCAATGCAGCGGTTATAGAGTAGATCTATCATTTATGTCATCTCAATCTAGAATGTGTTTTTCCCTACAATTTATCTAATTTGCAATATGATTTGCTTGGTGCTCTTGTCACTCTACTTTATTTTTCTTTTTTTTGCTTTTTTATGTAGTGATGTGTTTTATCTTTCTCTGTCCAGAGGGCTGTCCTTGATCCAGCAATGCAAGGCAAAGATATGATTGGACGTGCAAGAACTGGAACTGGGAAAACGTTGGCTTTTGGTATTCCTATCATGGACAGGATTCTTCGTCACAATGAGAAGAATGGGTTGGTTTCACTTTCTCACCTGGAATTTGTTTTATGTAATTATCGGACAGATAGAATTTATTGTGATAATGGTATAGTTTGGTGCATGCAGGAGTGGTAGAAATCCTTTAGCCATAATTCTCGCACCTACTAGAGAACTTGCTAGACAAGTTGAGAAGGAATTTAAGGAATCTGCTCCTTTGGACTCTCTTTGTGTCTATGGAGGTGTTCCCATCAGTCATCAAATGAGAGCTCTTAATTATGGTGTTGATGTTGTGGTTGGAACACCAGGTCGAATTATTGATCTTTTAAGAAGAGGTGTTTTAAACCTTTCTGAGATCCAATTCGTGGTTCTGGATGAAGCTGACCAGATGTTGGCTGTGGGTTTTGATGAAGATGTTGAGGTGATCATGGAGAATTTGCCACAGAACCGTCAAAGTATGTTGTTCTCTGCAACAATGCCCAGTTGGATTAGAAAAATCACAAGCAAGTACTTGAAAGATCCAATCATTATTGACCTAGTGAGTGCCTTTCTCTTATTTTCACCTGTGAATTCTTATCTTGTTTGTCCTGGTGTGGTGTATCTTCTTTTTTTTTTCTTTTTTTTTTGCGGGAAGTTCATCCCTATTGTATTGATATAGTTTTCTTAGGGCCTTGTCACATTTGTATACAAATATATTTAGGTGCAAACGGTATGCTGACTTAGTTGCTTCATTATGATGTGCCATGGTAAATTGAAGGGATATTACTCCTGGATAAGGAGTAGCATAACATAATGTGGAGTTCATATTGATATAAGAAATGATGGGGTGGGCACATCTGTAGGTTAGAAACATTTGTTGAATTGTTTGATTAACTCTGGAAATAGTACTTGGACTTTATCACAGTTTTTCTGAGAAGAGCAACAGGATTGTTAAGATAATTCTGACATTTTACATTGTTTCCTAAGGTTGGTGATGAGGACCAGAAATTACCTGAAGGAATCTCTCTTTATTCAATTGCCTCTGAGCACTATGGGAAGCCATCAATTCTTGGTCCATTGATCAAAGTGAGCACTCTTCTGAATGTATGATGTGTTTTATAGTTTGCACCGTTAACGACTCTTTTCTCTACACTTCCACAGGAGCATGCTAATGGTGGAAAATGTATTGTGTTTACTCAAACTAAACGAGAGGCAGATAGATTAGCATATGCTATGGGCAGGAGCTATGCATGTCAGGCGCTTCATGGGGATATTTCACAGAATCAGAGAGAAAGGACACTATCAGGATTTCGAGATGGCCGCTTTAATATCCTAGTAGCAACCGATGTTGCTGCTCGTGGATTAGACATACCCAATGTTGATCTTGTAAGTAGCCTGATGTGTTTCTTTAATGGAAATTTTTGGAAAAGTATGATTAATCTAGCTGTTTGACGTTCATATCGGTTAACTTAAAAAATAATCTTCCGCATGCTTGTTCAGGTTATACATTACGAACTCCCAAACACCTCGGAGTTATTTGTTCACAGATCTGGACGAACTGCACGAGCAGGGAAGAAAGGAAGTGCAATTTTAATATACACAAATGATCAAGCTAGAGCTGTAAGGATCATTGAGCAAGATATAGGATGCAAATTCACAGAGGTAAAAACAGTTCCAAAACTGTGCATGTTGAATCCTAATGATATCATTTTTGCAGCTGAGATAAAAATATGTTTGCTTATTTTTGCTTTACCGTGTGTAGCTTCCAAAGATTGAAGTTGCAGATGAGGCCTCAGACATGTTTAATGTTGTGAGAGACAATCGCTCTAGATTAGCTGGAAGCCCAAGAACCGGTGGCTCCTCTTTCGGACGAGGAGGCTATGGTGGTTTTGGAGAAGGCCGTTCCCGGGGCTTTGGTGATTTTGATGGCTTTGGCAGTTCCCCTAATCGTGGTGGGAGATCACGCGATGCTGGTTCAAGATATGGCAGTGGGTTTGGAGATTTTAGACGACCCTCCAATGCCTTTGGCAGGTCTAGTTCCAAGCAGCCTGATGGATTCGGATTTGGTGACTTTGGAGAAGGCAATTTCAGTAGAAATGGCAACAGACGCTCTAGGAGTTTTGATGATTCAGGTTCGACACGGTACAGCAGACGCCCTAATGGTTTTGGAACATCAGATTTCGGCAGATCAGGCGGGTTCGATGATTCCAACTGATCACAGGACTCCGGTTTGTATAGTTTTGTGGTTTTTGACCTTCAATCTTCTTTTCTATGTCATGAATGAGATCACCAATCGCTTTTTCTGGCGCTTGGCCTAAGTAGTCTGTTGTTGTAGCCAAATAAGTAGCCTTGCTTGTGTATTAGGTTTGTTCCAAAACATGTAATGTATATACTCTAGCCTGTACCTTTTGGTTATGCACTCTCTCAACAAAGTGTAAGAAAATTCTGAAAATGAGGAACCTTTCATTATTTATGTCCATGTACTCCCTGTTGAATTGCACTTTGACCCCTATCATCTCGTTTGGTGGTACTTTGGCATCCAAACATCTTATTGTGATTGGGAATGGTATATGTTTCAGCTTCAACCACGTACATGTTGTTTCTCTGTATGCTTCTAAACTGCGGCAGATTTTTTTTTTTTTTGAACTTGCGGCAGATGAAGTTAGCAAATAGTAAGACAATCCACATTTTTTTTTCATACTCCCTCCGTTTTTTTATTTTTTTAATATATAACATCGTTAACTTTTAAAATGCATTTAACTATTCGTCTTATTAAAAAGTATTATGTAATATTTGCACAAAAATTTTGAATACGATTAATAGTTAAACGTTTGTGAAAAAGTTAACAACGTCATATATTAAAAAAACGGAGGTAATACGTACCAACTATAGTAAAAAAAAAAAAAGGGAAAAAAACTGGTTAAAAAAATGTAGAAGTGCCGCTGAAAATTCAGCCACTGGAATTTCACATGATCCTAGTCGTACTTTCTACCAGCATTTGCAGCAGCTGTGAAATGGCGCTCAAATTCTTCCGCTAGAAAAGTAAACTGGGCCCAAATGCCAAGTCAGCGAAGCTCCGACCCCCTGGGCCTCCGTCCTCTCCAAAAAGCGCAGCCGGAAAAGCGCACGACGGCGACGGCCGGAGTGGATGGGGATTCGAGCGTGTGTGTGAGAGAGAGATTGAGAGAAGGATAAGGTGGCCACGGCGACGACATGGCCGCCCACCACTGTTCAACCCGCCAAGTGGCCTCCTCCTCCTCCAACCCATCCAATCCCCGAGACCAACCCACACACATGCCCGATTCCCCCCAAATCCACCACCCGCCGCCACCGCCGCCGCCGCCGCCCACCGATCCCGCCGCGTCCACGACACCGAATGCCCCACGCAACTCGCAGGTATTCCCACCACTTGAAATGCTCTCTCCCCTCCCGCGCCATTTCCAGCAATTCTCGTCGGAGATTGACTTTTTTTTTGTTGTTGTTTGGTTTGGGGGTTGTGGAGGTGGCGGCGCCGGTGCAGGTGAAGCCGAGGATGATAATCAAGGGGATGCTGGGGAGGTACGAGAGGTGGAACCCCGTGCACCCGACGGTGGGTACGTTCTGGGGGATCGGGCTGGGGCTCGGGTGCGGGGTTGGGTGGGGGCCTGGGTTCGGGCCCGAGGTCATCGGCTACGTCGGCGCCGGCTGCGGCGTCGGGTTCAGCGTCGGCGTCACGCTCGCCGGCGTCGGCGTCGGCTTGCCGCAGCACGGCCTCATCAGGAACCAGTACCACAGCGGTATATTGCCACTCTCTTGCTCTTTGCTCATATGTGATGGTGATGGTGATGCCTTTCTCTTCTTCTGCAGTTTCAGTTTTCGATTGCGTCGTTTGCCATGCCATGTTTGATTAATTGTCTCCTCTAATCCATAGCAATTGAGTTAGTATTGGAAGTGGTTTGTTATTGATATGTTGAGTTAGTATTGGAAATTATTTGTTATTGATAATTGAGACTAAATACCAGAGGGTGATATTTGTCTCCTCGAATCCATGTAGTAGTTGAGTTGGTAGTGGAAGTGATTTGTTATCTATAACTGTATATAGGTGAGATAAATATCACTGGCTAGTGTTCTTTTTATCCAGTGATATTACTTCATTGTGTTCCTGCAGAATATACGCTGTTTCACTGCACTGCAGTTGGTGGATCTCGGAAATTAATGGAGTTTTAACTTGTTCAGTAATAGTAAATCAATTAATGTTCATGTGGGAATAGAAATGAAAATGAAAGCAACTACCCGTTTGTGTGAAAAAAAGATCAGTATGTCCAGTAGCATGCACGTGTGCACACTGCACCGTTGTGTTGGATCTCTATTTCAATGATGCTCTTTCCCTGTTGTTATAAGGGATCCCCTGCAACCTGGCAACCCATGTGATTGCTGCGACATGATTTAGCAATCTAACCATATGCATGTAGTCCTGTTCAGATGTTAGATCATAAGTGATTTTACCATCAAACGCGCTACTGCAGTGCCATCAAATGCAATGCAGACATAGCAGTTCAGCAATAACACTCCTCTACTATAAACTTACATAGTTTTATTTCTCCTCCTGCCAGTTAGCCAACCTTAGTTATGTCTATTATTGCAAGGTACCAACTACATTCTCCACTTTTGGATAACAGAATTTCCTCCTGTTTGTAGGTTTCGCAAGCAATATCCCTTTCGAATCAGCTAGGTTTTACACCTTTACCATCATCAGAGGCTTGGTCTGGGATGCCATCAGTTATGCGAGCCAGGTAGCGGCTGTGAGGAAAGAATCTCGACAAAGGCTCCTAAACTTTCATGAAAACCCTCAGATTTCAGGAGGCGTTAACCTGCCCAAGTTGGGGAAGGGCGTGTCAAGCAGCATCCAATCCACTATGGAGTGTATAAAAGCCTTCAAAGATCAGCATTGGCCTCCATAAAGTAACTAAGGATGGATTGTGTAAGTTAGAAACCCATGGCACGCTTACTCTAAGATGAAGATATCTTCGGTATTAGTTAGTGTTTCCAACTTATTATGGGGAAATTATTCCAATTTCCAGCTGAGGAAAATGGTTAGCCTGTAACCTAGCAAATCATAGATGTAGTATCTAATTATTTTTGTAAATATAACAATGTTATTAATTCAAATATTTTGCTACAATCTGGCATTATGAAATAAAATTGCACTAATATTGTACTCTATGCATATGTATATATGTACCCTAATGTTTTTGATTGGATAACTGTGTAAGTGTGATTCTGTGATGCCAAAGCTCGTATTAAATTCTGGAAGGCACACTGCAAAGAGGCTGAAGGCTGTACATGAGGACATGTAACGTCAAAGCATGTATTCCTGCACCATTGGACAGTAATAACTTGATTTTTTGGATATTTGGAAGCCAGAAAAAATGGTAACTACTGTTGACTATCTGGTATTGTCGGTATAATCCAGGTGAAAAAGATATTTGCTGCCCGAATACCAAAGATATTTGCTGCCCGAATACCTACTCGACTTACTTGATCAGTTACTGAAAGTGAATGTGGTTTCAGATATGTTCACCAAATTAACTACCATAGAAGGCTAATGGAGCACTGTGCCATGTGGTGGTCCTACAAACAATGTCTGGTTAGTTCTGATTTTTCTACTCAAAGATGTATTTGTTCTTTACCGAACTTTTGAGATTCTTGGATCTTTTTGTTTTCATTGAAACGCTTTTGTCCCGTTGCTAAAGACATCTTAGCACCTTGGCCATTTCATAACTTGGGGTAGTCACTCCTCATTGATCAAATGACAAAGCAGCACAAAATGCAGGCATCATGCTACATTCATCCAATATAGGTGATTACATGAAAATGACACATTGCTAGAACGGTTGCCTAAACCTTGTATTTCTTTCTTGTCATGTAGGGCATGAGCAAAGGAAGACTGTATCTAAAGTTTGTTTACTAGCTCCCATGCATGCTGTTGGGGTTGGAATTTTGTGCTCAACTCTAGCTTGATTCTCCTAACTACTTATATTGTCATATTGTACCGAAAGGAAAAAACAGCTAACCAACAATAGCAATAGCAATAGCAATGCTGAATTCTGAAATATACAATTCTGACATGCATGACGCTATGTGTGTGTCAATATTCTTCTCATCAGCCCTTTGCCATATGCTCTCTTCCAATCTAGCTAGCTGTGGACTCACTGTGGCGATGCTTTTTTGTAGCAATTTTTTCTTTGTTAATCTCTGAATCAAGTTAATTAATCTGCAAGGGTTAACTAATGGAGCTCTGCTGAATGGTTTCGTGCGACATGTGGGGCGTGCTGGCCAGCTGCAGGGTAGTCCAGCAGACCAACATGATGGTGACCAGGGGTGGTCTCAGGTCAGTAATGTCCAAGAGAAAAAACATCCATGGCCACTTGGCCAGCCATTTATTGATCTGGTCCCTGCTTTTCAACATATATATGCTGTACTTCCTCTCCAATATATTTTGCTGGTCCCCATACACCAACAATGCTTTGCATGACCAATTAATCTGGAGGTATATTATATATTGATGATATATAGTCCTGCATTCTCGATTGAAAAACTGGGTGTTAAGAGAGTATATTATTAACCAAATGTATATTTCTATATGTTAGCAAGGTTGATGGATCATTATGTGTTGTTGCAGACAGGCAGGGAGAGGGAGGGGGTAGCTGGGCTGGGCAGCGTGTCGCCGTGATGTCTGAAGATGATTCAGAAACGATGCGGTTGCAGCTGCAGCGAGAGCAGAGTAAAAACTGGTACACAGTATCGGTGTACGATTGCAGTTGGCATGCATGCAGAAACCGACAGGGAGGAAAACGGCGACGGGAGCCGGACAAACACAAGCAGCTAAGCTAAGCTACCACTCGCTCTCATCTGCATTCTGCATTGCATCATATTCATGCTGATTTCATATCTATCGATCGATATGTATGATATGATTCTTGCAGCATCGATCGAGATCATGCATGCATATGATCAGATGCAATGCCTGCCGGCCACTTGCCTTCTGCACGAGCGCCGGCGAATCTCCCGGCCGGCCGGCCGGCGACCACCACCACCGTGTGCGCATGCATGCTACTCGAGTACGTGATCTCTCCACTACACTGCATCTGCGTGACTGCATTGATCGATCGAACAAAAGTGTGGCCTCGTGCATGTACTCTAGCTCTCAACTTCTAGCGAAGACATCTACTGGGAAGTCTGGAATGATGCATGTATAAACTGGCCCACGCACCACATATCTCATGAATATATCTATATATCCAACATCATATAGGTAATTAATTAGAAGATTACCAAGCATAAATTAAGTGCTTCCTTATGTCATAAAATGTTTAATGTTTAGGACAAGATTTAGCCAAACTTCAACACTTTGACTATCAATTAATTGTATGTTAGAATCTAATGAGTTTATGATATTATGATCGGTACTACTTTTGAAGGCACATCAATACATGCATGTCGTTTTTCTTGTTTTAAACTGAACATTAATTTGAAAGTTATCCTAAACGCCAAATATTTCTAGCTAGAGGAAGTAGTACAAGTATGCTAATTAAAAAAATGTTCCATATCTCTACAACATTGAAAATGGAGTTCCGTCCATACCCACCCCTACCCACACAAAAAAACATCAACCGTTCAAAAGCCAAATTAACTTCAGTAAACAAAAAACAATTTGGCACAAAAACTGACCTTTCCAAAAAAACCGACTTTATGAACCACGCCACCCCCTCGATATCCTTATCTCTCGTATGGTCCGGTAAAAAAAATAGTGCATAAAGATAGCATGAATATTTTTTTATATTTTAGTGTAAATTTCACAAAACTACATGTATTTTGCATAATTTATCACAAAACTACAGATTTAGTGTCTCCGCGTTTATTATAAAACTATAGTTACTTTGTACAATCTATCACAAAACTATATATTTAAGAATTTGTTTCACAAAACTATAGATTTAGTGTATTCGTTTATCACAAAACTACACATTTAGTGCCTTCATTTATCATAAAACTATAGATTTTGTCTCCATTATCACAAAACTACAGGTTTTAGCATGTTTTAATGCTAAAACCTGTAGTTTTGTGATAATGAAGACACTAAACCTATAGTTTGTGATAAATGAAAATATTAAATTTGTAGTTTAGTGAAACAAGTTCTTAAATATGTAGTTTTGTGATATATTATGCAAAGTACCTGTAGTTTTGTGATAAACGAAAACACTGAATCTGTAGTTTTGTGAAACAAATTCTTAAATATGCAGTTTTGTGATAGATCGTACAAAGTATCTGTAGTTTTATGAAATTTACTCTTTATTTTAAGTTTAAGTCTCTGCTGCAACGTGAAGGCATTTAGCTAACTAGTGTTTTAAAGTAAACAATGTTAAATGATCAAAACAATAGACATTTTTTCAATAGTTAAATGAAGGGATCATATTGTTTGTTTATCGATTGATTGCCTCTAAATAATGTCAAATAGCGATATTTGAAAAGTTACCATCACCCCAAGATTCGTGTTAATATTAACTCCCTCCTCCCTTCCAGCTTCACTTCGCTACCTTCAACCCCCCCCCCCCCACCCACCAAAAAAAACAAATCTTCCCTTGGCCTACCATGAACCACATTTCTCACAGTCGCTTTTAAATCTACCCCTTCTAACCAAATCTAACCTTGTCTCCGCCTTCAAATCTACCCCCCCCTTCTGACCAATTCCTCACCCCTTCTCCTTCATATTTTGTCGCCGCCTTCAAATCTACCCCATCCTACCAATATCCATTGCCCCTCACCCTTCATTTCTTGTCACCGCCTTCAAGTCTACCACTCTACCCCTTTCTACCAATCTCCATTGCCCTTCAGATCACCCCTCCACTTATTTTCACTGCCTTGAAAATCTACCTCCCTCCTAACCAATCTTCCCTTGTCCTACCACATACGTCAACCTACCTTCACCCCTCCCCAGCCTCCGTCTAAACCATGGATCCTTCCTCTTCCCATCCCTATCCTTAATACACCCACCCACCCCGGTGACATAATCCGAACAACTTGGCAAATTAAGATACACTGCAACCACCATCGAAAGTCGTCAACGAAGATGACTATGTGAGGAAAGGCAATGAGTTCCATCGAATAATTGACATTTAATTCAGAAGAAATCATACAAACTTCTGCATAGCAAATTACTTATTTTTATGAATAAATATGCAGACGTTCTTCTCATAGCAAAACTAATTTATTTGTGCATAGCAAAACTAACTTTGATGAATGTGCATTCCAGAATTGCTAAAATAAATTGTTATCATTAATTTTATGCATTCTCTTCTCGGCCACAGGAACAGGAAGCTCGAGACAATACTACAGCGGTTACTACACTGGCTGAGAATATTTCGAGTGACGATAGATCGACACGAGCCGGTTAATGCATGGGTTGAAATGTTCCAAGTCCAAGACATAAAGCGACAAGATTCTTCTCAAGCTAGAGCTTGACCCTCTGCCATGTCAAGCAACGAATAAAGAGTAAATAGGGTAGCAGCAGTAATAATTGATTGTGAAAAAGAAGAGGAGAGCATATGTGCAAGAAGCTAGCTAGCTAGCAGTAGCACATGCATGGCCATGGAGAAAGAGGTTGAAACAAATCAAAACAATGGCTAGCTATCTTGATTCTTGACTCACACAGGTCTGGTCCACATCTGTCCTGCACAGGGGAATCCTACTTGCTTCCAAACACCCAGAGACAAAGCCCAGTCCAGAAAGCCAGCTCTTTGCAAAACAGGCACACACAGAGAGATTGAGAGAGAGAGAGAGAGAGAGAGAGAGAGTACCATGCATGATGCAATGCAACTATGCAAACATGTACACAAAAAGTTCAGGGCTCCTTTGCATTGAAGGATTTTCAAAGGATTTGTGGAGGATTGAATCCTTAGAAAAAATTTTCCTATGAGGACCGTACGTTGGATCAAAGAATAGGGATATGCCAAAATTCTTATTGGTTGCCTTCGTATGCCCCCTTTCTATAGGAAAATATAACGAGAGCTCATACCTCATGTTTTATTTTCATTTGAGAAGTCCAATGCACTCTCTTCCTTTCTCCCTCTAGTTTTTCTCTAGCAAACAGTTCACTTTAAAATTCCAATATTTTCTTTTTCGAAAAAAATTCCAATATTTATTTCTGTGAACCATCCAAACGTAACGCACCAATTAAATCTTCGTGTGTAACCCTATAGGATCGTGTAGAACATGGTATCTGATTCCTGCAATTTTTCATGTTCTTGTGTTTTTAGTACCCCGTTCAAAAGGATCCCTCAAATATGTTCCAATGGCCAATGCATTGCACTATGTTAGGTTTAACTTGCATGTCAATTTGATGGGATGTATGCTGTGTAGGACACATACTGTGTATAATGTATGTACATGTATATATATATATATATATATATATATATATATATATATATATATATATATATATATATATATATATATACAAAGTGGAGTATACAATACATAAGAGAAGCAAGAGAGAAGAGACTCTTTTGACATGTACAGTGCCAGCTGTGGCTCTTCCTGTGGTTGCATAGTGCCCCTCTCCACTTTATTCCATCTTGCAATGATGTGTGTGTGCATGTGTTTGTCTGTGCTACTTACACACCACCATGCATGTGCATGGAGACGCCCTATAGCTTAGCTAGGGTTTAGGTGAAACTTGAAAGCTCATCATGCATGCATGCATGCAGATTAATTAGTGCATTGACACAAGTGTACATTGGATGTGGGCTTACATAATTAGGTTAATTAATTACTCATGGTTTATTGCTTGGAGTATATATTTAGTTATAGGGATGTGTAGCCACACTGACTAGTATGATTCTATGAAGAGGAGAGGAGGTGTGGGCTAGTGGCTGCACTATATAAGTAGGGATAGGCCTCCCTTCTCATCATGCAAACATGCACCATTTCACAGCATTAGCACAACAAACACACCATGCTCTATCCTCCATGTATCCATATCCATATCCATCCATCCATCCATCCATCTTCTCTTCTAGCTAGCCATGCATATCCACTTTGAAAGGGAGAAAAGAAAGAGTGACATAGTTTTAAGAGAGACATATAGATATAGGTAGTGTTCATGGTGTTAATTTAGATGTAGTTAGTTTGGTGTGGCAATATGGCGGCATTGGAGGGGAGATATATGTGTGTGTGTGTTTGGTACTTTGGGTGATTGTGAAGGTGATGAAAAGGTAGGGGATATGCCTGGCTCCCTGTATGCCGCTCGCATGGCTGCCAACCCAATGAACTCGATCTCGTTGTTGGCCGCTGCGTACGGCGTGCGAGGTGCCAAGCATGGCCCTCTTCCCTTCTCTCTTTCTCTCTCTACATCTCTCTCTTCTTTCTTGTTGCATTGCATGTTTTATATATCCTTAGAATGCTTGTTTTCTTTTCTTGTTAAGTAATCATTCACATGGATCTAGCTAGTGCATGCACGAATTTTGAGTTAAAAAAAAACAATCAGTGGATATGAACATGACAGTGCATATATATATACAGCATTTACATCATTGCATGCCCGAGCTAGTCTAATTTTTGGAATTTCTCTGAAGTCAGATAGCTAGCCTTTGTAGATTAATTATATATTACTGTGTGCATTGCATGCATTTGCATTTACTCGCTGCGTTTCTGATGTATATATACGTACTCCTACATTGTTTATCTTGTGATGAAATCAAGATCATGCATGTGAACTAATATGATAGATTAATTATAGTAGTATAATTTTCAATACTGCCTTGTAAATAACTTTTATTTCTTTTAATGGAAAAAATACGCTCCTTGCGTATTCCCGAAAATAATTTTCAATACTGAAACCTTTGCTCAGTTCTGAACTTGCTGCAGTTAGAGCAAAATAATGTGCCAATCAGTTCGAATATCTTGCCTGCATGCATGCATGCCGCCGTTGAGTCAGGTTGACGGCCGGCGCCGCGCCGCACTCCGGCGAGAGCTGCACACCGCCGCCGGCCGCCGCCTCAATCCGTCCATGGCAGACAGAGATCGATAGGCCGCCGCCTGCGCAGAAGAGAACACAGGGACGCGTCCGAGCATGCCGAACGTCGGAAGTTCCATCCCGCCGATGAAGGCGGTGGCTGCCGGAGAACCCGGCCGGCCGGAGGCGCCGCAATGTCGCCGGAGAGAGAGGAGATGGGGTGTGGTTGTACAATTTGAACTTATTGAGGGGGCTTTCTGAAAAAATAGATGTACTTCTTCCTTCCTACTAGCCGCCCAATTATTCGGCACACATACTCTATAATATTGTACAATTTAAAGGAAAAAGGATGCATTTTATAGATTGATGTGACCAGGGTTGGAAATTTCGGACCGAAATTTCTGAACTTTCGGTCATTTCGTTCATCTCCGATACGATATTATTTCGGTTGTAATTTTTCAATTTTTCAATTTTTTATGAATTTGGGTAATATTTGTTCAAATTCAACTAAATTTTGCTTAAAATTTCGGAAATTTCGAGCCGAAATTTCCGAAATTTTAGGATTTCGGTGACCCCCGATACAAAGGGCTGTCCCAATAGAGTGAACCCTGGATGTGACACATTGTGATTGAATCTTGATATTCGATAACTACCCATTAATTAAATCCGACGGTTTGTATATTTGTCTGTAATTTCAATGCTTGCTTCGATCCGTAGAAACGCGGTATCTGTACTTGGACCTGCAAGAAATTCAGGAGGAAGAAGAAGAAAAATGTGCATATATTCTTCGATGCATGAATAATGGAGGTTGAATAATGCATGCTCCTTAATTTAGGATACTAATTAAGAAACTCACTGAGGGTGGTAGGATTAGTGTATGTCAAAGGTGAAACTTAATTTGGTCTCAATTTAATTGAGGTCTTCGACTTATTCATTTAGCCTTTTTTCTGTAACAGTTGTTGTCTTCAGAGTTTTAGACTTCATAGTCCTTAAACAGAAAGGAGTAAGAGCTGGTGACATGGTGAGTGATTGTAAGCTGGAGTTCACACTCTATTCCATTTTGCATTCTATATAAAGCTGGGTGTCAAATTCCTTGGGCCTTGGCCTAAAATGATGCATGGTGCATGCTATAATTTTTTACTTTTTCGAAGAAATTACTGCTGAAGTCTTCAAAATAATCCAACAACATCAGCATGTTATCATTTTCAGATGATACTGAATCCATGAACTTGAGTTTAAAACTTCAAATTATTAACCATCCAATCTGTTGCGTGTTATTAGTCAAATGTTCAGAAAGGGAGAAAGCTTACCTGACAGAAGCATTTCAGCAAATTCAAGATGCTCTTTGTCACTGTCCATTCTGAATTTCTGATAACAAGAGCCAAAGGCCCTCCTGGTTTGACAGATTTCATCACAAACTCCATGCTAACCTGAAGATGCTTCTGTATGGACTGGAAGATCTCCATGTTAACATCTGAATATTCGATAACCTGAAGAACGAAGATGTTCCGAATTCAGGTTACAAGCTCCATGTAAGAAACCATACTAGTAAGTCTGAAACTAAGTCACCATTGGAATGATCCTGAGCCCTGAAAATCTAGGTGCAGTATCTGCTGAGATATATATGAAGTTGCAAAAAACACAACTTTACATTATATAATCACAGAAATGTTGCATGAAGCAGCACATGTGAGAATCGCTTGCAACCAGCAAACAATGGAAAAACAACAAGAAGGTCCAACTGCATAGTAGCACTACAAGAAAAAAGGCAAGACAACCTTTTGGAACAGTAGAAGATTATTGTAGTCCTTCCACATCCCTCATTAATGTGTATTAGCATGTCAACCAATTAATCTGAACATCTAGCTGCTGCTGGGAGAGGCTGCCAGGTGCCTGAATATCTCTCTGTCCATATGCAGGTCAAGAACAGCGCTCATTTCTTCGTTCCCCTTTCTCCCAGTTGTGTGTCATCACAGCATGTCAACAGCTCAGTCCAGTTCCAGTTACACAGTTACTAAATGGTGTAGCTCTTACTTGTTAACCCTGTACCATCTCATGCTGGCCCAAGAATTCTTCACCCAAAAGGCTCCCAGGATGATCCAACAACAACTCCTGCTAATTCACATGCAACCAAGCTTCTATGGTGGCTTCAACAAACGGAAGTATATACCGATGGCATATCATTTGAACACTTGTGACAGCATCAGAACTTCGACAAGGTTTTCCATGATCTCAAACAATGCATCTTGTGATGCTCAGTCCTGACAACAGAATAACTTGTAGATTTGTTGATAGATTGTGCTAAGAATGATCTTTCCTGAATAACTTGATCGGTATCTGAAGAAAATGCTAATTGGATGTCCTTTCATGTGTCAAGGAAGAACTTACTAGTTGTATATACAGTTAGCACCATACATTATCAATCAAATAATAACTGTTTACTGATGTTAACAGACAAAAGTAATGCTGATGCTGGCAGCATATGTCAGTACTACCAAAAAGATAACTGATGTTAACAGACAAAAGAACTTACTATGCTGTTTTCGTGATACAAGAATGCCATGGCTTAAAATAACTTAATTTATGTCCACATCTACATTATCAAGCAAAGACTCCATTTCCTGTTTCTATTGATTGAGTGTTGTTTAACCTGACTAAAAAGATTACAGATCCCTCAATAGTGAAGCTGAAAAAGGATCTCCACCTTCTCCAAACAGGAATCTGTGCATAAATTGCTGCGAAGATGTAGGCTGCACATCTACATTACATCTGCATAATGGCATGGCTTAAAACCAAGGCAAAATTTGCTACAGGATACCGAAAGATTACGGCCTTTGCTGTGAGACACCCGAAGATCGTGTATTTGCTGGTGGACACTGCAAAAAAGTGGTAATTAGCTGCTGGACACTCCTCCCATTATTTTATTATTTCAGATCAAAATGGAGAGAGAAACTTTGGTTAAAGACAAGTTTGCCCATGGGCCCACTTGTCAATCTCTCTTTCTCTATTCTTCTTCTTCCTCTCTTTCTCTGTTCGTCTCTTTCTCATTGCGCCGCCGCCGAGCTCCACCATGGCCGAGCCGTCATGCGTCGTCGCCGTCGGCGGTAAACCCCGGCTCTAGTGTCGACCAAACTGAGAGAGGAAGCCCTCAATCTCTTCGTTGTCCTCAAATCCCTCGCCGGCCATGAAGAAGACAATGCCCACTGTCACCGTAGAGCTATCTCCATCTCTGCCTCACCACCGTTCCATACTTACCTTAACATGCCGAAGATTTTTCATTTTGATTCCATCCTCTCTTGTGCAGCGGATCGACGGGAACGCCATCGTGTCATCGCCGGCCTTGGAGCGCGCTCTGCGCGTCGCCGCCTCGACGTCGTCACCGTTCCGGGTGCAGTGGACCGTTGTAGGCCGAGCCACCACGCCATCAGCTTCACCTCGACCTCCTCTCCATTTACCCCCAAGTACCCTATCCAGTCGCGCAGCGATCTTAGAGATCGGCATCATCTTTCTCCAACTCCGGTCGCCGAGGTCCATCTTCGATTTCTCCCTCTCCGGTGAGTCCCAATCCGATTCCTTGCCATGGTAGCCTCACATGGACCTCTCTAACACGAAAGACATGCATGCATGGTAATCCTTTGAAGAAATTGAGCCATCGCCGTTCATCCAAGGTGAAGCGCCGCCGCCGAGACATTCCGCGAGCCATCGTCGACAACCAAGCTTTGCCGACCTCATCCGTGCGCCGGGCCGCCGCCGTGCGTCATCGCCGTCGGTGGTGAACCCCGGTGATGCGCCGCCGCCGCCGCCCCACCGTGGCCGAGCCATCCTGGCTCGGGCCGGCCGCCGTCGCGAGGAAGAATTGGGAAAAGAAAAGGAGAGAGAGAGGAAGAACAGTGTCCAAGGGCATTTTAGTACTTACACAACTCTCTCTCTCCATTTTTACCGGAAATAATAAAATAATGGGAGGAGTATCCAGCAGCTAATTACCACTTTTTTGCAGTGTCCACCAGCAAATACACGATCTTCAGGTGTCTCACAGCAAAGACCGCAATCTTTCGGTGTCCTGTAGCAAATTTTGCCTAAAACCAATTAATTTAGGTCCACATCTACATTACCAAGCAAACACTCCATTTTCTGTTCCTATCGAATGATCAATGTCTTTATTTACCCGACTGAAAAGATTACAGATCACTAAACAGTGAAGCTGAAAAGGGAACTCCACCTTCTCCAAACAGAAATCTGTGCAGAAATTGCTGGAAGAAGTAGGCTGCACAGCGCAGAGAGCAAAAAAAAAAAAAAAAAAAAAAAAAAAAAAGGCAACACTGTGCTGTGCCCTTGCCTCCCTGATGATATTGAACAGGAATGCAGCAGTTGAACCATTGCCCCTGGCGCCGGCGATATGATCATATGAACAGGAAGAACAGCTGATACACGCAATCACTCGGTTTTTGTCATTCCATTCATCATATTTCTAATAGTCAACAATATCATTTATTAAAAGCAAAGGGAGTATTTAATTTTCATTGAACACATGTGGGTTCAGGTTTCATGTTTGCTCTGAACAAATATAAAAGCAGCATTACAAAAAAATAATAATTCATATTTAATTTTCCATGAACTCATGTGGGTTTAGCTAAGGTTTCATGTTTGCAGTGAAAAAAGGAAAAAAATTTGGGGTGAGAGAGGCTCGAACTCTCGACCTCAGGATCACTCACAACATTAGCTATGAGACCTACGCGCTAGCCAACTGCGCCACCACCCCATTTGTGTTTGCAGTAGAAAAAAATAATTTAAAAGAGCATTAAAACTATCCCTGCAAACTGCTGTTCATGGAACAGTCTGTTAATCTGCCTAATTTTTTTTAAAGAGAAAATTAATCTGCCTGAATTGTTGGCTGATCAGAGTGATAATACACGATTTTGGGTGCAGAGAGATTAACAAATTGAGGGAAGAATAGTGATAGGAAGAGATCCACGTAGTGCGTTGGCTGTTTTTGTGTTTGTTAGTTTGTACTACTGTTGAACATTGCAATGCTTCCATACTGAAGGCTTGTCGTATAAACATCATCTTTTGACAAAAAAGGATGATATGTTTATGTCAATCTCGATGTGCCATTTTCTCCCAACAAGATACTCTACATCCAACTTTAGGGCGAGAACCAAATCTCAACGTATAAATGCGGACCAAAAGCTCAGATCTTGATTGATAGCGACTGAAATGGACTCACTAATTACTTTATAAGTAGTGATTAATGAAGCACATCCCTGTCATGATTAACTAACGACAAAGCAACGGTGTACCAGCTAACTATCATTAACACAGGAAGAACATAGTCCCCCATTTTGGCATTTTCACTACCAGACATTGCAAAAACCTCTCTTGCAAATTATGTATATGTTGCGAAATGTGCAAATTAAGTCCAAATTATAATGATGGAGATTGATCGAATAATGTGATTATAGATGTACAAGAAATGCAATTTCATATTTGCTATACTGTCTACTGCACAATTGTGCAGGGAATTCGACTAGTTGCAAGTAGTACAGTCAAGATCATGAGAAAGGTGAAAGTTACATTGATGAGGCAATGAGTACCAAGGCAAGAGGAGATACAGATGTGGTAGCTGTTTTGTTCAGGAGCAAAATTTCTGCCGATATCTGCGCATTTCCAATGATCTTGATGTGCCATATATCTGAATTGTACATGGTTCAGTCTACCTAAGTTCTTTTTCTGCTTTAGACCATGTGCAATCTTGAAGAACCGATGGTTATGCTTATCCAGTTGAAAAATCAACATAGCAACCAAAACTGTCATTTGGTTCCTTGATTTGTTCTTGTAAGAACTCACCAGATGCATGTCCCTCAGGCATCATATAACAGTAACATCAGCTAAAAGAAGAGTGAAACTGTCACTGTTGTGTTCTTGTGCAGCTTTTGCGATGCCGGCTCAAGCTGAGTCCACACAGCCACTATATTCTTCACATATTGCCGGTGCCTGCCATTTCCATACATGTAGCATCATATGAAGCATCTTCCTGTTGTCTTGATTATCTATGCAAAGGGATCCTCCAGTTCATCTCCCATAGACAAAAACCCTTCCAGAAACAGAAAGGTGATGTTGATCACTATACTCTTCAGATAAGAATAGCATCAGGAGGCGGTGTACACGTGTCGACTGCCGAGTGGTGTCCCAAAGCTTCAGCCTTACACGACTCACAGGACACAAACTGCATCTTGGAATCAAATCATTCTTCTAGGACCAGTTGTTCTGCCTTCCTTTGTTTATCTCCCCTAGTTGTTTGCATGTTGGTCACTGCACAACAAACAAGTCAATGATGATGAGAAAAAAAAAGTGAGGAAAACATTGTTTCATCACTAGTATTATATTGCTTGGGAATGACTGTGAATTTTATATGCTGAAAGAAAGTATTCTTATAATGCTAGATGGCATTGCACATGTCTAATTTTCCCTGACATCTTCAGTTATGTTTTAGATGGTCAATCTAAACTTGTTTCTTTATAGATCATCATAACCTTTATCAGCTAATGAACCTATCTTTCAGCAATCGTGTTAAGAAAGCATTGGTTGTCGAGATATTAAGGATAGCATCAAGGAGGCAACAACTTGCTCAACATGCAGTGCTACTAGTAGCGTTTTTCGCTAGTTGCTGATCCCTCATGCAAGTCCCTATACACTGCTTATCATGTCCATATCATGAAAGCGATGCTCAACCCAATTGTTTGTGAACTAGCCCACTGTTTTTTCTAATGTGACAAAATAGTCTATTGAATGCAACAGCGAAAGAACGAAATGGACGCACAACCACAGCCAGAGTTCATCTATTGATAGGATAGGACTAGACAATGCCCAAAGCAGAACTGAAGTGTCCAAAACTGATCTATCAGAAGATGGAATTAGATCAAATGACGACAATCAACTAGTTTCAGTACACAAATTAGTGCGGTTAAGCGCAAAAAAATGATATACCATGTATTCTCTGATTTATATACCTCATATTGTTGTGCAAGTGCATCTATAGGGAGGTTTCATGTACATGTCCATGCTGCATTTAAGTTTGGAAATATCAAGAACTGTGTACTGACCATCAAAACATCTTACTTATTTTATGGTCCCATCAGATGAGGATGGAATGACAGCGCCAGAGAGTAACTCCTGAATCTCATTTTGTTCTGCAATTTGAGATCCATAGGTAAACAAACCTGGCACCTGAAAAGAACTGATATTGTAAGATAAACAAGAATTGAAGTCTGAATGATCGGTAATGATGAAATTTAACATAATAATCAACCTGAGCTGTTGCTGTCAGTGTATCATTGCAATGAAGAAAAGGATTTCTTGGCCCGCGGATGCGATTATCATTCTGCATATCGTCTGGAACACTGGGTGCATTCATAGCTGGAGAAGGGATCTGAGGCATCTGGTTTGGCAGAGAATTGTTCATGTAATATGTTGTTCTTTGCATCTGATTCAGGCCTTGAGCTTGAGCCCCAGGCATGCATGCCGTGTTCAATCCCATGCCCATCGGTGGCATGAGCTGGTGGGTACCGGGGAACATCATCGGCACAATCCCGGTAGTCATCCACATGATCTGAACATGAAGCAACAGTCTCACAATCAGGCACCGTGATTTGATTCATCCAGAAGGATTGAAATTCTATTGCTACTGTGGAGAAATGGGGAAAGTTTGATTTCAAACCTGAACTTGCATTTGCAGGGACTTCAAGTACTCAATTGCTTCATCTAGTATGGATGCTTTGTCAGTCTGAGAAACAGCTAGAATCATCAAATTGCCACAAAATTCAACCATGGCAATAGCCAAGAACACTATACTATTATACAGGATAACAAAAATTCCCACAACTTTTCGCAGAAATTATTTTACCTTGTTGCAATGAGGTACCAGTTCTTGCAATGCTCTCAACTTCTCATTGATCCTATCCCTTCTTCTCTGCAGCAAGAACAGCAAAAAAAATCAAGAACATTCACCTTGTTGCAAATGATGCAACACCATCTATCCATCAATGGTTGGTTGGTGTTCTTGAGGTCTTACACGCTCTGACAGGTTGTGGACCTCGGCGGCGCGAGTCCGGCGCTTCGCCGCCGGCCGCTTCGACGGCCGGGTCTCGTCGGCGACCTCGCTAAGGCTGTCAACCAGCTCCTCCCTCCCCCGCTTGAACAGCGGGTAGCTCCCGCTCCCGCTCCCCGACCCGCCCGACGACGACGCGCCGGCGGCGCGCGCGGCGCCCGGCCCCTCCTCCTCCTCCTCCTCCTCCTCGCGCGGCGCGGCGGCGTCGATGTCGTCGTCGTCGTCCGCGGGCAGCGCCGGCGCCACGACCGCGTTGCTGCCGCAGATGCTCAGGTCGGCCTCGTCGAGACGGCTCGACACGTCGTCGCTCCTCGCCGCCGCCCGCGGCGTCGGCGTCGGCGTCGCGAGCGCGAGCGCGCCCGCCGCGTGCCCGTCGACATTGGCGAAGCTGTGCCAGAGCTGCGAGTAGATGTCCCTGCCCATGCCCAGGCCCAGCGCGTCGTCGTCGCCGCCGCCGCCGCCACCGCCATCCGCGAACCACGCGGACGCCGTCTCCTCCTCGCCGGTGACGCCGCTCCGGGCGAGGACGTCGGACGATCGGTGGCGCGTCTGCGCGTGCGCGACGACGCCCCCGTCCTGCCACAGGAGCTCCACCAGCTCGCCATCCGAGCTACGCCACGCAAGCAAACAGAACGAAATCCTCCAATCTTTACATCGATCAAGAACCATAGCAACACAGAACACAAGATCAAAAAGAAAAAGGAAAAAGAAAACGAAAAATCTTGATTACAGCAAGGGCTTCTTCTGGTTCATCATCATCGCCGACGACGACGACGACCTTGCAGTTGCACCCGCATCCATGGCGCCGCAATTCTTCGACAGCCGGCAGGTCACACTTCACTGAAAATTCAGAAAAGCTAATCAAAAGAGAGAAGAGGAAGAAGCAAAGAACTGGAGTACAGTGATCATGGCAGTGAGCTGAGCTGACCTGACCTGACCTCGTTCTTCTTGCTCCTCTTGCTCGTGGAGAGGAAGTGAGAGTGGCGAGGAAGCAAGGTGAGATGTCTAGTGGAAGAAATGGATGGATAGTTGTAGTTGGGCTCGATTTCGTCGGGGAAATTAAAGCGGAGAAAGAATGAGGGAGACGTGTCCGTAGCATTTTTGTATGGAGGAGGAGAGGACGGGTTGACGAACCGTCGGTTTTTTTTTTTTTTGGCCTGCCTGCTTTGGGACGTCACGTAACATTGTCAGTCAGTCAGCCATATCCGGCCCAGCCCTCAAAATCGGCAACGGCAGTCGGCAGCTTGGAAAGGAGTACTGTTCCCAAAAAAAAAAAAACCTCCCTCCGTCTCATTTCAAGAGTAGTTGTGGGTTTCGTATTCAACGTACAGTGGTGGAGCCAGCATCATCATTAAGCCCATAGTATTTTTCGGTGATCGATTAATTTTTATGGGTGTCAATAGCTATCAATAGTGGTGACGGTAATAGCGGAGCCCGCGCGGCTGCCCGACTTGCCCGGGAGGTGGATCCGCTGCTGTCAACATGGGTTTTCGTATTCAACGTTTCACCATTCGTTTTATTTGATTTTCTTTCGAAAAAAAATAAAAATATAAGTCATGTATAAAATATTATTTATAATAAAAATACAACCATAAAAAAGTTTTAAATAAGATGAACGATTAAATATTGAATCTAGAAACTTACAGCTATATTTAAAATGTGATGGAGGGAGTACTCCTGGTTGCATTCAAAATTTATCATACAACTAACAAAATACCTATACATCATAGCGGATTCTAATTATATTAGGTAAACTGATGAAAACTAAATTGTCACCCTCTGATTAATGATGATAGTAGGATAAACACTAAAAAATACACATAAAGCAAATAGATTCTCACTGCAGTAGAATTTAGGTTAACAGTGATGGTCCATAAGATAGATGGTGGTCTCCCTCTTATCGGGTAGGTGAGTATACCATAACACCGCTACTAATATGGTGTAAATATAGAACTTCTCCGTATATTTTCTTACCTCAATTTCTCTACCTACTTTCTTATTATTCTCTCAACAATATTAAACATAGGTCATTTATCAGGTAAAAGAATAAATATCCCCTTTTAATTTTACCACTCTCGTACTTCTTGTAAAAAAAAAACTTCACTAGTCCCTGTATTTTTTGGACGGAACTACTCTTTACTTGTTTATGCATGTTAGTTTAAAGGTGGGAGTTTTATGGGGTACTCCCTTAAATATATCAGTAAATAAACATGTACTCCGTCCCAAAATATACTCCTCGCTACGTTCAAAACTTATAGTTCTTAGTACATAGTACCTACTTTTCTCAACCAATAAACGAACATCCCCATTTCTCAGGTAAAAGAATAAATGTCCCTATTTAGTTTTATCTCTCTAGCTTGTTAGATACCATTAAAAAATTTTATAAAATGCTTATATTTTGGGACGGAAGAATTACTCCTACTTCTCTATGCAGGTTAGATTGAATGTGACAATTTTCTGTGATACTCTTTTTAGTCCGCAATATAATCAATGTTGGTGTTTTAGTGAAGATTAATGTTGAGATTAAAAACGACTTTAATGTTCGGAACAAAGTTTACAAAACCGATGAACATCGGTTTGTTTTTATGAAAACCGGACTTTCCGAGCTTGCTTGAGAACATAAATCGCCTAGTTTTCCGGTCAAGTTAAAAAAAAAAACCCAAACTGAACTTTACAGTTATAACAGAACTTGACCAAATTTTATCAGCGGCCAACGGTTTTCAAACGGTATGGTGACACAGTAACGTGTGCTGAGAATTACCAAACATATGCTTATATTAATGGATAGAGTGAGGGAGTACGTCGTGGAACAGAATTATAGTACCAGCAGTAGTTGTACTCATTTGAGAATTACACGTAAAAAGAAAAAAGAAAGTCTAACGTTGAGAGTTGAGACCTTTAAGAATTCGTACCAGTACGTAGTAGTTGTACCCCTTCTTCTCTCGCGCCACCGGCCATAGAGCGCGCTCCTATGACGTAAAGTCAGAGGGACATTGTCACTGGCATGTGGGATTCATATGACTTGAATCCCACATGCCAGTGACAATGTCCCTCTGACTTTACGTCATAGGAGACTCATCAACCGGCCACCACCCTTCTTCTTCCACGGGCCACAATCAATGAAGCTCATTCCTCCCTTCCTTCCACACGTCGGTGCCATTCTCTTCCACAACCGACCTCTTCCCCCACACGCTGGTGTCATCCTCTCCTCCCGCACGCTAACATCCTCTTGAGTAGATCGAGGCGGCATTGTCGGTGAGCTTCCCGGCTGCGTGAATCAAGGTTAGATAGGGGTGGTGAGCTCTTGGTGGACCGGATCAAGGTGAGGACGGTCTTCTCCGACGCGGATCTGGTCAGCTTGAGCTTGTCCAAGGCGGTAGGCTCTTCAATGACGATGACGATTCTTCTTGAGCCGACCCATAGTGGCGATGAGCTACAATGGTAGGTTCGTCGCCGTGCTTGTACCCTGGCCGCTAGAGCTCGGAGGGAAGAGGTTGGTGGGGGAGGGGGGGCATCACGTCGCGGGAGCATGACGTCCCTAACGCGGCTTCGACTAGAGGCTGGCCCGTCTTGGGTGCCGAGGAGCTTCATACGGCTACGACCGTGATGAACGTGACAGCATAAATCCTTGCTGGCACGTTGGGACCGAATGCCACCGAGACGCAATAAGAGTAAACAAAGCTAATACTATTAACGTTGTCAGTTGCCTTAGGAAGTGTTTAAATCTATGGACTATGGGTGTAAAGTTGTAGCGTGTCAACATATTTAAAGTATTAAACGTAGACTAATAACAAAACAAATTATAGATTCCACATGTAAACTGCGAGACGAATTTATTAGGTCTAATTAATCTATCATTAGCAAATATTTACTGTAGCACCACATTGTCAAATCATGGAGCAATTAGGAAAGATTTGTCTCGCAATTTACACGCAATCTGTATAATTAGTTATTTTTTTTATATTTAATACTCTATGTATGTGTTTAAACATTTAATATGATAGGATGTAAAATTTTGGCAGGGGACCCTTATTATCCGTGGCAAAAAAATCTTGCGGAGATCTCGGAGGTCCTAGACCGTGTACCGTATATACTTCTCTAGTACAAGTAGTGTAGAGTGGCACGTACTCCGGCCGGAACCGTAAGAAGAAGAAAAAAAATATTCGGTTTTGGGGAATCGTGGGGAGGTCAAAGCTCTGCCTGTGTGCTCTGCGTAAAGCCGGCGGTGGCCGCTGACCTGACCATGATCAGGCCATGCCGTAGGCGTAGTACTTTTTCTGTGGAGGGAGCGAGTGACCAAGGCCGTGTTCAGTTTCCCGGTGTTCTCAACTTTTCATCACATTATATTACAATAAAAACTTTTCTACACACATAAATTTTTAACTTTTTTTTTTCAAACTCCTAACTTTCTTCAAACTTTAACTTATTTTTAAACTAAACACACCCCAAGCTCACATGTACACCGTCGCAACTCGCACGCATATGCACCCTAAAAAAATTAAGATATATATTTTATTTCAATTTTTATTGGTATTTTTTTAAACTGCTTAACGGTGTGTTTCGTAAAAACTTTATATATATAAATTGCTTAAAAATATTACTTTTCTAGTTCTAATATAAGTGCAATCTAATGTAAATATGATATATACTAAGTTACAGTTTATATTGGAACGAAGTAAGTAGGTAAACTTACTTCTTTAAATTTATAATAATTAAAATTTAATTAATCATGTGTTAATGGTTTTGTTCTTTTCCGTGCTCTAACATTATCTTGGGTACAAACGAGCACCATGTAAGTACTGGATAAGGATCCTCTGACCGTGCCGTCGATACCCCTCTCCGGTCGGTCCCCGGAGCTGGAGCTTTGTTCCTCCACGGCAATGGCATCATTCACCACAGCTGGCACTTCGAGCATGCCTGCTCTGTTGTAGCCTATTGTTTGGCTTATGTGTTTATATGTACTCATTCCATTTTAAAATATAAGTATATTTTAAGATCCTGACACGATCTCTGAATGATGGTACTTTAACCAATAATATCTATAAAAGTAAAATATTTTAAATAAAAAGAGTTATATATTACGATGGTTTGTTTAATGATAAATTTAGTAACATCAATTTTACATGTTCTTTTTAATGTTTTTGCTATTAATAGTCAAAGTTAAAAATGTTTGACTTGTTACTATGCTAAAAATGCTTATATTTTGGATCGGAGGGAATACAACTTATTAACAACTAAAAAAATACTTTAGTAAAATTTTTATATATGTGTTATTAGCGATTTTATAACCAGCGTTGTAAAATAAACTACAATAAACGCTTGTGTATCTTTCAGTTTTTTCTCCTCTTTCCTTTTCTCTCTTTTACTTCCCTTTCCTTTTTCTTGTTTCCTTTTTCTCTGTTTTTCTTCTCTATTTCTCTCCCCTTTTTTTTTCTTTCATGTATTCTTCTGGGACAGTCACTCTCTCATCCGTCCCTGAAACCTAATACGGATGTGATATATTTTAATATTACAAATCTGAATAGCTGTTTGTCCAATTCATAGTATTATGATAAATCAAATCTATGTTATGTTGTACTATGTTAGTATAGTATTTTGCAAGGTGCTGTTTATGCGTGTTTGAACACTCCTGCGGATCAAAATGAATGAATATAATGATGCACGGGTCTCCTACACGTTTGAAAAAAGAATTGTGGGAGGCCGCAATTAAAATAATTTTATTAACTTCATGAAAACGCAGTAATGACCCATATAGACACTTGCTAATTGCTCGATCCCCTCAAAGCTTTAAGCTTAAGAGCAGGTACAATAGTATACTATAAGCCAGTTATAAACACAGTTCGAGAAGATAAAAAAAAGAGAGAGAAAAGCAGCGGGTTACAGATTTATAGCCAGCTACAGCACGGACTACAAGATGCATGTGTGTATGACAGATGGGACCAGATATTAATTGTATAGTATATGTTTATAAATATTGTATGAATTAACTATTAAGTTAACTATAGATGATTTGGAGCTAGCAATTGGCTATACTATTAATCTTGCTCTAATTAGTCAGGGATCATTTACGTCGCCGTCTATAGCTACTACTGTGTATACGTTTGATATATTGTATTTCCAGCTCGCGCTTGCACATGCTGATTAGGAAACTTTCTCACGTCATTTTAGTTTCAAATCGCTGAAATATTAATCCTTGCACTTTGTTGTTAATTTTGGAGTAAATTACACTTTGCATCGGGTAAAACACACCCAATTTCACTTTTTACCGAGCTGCTTTCAAATAAGTTTCACTTGGCACCAGGATAAACATAATCAAACCTATAGAAATTTCATCAAGTTTTACAAAATATGGATAAAACTTTGTGAAACTTGGTAAAAAAATATCACAAGTTTCACACGTGGTTTATAAGATTTTCCTGCAGTTATATGATGCAATCTAGTGTAAAACACAAATTATTTTGATATACCCTGATGCAAAGTAAAAATATGTACTAAACCCAGTGTAAAGTGAAATAACATATATTTTACCTCGTGTGAAGTGTAATCACTTGTTTGTTGCCCCCCCCCCCCCATACTCAAATCCTGGCTTCGCCACTGGCCATATTCATTACATTGCAAACAGGTTTTCTCTTTTTCCAGAGAAAATAAAACATTGGTTTCTTGAAGATAATCCAGTTACCAATCTTAGTTGTAATATGGTCGATGAGCATACATGCATGTACGCTACTCAGACTGTAAATTTTGGTTATTTTCTAAGACATCTTAATTTTCAGTTCCAAAGACTACACATGGTTCCTATCTATGTATGTCTAGATCATTGTGTATTTATGTAAATGATGTTCTCGGAGACCCAAAGTAGAAGAAAAACTCACTAGAAATTACAACTTCTCTACTGGGAATCCGATGACCGGCTTGATCTCTCGTGCCATGGAACGCAGTTCTTCCACCTCCTGATCCGTCAGGCTCCACCCGAGCGCACCAGCGAACTCCCTGGCCTGCTCTGCGTTCTTCGCTCCGGGGATCGGCACAACGTTGCCTTGGCAGATCAGCCAGTTCAGAACCACCTGAAGAAAATGCAGGAGAAAAAAAGAATGGAGCAACTTTGCTTACTACTATGTCATCGAAATTGGTGCACTGCAAATTTCCGAGAATTCAAAGTGTTAGTGGTTGTTTTAGCTTCAGCATTTGGGATCTTGTTGATCTCCAGGTAGCCCTTGAGCTTGTTGAAAGATGAAATTATCATTTTTTCCCTCTTACAATTTACTCCTATGTCTGAATAATTTGCATTCTAAGTTTTTGGCAATGGGTAGACTTCAGAAAAGGAAATATTGAGCAGCAAGAACACCTGAGTTGGGGTCTTCTCATAACTTCCTCCAATCTCTTTAATCCTGTTAATAAGTGGTTGGAGCTGTTTGGAATAAGAAACATCTTCAATGAGCAGAGTTGCAGCAGTGCAATAGGAGAGGGTTCGTGAACAAGGATGCAACAAGCTCATAATAATATTAGTAAAAAATACAACCTTGGTCAGGAACTCAGGAGTGTATATTCGTCCACGGGGCCCAGTTGGGGGATTATTTGGAGTGTATTTTCCTGTCAGAACACCTGAACAGAGGAGACATATTAAGCTAGGATTTTATTTTCGATAATCACTCATTTGAGAAATGGAATGATGATCGATGAAGTAAACATTTCAGTTCTAAGATAGGACATTTTCATTTAAACTACTAGATTGAACATTTTTCTTGCAAAAAAAAGATCTTGATATAGTTGAATGGTAATGTGAAGAACAGAATCAGAGAATCAGAATTCTACCTTGAGCGATCGGGGAATATGCGATCAAAGTAATACCAAGCTCATCACAAGCCGCTTTTACCCCATTTTCTTCAGGGTTCCTGTATATCAAACTGTAGTTTACTTGGTTTGAAGCAAGTGGAACTCCCCTCTTCTTGAGGCGCTCGTAAGCATCCCGTAGACGCTTTTCTGTATCAAATTATAGAAAGAGCGTTCTTGAAATTAGTTTCACTGAAAAGAGGTAACTAGCACAACAAACTGCATCATATGTAACTCTTGAAGTCAGATTACAACCGCTGTAGTTTGAGACTCCAACAGCTTTTACAAGACCTTGCTCATAAGCATCTCCAAGACCATCAAGGTAACCTGAATCATGTAAGAACAATGTAATTGCTCCCACTGCTTCCTGAGTACAGTTCAAATATTTCTATTATGTATTTCCTCCATATTTTAATATATGATGCAGTTGAATTTTAAACATATGGTTGACAAACCATCTTATTCAAAAATTCATATAATTACCATTTAGTTTGTTGTCATTTGTTTTATCATTAAACATACTTTAAGCATAACTTATTTTTGCATATTTGCACTGGTCAGACATATATGCAAAAATCAACAGCATATATTAAAAAGTGGAGGGAGTATTTAAATATGGGTATATTAAAGAATACCTTCATTTCCCCATATCCCTGGCCTGAAAAGGAGATGATGACACCAGTTAAATAAACTAGCAACAATAATAAACACATAATATTGGAGTGAAAAGACAATGAGACAACCAATGAAGTTGGTAGAGCTCAACTGAGGAGACGCCAAGGCGGGATAACGAGTCCTTCAGTGCAGAAATAACACTTCCTCGGCCAAGCCTCCACGGAAGGGCTGCAAACTTTGTCGCAATGGCTACTTCGACCTGTTCTTTCTGTTGCCTTTCCTTGATGAATCTGATGGTAAATGAGAACTTAGAACAAATTTTGTGCTAAAATCGTCATATATTTGGAACAACAAACAGTTGTACATTGTATACCTTCCTAGTAAACTTTCTGAATTTATGGCTCCTGATATCTTCAGAACATCCATAACCAAAATGCAGTGTTAGATCTTTCCTTCAAATGAACCAGAGAATGATCAGAAACTATGAACAGGGTTGGTTCTTACCCCTGCACCATATACTTCTGCAGTATCAAAGAAGGTTATTCCGCAATCGACACTCGCATCAAATGCTCCTTTAGCAGCCTTCAATTTCCTATCTGGCAAATTTCAGAGTGCTTCATCATATTAAGGGACTGTCACTGGTATCTTTGTCATTGGATTGTCATTGACATTAAGCAAATTGTCTACTTCACTAACAATTGCAGAGATTTATGACATTTCATGTGTTTGGTCGTTAAAATTTCGCAAAGCATATTACATGTGGCACGTGGTTTCTTGCAGATAATGCAACATGCACATCAAGCACATGGGATGTATGACCCTGATTTCAGCCCAACAAACAAATAACAAGTAGCAGGAAAAAAGGAATGCAAAAAAGAAAGACAACTTTGTTAAATATCACACTTTCAGATCCTACATCCTTAGATGGCTGGTGCCTTCCAAACTATACAAAAATCAGACTCAAAACATTCCAATGCGAGTTGCTTAAATTCCACAATCTGTAATTAGTTCGAACGTTGCGAGTTGCAACAACATTAGGACAAGCAGAGAGAACAAATCCATGAGCATGTTCATGATCAAAGATTCACCTAGAGACCTGACCCCTTAACTCATACTCCCCCTGACCATAAATATTTGACGTTTAGTCTAGTGTCATAATTGCAATGCAATGTTTACTTAGACTAGGCCCCAGGATGTTCATGTCTTAATGATACCACCACTTACAGTTACCTTGGGACAGAAATCAATTGCAAATAGTACTACACTGTTAGTTCAAGGTTAGTAAGTTTACAAACCTCAGTTAGACAGCCTTAATTACTACTTAGCCCTTAGTACAGGTTAAAACTATGACCCCTTTGAACCTGAAAGCTAGCTCATCAGCTACATGAAACTCTACAACACAATGAGTGGAATCAATCCCAACAATTCCCCCAAAATCAACATATTAGGTGGAGTCCGGACTCCAGACTCTCCTACTGAGATCCTAAATCAAGAACTGGTCAATCAATCCCGATCGATTGCAGGTTTGCAGGTGGAATAACACAAAAATAATCAAGAGTTAATAAGCAAATCGATGAGTATGCGCATTGGGCGAACGTACCGTCCCACTGGAACTCGTTCCAGTAGGTGGTGTCGCCCCAGGACCAGGCGCCGATGCCGAGCTTGGTCACCGCCACGTCCGACCCACCCAGCCTCACCTTGCCGTCCTCCTCCACCGCCGCCGCCGCCGCCGCCGCCGACGCCGACGCCCCGGACGCGCGTGGCGGGCGTACCGCCGCCGCCGCTCGTCGGCTGGGGAGGAGGGGCGCCAGGCAGCCACCGGCGACCTGCAGGGTCCCGGCCATCATTGCAGGCAAGCTACCTCCTCACTGTTGCTCGGCCTCGGCGCGGCGGCGGTTGCTGGGCTTCGACTGCGAGTGGCCGGGAGGCGCGAGCTTCGTTTGGCCACGAACGAGACGAGGCGAGGAGAGGAAGACGCCGGCGAGAGTAGACTGGCAAGTGTGTTTGGCGGGTAAACACGTGGACGCGCCGCTGGCCGCTCTGGGTATATCGCTTCCAAATAACTCAAAAAGAGAGAGAGAGAGAGAGAGAATTTATTTTTTTTTGGCGGTAAAATCATTCTATAGAAAAAAAAAAGAACTTCTGGCCTCCTTCGATGTTAAATAATTAAATTTTGCAATCTTATTGTTTAAATCTGGTGCTTATGATAAGATTCAATCAAACTTATAGTATTCATATCATCATTTTTTTTTTAAATTACACAGTACAACGCAGACACTCACAACGCACGCACACCCACCCCTATGAACACACACAAACCATACCCCTATAAGCATCTTTGAGGACTGAGCCGACAAATCTATACTAGAGATTGACAAAGTCACTACAGGCGTATGTTACTTATAGAATTTATATAAAGAGTCTCTGAACTTGTATAGATGTTTTTTTTATGGGAAACTTTTATAGATGTTACTATTTTTTTATGAAATGGTCAAATCTAAAAAGGTTTGACTAGAAAAAAATTTAAAGCGACTTATAATATAAAACGTACGTATGAGATCTATTTCTTTTTTTAAATACAAGTGTGTAATGGTTCACGCGTGTTTGCGTCAAAGTTACATTGTACAGGCATTTGAATCATCACTGGGCAGGGCTGGCTCAAAGTCATATAAACCTTTTCTATTCATGCAGGCAGAAATTTCTGACTCATTTTCTACACCTTCTACACATTTTATCGCCGTAAAATGTTTACTATTGCATGGTACAATCAATACACATCTCCTATCATATACATGAAAAACTTCTTCAGTTTTTACATGTCTATGACTCCTCGATGGGCATCTTGATGCCCTTGATCTCGCGTGCCAGAGACCGCAACTCTTCGACCTCGTCGCCGGTGAGGCTCCAGCCGAGCGCGCCGGCGAACTCCTGCGCCTGGCCGGCGTTCTTGGCTCCGGGGATTGGCACCACATTGCCTTGGCATGTCAGCCAGTTCAGTGAAACCTGAAACAAAAAAAAGAAAACACCAGCTGTTTTCAGTGGAACTGCACTTCTGTTCCTTGCAAGTTGCTGCTCATCCTACTTGGAGATATTAATTCCTTTTCTTGCATGGATTTGCTGAGCATTATATGAGGTGAAGCACCTGGGTTGGGTTCTTCCCATAGCTTTCTCCAATCTCCTTGATCCTGTTCATGAGTGGTTGAAGCTGTGCACATGAAACATGTTTATAGGTTTTAGATAAGAAAAATGTTCAGTTGCAGAGACTAAATGGCGCATCCAAGCTGAAGCTGTATGTAACTAGCTAGCTTAAGGGTTCAGTAATATGTACTAATATAACCTTGGTGAGGAACTCAGGGGTATATGTGTTTGCTCGAGGACCGGTAGGAGGTTTTTCTGGAGTGTATTTTCCTGACAGAACACCTGAACAACGGAAATGAGTCATTACAAGAACAAGGGCCCCATCGGTTGGCCAAGAGCTAATTATATGCCAAATGGTTTATTAGCGATCAAAAAACCAATGCTGAAAAAGAAACTACGCTGAAAATACCGTAAAATCAACTCCAAAATTAAGTTTTAAAATTCAAATTTTAGCGGCCTAATCCTTTGGCCGTCCCGGCTAAAAAAATGTACAAGAACGAGTGCGATTGTATTGTAAATAGCACTAAATACGATGAAGCAATTAGGACAGAAAATAAGGAGAAATGGTTCTCACCTTGGGCTATTGGGGAATAAGCAATCAGGGTGATGCCAAGCTCATCACAAGCTGCCTTCACACCATTCAACTCAGGAGTCCTGTATATTAGGCTGTAGTTCACTTGGTTTGCAGCAAGTGGAACTCCTCTTTTCTTCATCCGCGCATATGCATCCCGAAGGCGTTTCTCTTGAATGAAGTCATCATAGAAACTATTATTTCAATGAAAGTTTACTGAGGAAGAAACAATTCGAGGAATGTACAAGAACATTTAATTTGCAGGCCACAGACAGAATACAGACCATTGTAGTTTGAGACTCCAACAGCCTTTACAAGGCCTTGCTCATAGGCATCTGCAAGTCCATCAAGATACCCTGAATAATGCTCAACGATGTCAGAATGTTGAAGTTTTTGTCATGCTAGAAGGAACTATCTAATAATTCATAAAAATGGTTATATGGGTAATTTTCATTGGACTGTGTACCTTCATTTCCCCATAGCCCTGGCCTGAAAACAGAGAAACAAAAGCGGCTGAGATCAAAATGCTCAAAATTTACAGAAAAAGTATGTATCAGAGAAAGAGCAGACAAGCCGACCAATGAAGTTGGTAGAGCTCAACTGAAGATAACCCAAGACGGTCAAGCGATTTCTTCAGTGCGGAAAGAACACTTCCTCGGCCAAATCTCCATGGAAGTGCAGCAAACTTTGTTGCGACGGCAACATCAATCTGTTCTTTCTCCTGCCTTTCCTTGATGAAACTGGCGGCAAGAGAGACAACAACAGGTGACTATTGCTGCACATGTGACTTTCGCAAAAATAAAAAATAATAAAAAAAATGGAGTGCTGAACAGCAAAACGTGGCATACCCTCCGAGTAAACTTTCAGAATTTACTGCTCCCATCAGCTGAAGGACAGAACAACTAAGGTTAAATGAACCTTCAGAATTTTGACGCAAGGAAAATATGAGCGAGGAATCATGAAGTTTTTCTAGTTTCTTACCGCTGTACCATAAACTTCTGCTGTATCAAATAAGGTCATCCCATTATCTATGCTTGTGTCAAATGCTGCTTTAGCCTCCTGCAGTCTCCTGTCTGATGAAATCAAAGGAAGCACGTTTTCTTATCATTTCTTTGTTCTGTTTTTGGAAGACTTTTCTTCCCAAAACAGCAGCAACGATTGTATCACAAATACAAAGACCATAACATACACCTGAAGTGGAAACCTTACAAAAGAAAAACTCTCCCAGAAAGAGGGGGAAGAGGGGCAGGAAAAGGACAGAGTTGATAATTAACTAACCAATGATAGGGACATGTTAAGTTGCTAATTAACTAATCAGGAAGAGATTTACACCGGGCCCTCTTGAAAGGGAAACACCAAACCAAAACCAGTGACCTGCCTGATGGTTGTAGTCCGGAACAAGAACAATCGGATGACCGTTGGTTTGTAGACGATATGTCTCAACAAAAGGGACTTTTTGGTTGTCGAAATCACATGACAAAATATTTCACACCGGAGAGGATTGAAGTGACATGCGTGCAAGTGCAAGTCACCCGGGGAGGCAATGCAACAAGCACCTTGTGCGCATGGGAAGCATGACCTGATCACACACTTTCTGCCCCTGCTGCTTTGAGCTGCTTAGAACCAGACCTACTACAGGTAACACCTAAACAACTGAGAATCACCTGGAGCTAAATTTGACTGCAACAATTAGCAACAAGAACTAATCTTTTCCAGCACAAACAAAACAAGCTTGAACAATTCGATGGATTGATTAATGAGGCAGTGCGTACCGTCCCACTCGGAGTCGTTCCAGTAGGTGGTGTCCCCCCACGACCAGGCGCCGATGCCGAGCTTGCTCACCGCCACTTCCGACCCACCCAGCCTCACCTTCCCCTCCTCCTCGCTCACCTTCGCCGCCGCCGCGTCCGACGCCACCGCACGCGCCGCCGCCAACCGCCGCCGACCAGCTCCAAGAACGGGCCGCTGGCAACAGCAGCCGCCGCCGGCCACCACCTGCAGCGCCATGGCCGCCGCCATTGCTCTGCTGCTACGTGTGTGGTGCGTGCGTGCGTGTTGCTGCTGGCTCGAGGAGAAGAGAAGCCTGGCTCCTTCTTGTACTCTACCACCAAGGCCGCGACGAGGCGTCGCGGTCGCGGGAGCCAACGATTTTTTTTTCAAAAAAAGAATACAAATTTTGGCGGTAGAGTTGGAGATGCCACGTGAGTAACGTGCAGATGCTGCTGCTGCTGCGAGATATCTGCATGGACGGCCCAAATAAATCCGACCAAAAATACAAATCCAAGCTGAAATACAAATCCAGGCTAGCTTACAAATCCAGGTAGCATTCAGCTACAGTCTAGTGTGATGCAGATTGAGCTTAGCAGCAGTAGCATATCTGAGCAGAAAGATCAGAAGAGTTTTCCTGTCCGGAGGCTGGAGCCACACATTAAGCCTACCCAACATGTAGAACGATGAGATGAAAAAAAAATTCGTTTCATTTTTTTTTCCAACCAAGAGATTGATTCTTGCCATTCAATTCCAGGATTGGGAACCCAGATAAGTTGTGTTTCATCACCATCAAAGAACCAAGTCCACAGAATTCTTTCATCAATCCATCAGAGAAAGGAAGAAAGCAAAATGAGTTCTACTTCACTAGTCAACTGGCAAGCCTGATGAGGCACATTAGTCTTCTGGAACATACAAAACCTTACGTGATCCCTGGTTAATGTAAAATTTCATGCTTATCTCTGGCCTGGAGAAGCTCAGTAACATCTCGCACAACTCTCTTGCAGTGCTCACGGTGATTGAGTTATGGAAATTTATTGTCATCTGTTTCAGCACTGCTGCCCAACTGAATAGCCGCTCCACAACAGCAAATTCGTTCTCAGTTCCTCTCAGGTTAGTGATTTGCACTTCACGAAGGGAGTTCAACACAAGTTCCTCGGATGTCCAGTTTGGTGGAAGATCACAAACACAATCCGATCCACAAAACTGAAAAGAGCGGTATATTAGTGTAGCAACATTAAGCTTGCCTCAAGCTGTCAGGCTGCCTGAACAACTCGAGATAAACCAGCATAAAAAAGTCTGCAAAAGAATAACAACTTGGGTACTAGTTTGAAGCCAACCTCTGTCCTATGAGAAAGTTCTGTGAAAACGGAGTATAAATTTACGCACGTCCTAAGTATTCTAATATCAATAACGCATAGCCAGTTAGTATCATCTTCTAAATCCTTGTTGTGTTGCCCCAAAGTATTGCCGATAGGAGATGCATATGTCACACATTTACTACATATATCAGTATCAAACCACTATATAGAGTAGGGCAAGTAGCAAAATAGCAAATCAAGCCTAGTGTGACAGGAAATGTAAATACAAATTGCTTCTCGTAACTTCCTTAGTAACTCTGCATCAGATAAACAAACCAAGTATAGTTTCAGCTTTTACCTCTCGTTTATAATGATTATGTAATTCTAGCTTCAACCTTCTGACACCAGTGGTCATCCTGAGAACATGGAATAAGCTAGGACCAATACAATATCCACTTGAAAAGAAAATTAAGTTCAAGAACACAATGTCAGGGAGCACTGTCATATCTTCCATCAAGTATATATCGCCATTTATGGTCTGTTGTACAAAGTAAAATAAGTGATTATATATAATAGTTGGAGAGGATCCAAACATCTCATTGGAAGAAAGTTATTAGCATATGGAAAATGCTTGCTATAAGCTAAAAATTTTAATTCTGATTCAACAGAATCTGGCAATTCTAAATCTAGGAAACATGGGGTCATATATAGAACCTGGAAAAGTACAGAAACATATCATTTTGGATAATTCATTAGCCGCACAGGGCATGATTGTTACAAGCTAATGATTTCATTTGGATTACTTATTAAAAATGTCCAGCCAATATGGAAGCTTAGCAAATAAAAAGAAACTGTGCATTCACTATAAGTATGCGCCATGTCTCAATTTAAGCTTCGCAATAATAATATATAGTGCAAGAGTAGAAATAATGTCTATGATTGACCGGTTCAAATTCTCTCCACTCTTCAGAAACCATGTTTGCTTCAATAAATAACAAACTAGTGTAGTATTGCATAGTCCTAGCACATAATCTCATAGTAAGGTGGAAAGTGTAACGCCATCAATTAGAAAGATATTAAGATAGAGTAGGAAATAATGGAGAAGTGGTGTGCTCAAACATGATGCAGGGGCTTGAGCAATGCAAAACATGCCTGAAGTACTAAATTGTCTTACCGAATATTCAGTAGATTATGCAAATGCGTATTGTCTGTTGTGTAATAATCTAAGAACCAGCCTCCATAAATGATTTGTTTGTTACATTGAAAGTTGAATAGATGATATACTCATAATAGAGGATAGTGCTCTCATATACGATGTTAGTATGATGTCACACAAAGCAGAGGAACTGAACTCACTGGAAAGTAGGTAAGTAGGATGGAAAGTCTGGGGATGGCATCAAACTGAAAGTGCTGCAAGAGCCTTAGACAATCGTGATTGCGATCCTCTTCTCCATACACATAGAAATATGCGATGAACAGCCCTTTGAGATACGACATCTTGCCAAAATTGACAGAGCTCTGATCTAAATTAGTAGTACTCCACCCGAGAATCTCCAGCTTAGGTGCTGAGATGTTGGCGACGGGTTGACTCTGAGCTGAACCATCAGAAAAGTGGTAATTAACATCTAATAATTCAAGTGCTGGTGCCACCACATTGAACTGTTGCAATCCTATCCCCTGGAGCACAATCTCCACGAGAGAATTGGAGTGGATGTTGAAATTGTTCATCCTGTGAGCAGATAGCACGGTGAGCTTCTTCAGGGACGGGAACTACGGCGAGGAGACGGCGTCGCCGAGCTCGCATGGGCCATGGAAGAGGACACCGCAGATGGACAGATTGGTGAGCCGGGCGAACACACAGGACGGCGGCACGGCGAGGCCAAGGAACCCTAGCTCCAGCGAGAGCGAGGTGGCGCTCCCGAAGCAGGGAAGCTCAAGAAATGTACCTTGTTCGATGAGCTCCGAATCTTTCGTACTATTCACCAAGAACAGATCTCCGGCGAGGCGGCGGGCGGCGACGGGGAGCCATTCCGCGATGCGGCGAGGGCCAACGTCCGCGGCCCGGACGAGGAGGCGGAAGGGCTCCAACACTTTGCTTATTTTATTTACACTCGTTTCCAAAATAAATGGCATTTTAACTGTAACCATTATAATATTAAAAAAATATTAGACTATAGTGAGAAAAGTTAATGGAGCACTCATGTTTACTCTTAGAACACATTACATATCCTATGTAAACTTACAATATATATCAATTAACAAATAGTATCAAAAGTTTTAGAAAATTAAATTAGACATGTACTTCTAATAATTTTTAGTAAAATAATAAAATCAAACTTTTGGCAGCTTTTAGAATATAAATCTGTTACAATTTTTTTATTTATTTACGGAATTTATTTATAGACTTCTTATCAGAAATCGATAATGAGATTATTTACCGGCCAGAAACAATTTTTCACACTTTTTTCTGATAACAATTTTTATTTACAGTCTTCCATGAAATAATATGCTTATTCCGACATTTTAATTCTTACAATTAGTTAATTGAACAAGTAGTTGTAGCCTGATGATGCTGATCAGTCCCGTTCGTTTCTCCAACAAAAGTTGATGAAGATGAAAATAAAGATTTTCGTGGCACACTTTTCAAACTGTTAAATGATGTGTTTTGTGCGAAAATTTTCTATATGAAAATTGTTCTACAATATCAGATTAATCCATCTTTCAATTTTGTAATAATTAAAACTCAATTAATCATATGTTATTACCACCTCATTTTGCATGAAATATGTAATATGTAGACCTTGACCGGATGGACTGTTTAGCTTTGGGATGATTTGCCATGCCGACTGTCGGAGTATATAATACTCCCCCCATTTCGAAATATTTGACAACGTTAACTTTTTAGCACATGTTTGACCGTTCGTCTTATTCAAAAACTTTTGTGAAATATGTAAAACTATATACACATATAAGTATATTTAACAATGAATCAAATGATATGAAAAGAATTAATAATTACTTAATTTTTTTAAATAAGACGAACGGTTAAGCATATTTAAAAAAAGTCAATGGTGCCAAATATTTAAAAACGGAGGGAGTACGAGTTAAACAACAAGAAGAGCTATTACACTTGCAGTTGATATTTGTTTCGTAAGCAGCAGCACAGTTTTAGTTGACGGACTCTATCGATCTGTAATCTTCTGCATCAGATTTGAGTTAATCTGCCATCCTGTAAGTCAAAGATAATATCTGAAATCTAGTCTAGTAAATATATAAAGTAAATGATCGGGTTGAGCACATGCACCTTCCACTGAATTTCCTCTTCATCCTTTCGTTTATTTTTTTGAACCTTAGGATTTGGCCTTCGGGATTGCTAGTCTTTAAATACAAAAGTTGATTTATTTTAGGGGTATAAAAGAAGGGCTATGGTGTGTACTTGTGTTATTGCTTTTAAATTAGAGTACTCCCTAGTGCTAATGGCACTAAGCCAATGGTTTACTCTAGGATTAGTTGAACACTTGAACGTACTAGCAGGCATGCATGCTCATGTCAGACGTGACGACTTGCAAAATGTCGTGTATCAGTACCAAGTCTAAGGCCAAAGTTTTTTTCCAAACTTTCAACTTTTCATCACATCAAAATTTTCATACACACAACTTTTCTATCATATTATATCAATTTTAACCAAACTTTCAAACTTTAGTAAACTAAACACAGCCTAAATGAACTTCACTAGCAACTCATCAAAAGATTAGATTATATATACACACAAACACAAGATTAATTAAGGAGAGGTGAGTTAGTATAGAGGTGGAAATTCTCTACTTGATCGAACAAGAAGAGCACCCAACGCTCGCAATCTCCTCAGGATGCCGCCGCCGCCGCCGACGCCGCCGCCATCGCCACCGGTGCGCGTGGTGTCGACGCGCACGGTGAAGCCATCGCGGCCACGGCCGCGGGAGCGCATCCCGCTCACCACCTGGGACGTGTCCCTCCTCGCCGCCGACTACATCCAGAAGGGCCTCCTCTTCCGGCCACCGCCCGCCACTCTCCACCTCGTCGAACATCTCGCCGCCGCCCTCGCCGACGCGCTCCACGTGTACTACCCCGTCGCCGGCCGCTTCGCCACCGACAAGCACCCCGGCGGCGGCTGCTCCGTCTCCATCGACTGCGACGGCCAGGGCGCCCAGATCGTCCACGCCGTCGCCGATGGCGTCTCCACCGCTGACATCCTCCCTCCCGACGTCGATGTCCCGAGTGGCATCGTCCGCTCCTTCTTCCCTCTCGATGAGGCTGTCAACTACGATGGCCATGAGCTCCCGCTCTTCGTCGTCCAGGTCACCGAGCTCGTCGATGGCGGCGTCTTCCTTGGGTTCGTGTACAACCACGCGCTCTCCGATGGCACCGCCTTCTGGGACTTCCTCAACGCCTGGGCCGAGATCGCGCGCGCTAAGCTCGAGAACGCGGTGGCGACGTCGCGCGCGCCTCTCCTGGAGCGTTGGTCGCCCGACGGCGGCGCGGCGGCGCCGGTGGTGCTCCCTTACGACGACCTGGCGGGGCTCATCGCGAGGACAACGACGACGACACCTCCGCTGCTGCGCGAGCGGATGCTGCACTTCTCGGCGGAGTCACTGGCGGCGCTCAAGGAGCGCGCGCGGTGGGAGCTCCTCGCCGCCGGGGACGCAGCCGGCGCGGCCGCCGTGACGAGGTTCCAGGCGCTGAGCTCGCTGCTATGGCGGTGCGTCACCCGCGCGCGGCGGCTGGCGCCGGGCCGGGAGGTGGTGTTCCGCGCGTCGGTCAACAGCCGCGGCCGCCTCCGCCCGCCGCTGCCACCGGAGTACTTCGGGAACAGCATCCTCCCCGCGTCGACGGAGGCGGTGCCGGCGTCGGAGCTCCTGGCGCGCGGGCACGGGTGGGCGGCCGCCGCCGTGGGCCGCGCGGTGGCCGCGCACACCGACGAGCGCATCCGCGCGCGCTCGGCGGCGGCGCCGTCGGTGTCGGCGTTCAGGCTGTTCGACGCGAGCGGCGTGTTCGTGAGCAGCTCGCCGCGGTTCGACATGTACGGGTGCGACTTCGGGTGGGGGAAGGCGGTGGCGGCGAGGAGCGGCAAGGGGAACAAGTACGACGGGAAGGTGTCGCTGTTCCCGGGGCGGGACGGCGGCGGCGGCGGCGGCATCGACGCCGAGGTGGAGCTGGCGCCGGAGCACATGGCGGCGCTGGAGGAGGACGGCGAGTTCTGGGCCGCCGTCACGCCGGACCACCTGCTGCTGGTCAACGACAACAACGACAAAGCTTGAAGCTTAATTTCGTTTTCTTCCCATGATAATATTGTTTTGAGAGTGCTTTGACTGGTGATGGTTTAGTGTTTGTTTGCTGGCTTAATGGTAATCCAATGTCTATCAATAAATAAAGGGAATGTGGAATAATAGAGATGCATGGAAAGCGTGTTTAATTCTATGGCGCCATTGAAAGGCGAGGATTATACAAAGTTTGGTTTGTATTAAATTTGAATAAAATTTGATTGAATTTGATCAAAATTTGACTAAAATGGAAAAAAGGATAAAATTTTGGACGAAATAGTTGCGTGCCGGAGGGGTTTTCGAAATTTCAATCACTGCACCCGTGTGCTACTTAGGGTGGTTGCATCATGATAAAATTACTATATAAGCTATGAATTTGATTCCTACACGGTTATACGGATGATATATGATTACATTAGATACACACGCACGCAGACATAGGTTATCGAAACAGAACAGCCTCCCTCAATCTCAATTCTCAATATTCTCAACCGTGTTCTAGATTGAGATCGAACATAAAAGTTCTTCAACTGCCCTTTTGTTATTTGTTTTTTTGACAACATCTACAATTTAATCTTATGAATGAATAAACTCAATTGTCAAAAGCTTCTTTCGATATATACTATTTCTGGTAAAAAATAGAAATCAACTTCTATATGTTTGGTTTATGAATGAAACATTGGATATGACGATAAATACTTTGCTCCAAAATTATCACATTCATACCACAACTTGGCAGACGTAGGAGTGTAGAGTTAGAACATGAGTTCTCGCAGAAGTGACTAAACACTCACAATCTACCATGGTATTAGCCTTATATTCTGACTTTCTACAAGAAGGTAACATTGTAGCCTGCTTACATGCACTCAATGAAAGCACGGTTTGCATCTGCATATCTACTTATTATCGTTACAGGTGATTTATTTTTTGATTCCTAGTCCACTTGTATGCTTAAGACACCTTAAAATTTATTTTAATATAGTGCAAATGTACAATGAATTATGGCCTGATTGTAGGTGTTCAGACGGTCTGACTGGTGGATTCCTAGCATGAATTCAATCTGGCTCTTTTTTTATTTGCTTGAAGGGCAAGGTTTCCCAAGTCCTAGTGCTTTCCTAAAGTCTAGGTGGACATAGAGAAGTACCTGTTGGCACAAGATTACTTCTCCTACAAAGGCTTCGTCTAATTCGCAATTGATCATGTGCCTCCTAGGACGTGCGATCGCATGATAAAATCAGTGCTACTTCGTGTGGTAGCGCTACCTGCCTCCCTCTTCTCTTCCCAGGTAGGTCTCCCTCTTCTCTTCCTAGGTAAGCTAATGAACCCTTATAGAGAAAAAGAGCCCACTTATGTTTCTTGTTTTATGCGGGTCACAACCAATAGCTAACCTCTTTTTTTTTTCCTTTTATAGATAGATTGTATATCAAAATATTTGTATATATAAATTATACAAATAGACATTTTGTTGCGTGTAAACTTTGTACTAGTATATAGAAACTTTGTATAGATAAAATTTGTATATATTAATTTGAAAGAAATTTAGTAGCATATCATTTTGGCCTAGAAACAATTTATATGCGAAAATTTTATGCATAAATACTTTGAACATATAAACTTTATGTAATTTTGTTCATGTGAATTTTATACCTATAAACTTTGTACATCCAGTTTTAAAATAGATTCAAATAGCAATCTGGAAAAAACAAAAAAAAGCATGTGGCCTACGAAGTCCAAGTGTGCATCTTGTTGGATTTGGCCTGCTATAGAAAAAAAAATGGAAAAAGGCCCAAGCTTAATAAAAACACACATGGATTAAAAAGAAAAAAATATGCCCAAGAGGTGATAGAGGTGTCTTGGGCACCGACCACAGGGAGGGTGGGAGGGATGTGCCCCAAGCACCGCCCATAGGGGATCGCACCCCGGGGGCCGATGTGCCCCGAGCCGAGCACAGCCCACGGTAGGGGTGAAAACGGTATGGAAACTTCCCGATCGTACCGATACCGTTTCCGCAAAACTAATATAATAATAATAATTTTACCGTTGGTTACCGTTTTCAAATTTTAGTTTTTTTTTATTTCTGTAAGCGTGGCATTGAAGTTGACACTAAATAGATGAATTCATAAATATGAAAATTTCCAGACCGTTTCCGTTCGTTTTCGAAAAAAATAATAAAATAATGTACCGTTTCCGATTATTTCCGACCGTTTTCATCCCTAGCCCACGGGGGGCCATGCACGGGGCAAGCGATAGGGATGCTCTAGTTCCTATTTATAATTGTTTTCTTTTGATTCCAATATTAAAAGTAGCCCAAAAGAATATGGTTTTATGTGGAGAAAATCATAAAACCCTATCCATAGAAAGGTTTAGCCGGCTATTTTAAGTAGTACCACAATTTTGCAAGGTAGTACTATTAATTCTACACTGTATTCTTCAAATTTGTTCGATCTTTATTATGGTATGAATGGAATTTTCTTTTTTATGTGTCGGTCAACCCAGGAATTGTAGTAAAATTCAGAGATTATTGTCAAGAAACCTCGACAACCGATTCCATAAAATTCAATCAAGTACAAGCCCACATATATAGTATACAGTACATACATGAAAGAATGACAAAATATCTGTACGCCATGCAAAAACGTACAATCAACAAAATAGCATTAAACACACACTGACACTCATCGTGCACACATGGCGAAACGAGCTACGTTTAGGCCTTGGGTGGTGGCGCGAGGAATGGCATTGGAACGTTGGGGACGGCGGCCATCGGCGGCAGCGCCACCTTTGGCAACGCCGGCACGACGGCGGCGGGAACGACGACAGTGTTCGGCGGCACGGTGGGCACCGCGGGCATCGGCGGCAGAGTCACCGCCGGCACGGCCGGCACGGCGGGCATCGGTGGCATGGTCACCGCCGGCACGGTCGGGATGGCGGGCATCGGCGGCAATGTCACCTTTGGCACGGCCGGGATCGGCGGTAACGTGACCGCCGGGACGATGGTGGGGATCGTCGGTTTCGGCATGGCCGGAACAGCAGGAATGGCGGCAGCCGGCGCCTCGGTCGTGTCGGCGAGGTGCCGCGCTGCGTGGCCGGTGTTGCCGTTGCCCGCTAGGAGCACGGCAGCCACGGCAATGGCCATCGCGAGCAAGTTCGAGCTGGAAGCCATTGAAATATTGCTTGCTTTGCCCACTGAGCTAGCTACACTTAGCACAGCTAATATATTCAGTGTTCTAATTAACTACTGCAATAAATTCAGTGTTGTTTGATGCAAAGCAATGTATGGATACATTTATAGCTCACAAAGCTAATTGCATGGTCAGATCTTGACACTGGTTGTTGACCTTCCAAACCATCTGCAAGGATTTGTTAATTATTGGTTAGGAAGAAGAGATCATCAGGTGGTAATAGAGGTGGCCCAATATGTTGCATTGTTCTTCCTCGGTTAGCTCACCTATGATTAGATAGACAGTTGAAATGTGATTAGATCAGCACAAGTGTACTGTTTTGACAAGTTTGATATATCTCAAATCATTAGAACAGCTGTCAACACAAGCTAGCTAGCTTTCTGATCTCATACAAGGCATCAGGTTGAGAGCAGTTGAACGGTTGTACTTCGTTAAACTATTTTTTTTAGCATGGTATCAGTAAACTACAGTGTTCTCCATAAAGTTTGCATATACTCCCTCTGTACTTATAAAGGAAGTCGTTTAGAACAATGTTTAAGTCAAACCTTGAGAATATAAATCATAAATAACTCTCAAGTTGTTGAGTTTGAAAATGTAAAAATCATATATATAGATTTGTCTTGAAAAATACTTTCATAAAAGTATACATATATTACTTTTTAATAAATATTTTTGTAGAAATAAGAAAGTCAATGTTGTGTTTTGGAAACCGTGTCACTGTCCTAACGACTTTTTTTACGAGTATGGAGAGAGTATGATCCATAGTAAAACTAGAAGTTATTTTTATCCATAATGACTGCAGCTACTTAATTACTAAAATTTAAAATTTGACTAGACATGAGATAATTATAACTTTTGCAAATTAATTAATACTGCTATCTTCAGATGCATCAGTCTTCAGCTAGCCTGTGTGGATTGTGAGTCTGTGACGATTTGCGTGATTATTATTATTTAATTAGTTTATGGAATATGATTATATCTCCACGCTCTGTATATATAATTTAGTGCACACAGCCAAAAGTAATGACCTCTGATTTTTATTTGCCTCATGTACTCCATAGGATTGTAGTTATGGTTAATGTTGTTAATATGTATGGTTTCCCGCAGTTAATTAATTAATAGGTAATAATGCAACATACTTTTTCTGTCAATTAATATGTAATAATGCAACATGTTTTTTTTTCTCTGAAGACATTTCCATAATCTAACAAAAAATCTATTTCTAAAATATTTGTTCAATACTTTATCTGATAACATGCGCATATGTAACTGCATGCTATATTTTAAGATGTAACTACCAAATTTCGTTGGCAAGTACTAGTACTATATATATATATATATATGGTATATATATATATATATGGTGCCAGAAGATATCTATATATCGTCGCCATCAGCGTGGAGGAAGACGAGGATAAAATCATGACTCATGAATTGGAAGAGAGATCTTTTAAGTTCGGCTCCCTTCGAAATATACAAATTTTATGATATTTTTATAAGAATAACTTCATTTCTCAAGGTGTTGTTTGAGAAAATTTGTCATATTCCGAAGGAGGTTTTTTTCCTGTGGGCATGAGGTTAAGATCCCCATGTGGCATTGGCCGAACAATGGCAATCATCCAAATTGTTAAAAGAGGTGGCATGCAACAAATACTGCCAAGCCAACATGTACAAGTTCAAACTGACCAAAAGAAACTTATAATAAAAATGCCATATATATAATTTTACATGTGCTTATAACCGAGCCCTCCATATACAAAGATGCCCAATAACTAGAACAAATCACAAATAACTCGCATAAATGTACAAGCATTTACACACATATATAGAAAACAAATCAAACATGGAGAAATATATAACCAAAAGTCCCAATCAAATGACACAATTTATGTAGACCACTGCAGGTAGCATGCTGCTGATGCTCATGCCGAAGGAGGTGGCGCCAAGAATGGCATCGGCACGGATGGCATCGGCGGCAGCGTCACCTTGGGCACGGCCGGCATCGACGGCATCGGCGGCAGCGTCACCTTCGGCACGGCCGGCATCGGCGGCAACACGGCGTTCGGCACGGCGGGCACGGCCGGCATAGGCGGCAAGCTCGCCGCCGGCACAGCGGGCACCGCGGGGACTGTAGGCACAGCCGGCACCGCGGGCATCGGCGGCAGCGCCACCTTGGGCACGGCCGGCATGGGCGGCAACGCGGCGTTCGGCACGGTTGGCACCGCCGGCATCGGCGGCAGGGTCGCCGCCGGGACGGCAGGAATGGCCGGCATCGGTGGCAAGGTGACAGCGGGCACGGTAGGCACCGGCACAGCAGCGGGAGGTGTTGCGTCGGCGAGATGGCGCGCCGCTTGGCAGCTGCTGCTGCTGCCGGCGAGCAAGACGGCCATGGCGAGCACCGTGGCGAGGAGACCCGAAGTGGAAGCCATGGCTGAGAGATCTCAGTGGCTAGCTAGCTTGGCAATAGTTAGAACACTGCAAAACTGGAGCTGCTTGGTGATGCAAAGATGTGCATCTTTCGCAGCAATTTATAGGAGTTGATCAAATAGATTAATTCATTAGTTGACAACTTGACATTTGGTTGTTGGCCAAAGCAAGAGTACGTGTATCAGCTGCCAGGTTAATTGGTTTCAATGAGTTGGTTAGCTTACCTTCTTGCAGCTGAAAGCCATTCTGCAATCTGCATGATGCAAAATACTGGACCTCTGTTTGACAAATATTATAACTTGGTTGGCCAGGTTTTCTCCATATAAAACCTTAAAAAAAGTTATGTAGTACAGTCCGTCATATAACTAATCCTTTATTAAATTTCGACCCCATGTAAAATCTCTATCTTTTTTTTTAAAAAAAAGGGACTCCAGCTAGCTGGTGCTTATATATTTTTCAAACACTGTTTATCTTCTGAAGCATGCGAGTTCAGCCTATGTGAACTTTGAGTACATGATGACCTCTGATTTATGAGACGCCCGGCCCGTCGCCACATATACACTATATAGAGAGCTATTTTCTCTTTTAAAAAAAATCGATATATGGTAACATATGGTTTCTTGTGTAACATAATAGTTCTATATAGTGTATTGGGAAAAAAAAATCGAAAATGTGCTGTATTATTACGCATTAACTGTTTATGGTGTACCAGTCAGATTTTATTGGGAAAAGAAGGCTTCTATCATTGTTTTGGCATCGACATGGAGGAAGAAAATGGTAAAACCATGATCTGAACAAGAAATCAGAAATGAGAATTTTCACACTGGCCTGTATGAATTTTACGAGAATTTGTTTACAGCGATAAGTTCAATTCCCATACTGTTCAGGAAAATCTGTCACACTCACTGCAATGGTTTAATTTGTCGCACCTTTTCTCGATCTAGTGTCAATCATACAACAACAACAATAATAATAAGCTAACCGGTAGCTATAGCCAAATTCCATATCACCTATAGGCAGTATAGCAGCTAGCTTGTACAATAGTCATTATTCACCCTAACCAAGCCCACTACTATCTTATCTTCTAAAATCTAGACAATAAAAACCCACAAAATATTATATCTCTCCTCTTTTTTCAAACTACAACCAACTACAAATCTAAAGTCCTCTACAGTATATATTCCCCTTTTTCTTTTCTCACCGCTCTATATAAGATTGTGCTTGCGTGTATTCCTCCCTATAGCCTATCGGAGTATCGGACCATCTTTACCGTGCCAAGTCATATTTATTGCACTTGCTTTTAGAACATCCACATTCAATTTACCATACAATGACAATGATCCAAGTTACCAACAGACATATGCAACAAAATACAACCATTCTGAAATATGAACACAAGTAAAATTAACCAACCAAAATGAAACTTTTATAAACAAATGCCACATACAAGTACTTATAGCCAAGCATACTCCATATACAAACACGGCTAGAACAAAAATTCCAAAAAAAAAAAAACTCGCATGCAACATACATTTACTCACAGAAAACAAATCAAGCAGAGGAAATATATAACCAAAAGCTTGATATCAAATCAAATGACCCAATAAATGTGTAAGCATCGACAGCGTCCTTATGCCGAAGGAGGAGGTGCCAAGAACGGCATTGGCACGGATGGCATCGGCGGCAGCGTCACCTTGGGCACGGCCGGCATCGACGGCATCGGCGGCAGCGTCACCTTCGGCACGGCCGGCATGGGCGGCAACGCGGCGTTCGGCACGGCGGGCATGGCTGGCATCGGCGGCAAGCTCGCCGCCGGCACTGCAGGCACCGCGGGCATCGGTGGCAACGTGGCCGCCGGCACAGCGGGCACCGCGGGCATTGGCGGCACGGTCACCGCGGGGACGGTAGGCACAGCCGGCACCGCGGGCATTGGCGGAAGTGCCACCTTCGGCACGGCCGGCATGGGCGGCAACGCGGTGTTCGGCACGATTGGCACCGCCGGCATCGGCGGCAGTGTCGCCGCCGGGACGGCAGGAATGGCCGGCATCGGTGGCAATGTGACAGCGGGCACGGTAGGCACCGGCACGGCGGCAGGAGGTGTTGCGTCGGCGAGGTGGCGCGCCGCTTGGCAGCTGCGGCTGCTGCCGGCGAGCAAGACGGCCATGGCGAGCACCGTGGCGAGGAGACCCGAAGTGGAAGCCATGGCTGAGAGATCAGTGGCTAGCTAGCTAGAACTGCAAAACGAGAGCTGCTCAATTGGTGATGCAAAGATGTGCATCTTTCGCAGCAATTTATAGAGGAGCTGATCATAGAGATTGATTGATTAGGTGACAACTTGACATTGGTTGTTGGCCAAAACAAGGGTATCAGATGCTAGCTGGTTAATTTGTTTCAACGAGTTGGTTAGCTTACCTTCTTTTGCAGCTGAAAGCCATTCTCTGCATGATGCAAAATATTGAACCTATGTTTGACAATATATATAACTTGGTTGGCCAGGTTTTCTCCATATATATTTTTTTTCTAAAAAAAAGTCATGTCCAGTTCGTCTTATAACTAATTTCTTTTAACAAATTTCGACCCCATGTCAAATCTCTATCTTTTCAAAAAATGACTTCATGTACTTTTATATTTTTCAAACAGTTTACCTTCTGAAGCATTATTGTCCTTTTTTTTTCAAATAAACACTCGATCTATAGGGACTATAGCTACTTAGATATTCTTGAAGGATTTGAACTAAGAACCATCAAAATGACTTCATTTTTTTTTTCAAATAAACACTTGATCACAAAATTTGATAAGATAGACTATAATAATATATATCAGACACTATAAAAACATGCAAGTCTAAATTAGATCTATATATGAAGAAACAAAAATGATAATTTTAGAGTAATTCTATGGTCCTTGAGGAGGTACCATGAGGTACCAAAATCTTAGTGTAAATTTTGGTACCTCACATTACCTAGGTACCATGAGGTACCAAATTTACAATAGAAAAAAATGATACTTCATGGTACCTCCTTAAGGACCGTAAAATTGCTCTAAATTTTATTTGCGCTATACGGATCCTATTCACTGTCTGATTTTATTATTTTTATTTCTCTACTTGTTGATGAAATTTAGTCTTGCATGTTTGCATATAGACTTATATCATCGCAGTCGATGTTACTAAATCTTTTTAATTTTTTCTATAACCATTTGAGTCATATACAAATGATGGGTGCCATGACACCTAGGTGTAAAAATCCTTGTCCCTTCATCATCCAGCTAGAAGTCTTGAACAACCACCAAGAAGGCAAATATGATCCGATCTCCTGCGGTAGCTCCACGTTGTGGCTAATTTTAGAGTAAAAACTAGCTTGGTAAGCACGAGACATTGTAGCCGGGAACAAAAAGCGCAAAGAAGGTGAGATCCTTGGCCATCCATGCCAGTGGCTCAGCCTTTCTTCTCATGCCTCGACTTGTAGGCTCTTGGCACGAACATGTCTGCATCAATCCCTCAATGTCTGCCCCTCTGCATGGCTAGATCCGACTGTGGGAGAGGGGAGCTGCCATTCACGATATGCTAGATCCTCCTCTCCTATCTTGCTCCGCACTGATGAAACCGCTACTGCCGGTCGTGAGAACGAACTGAAATGGGCGATAAATTGGATGGGTTATTTGGGGAGAAACCTGCTTGCCGATCCTAGCCAAGATCGAGTAGGAAAGTAGGAAGCACATGAGGGAGGCTAGAGCTTAGAGAGGGCTTGGGTAGGATCGGAACCACACCAAGCTTCGGGGGCCGGTCTTGCTCATGGTTGGGCTTGTGTGGAGGCGAGGCGGAGGAGAACGCCGGGCGGGAGTACTGTGGGGACCGGGGATTCGGATCGCGGGACATTTAACTATTTGCCACTTTTAAGATGTGGCAATTAATGATTTGTCACTCGCTGTCTATGACATATGGGTCCACATGTGTCTATGACAATAGTAATTATTCCATTAGTCCACCACTATTTATATATTTATCTTCGGACCAATGAAAACCCACAAAATATATTGTATATTCCCGTCTTTTTTTATAGATAGTACAAATCTATGTAGGATTTTACTTATATATGTAGTTTTCTATATACAGCCTGTTGAGTCATCTTTATTGTGTTGAACCATTTTTATTGTACTTCGTCTTAGAATACCGGCCCACACATCTCGGTTGATACAATTAATGATCCAAGTTACCAAAAGACATATATATGCAACAAAATACAACCATTATGAAATATGAACAGAAGTTAAACCAACCAAAATGAACTTATATAAACAAATGCCATATACAAATACTTATAGCCGCGCACTCCATGTACAGCTTGAACAAATTACAAAAAAAATTAACTCGCATACAAGTATACAACATGCATTTACACACAGAAAACAAATCAAGCAGGGGAAATTAATACATAACCAAAAGATTAATCAAATCAAATGACCCACTAAATATACAAGCACTGGCAGCGTCCTTAATTATGCCGAAGGAGGAGGTGCCAAGAACGGCATCGGCACGGATGGCATCGGCGGCAGCGTCACCTTGGGCACCGCCGGAATCGACGGCATCGGCGGCAGCGTCACCTTCGGCACGGCCGGAATGGGCGGTAGCACGGCGTTCGGCACGGCGGGCACGGCCGGCATCGGCGGCAACGTCGCCGTCGGCACAGCGGGCACCGCGGGCATCGGCGGCAGCGCCACCGCGGGGACGGTGGGCACAGCCGGCACCGCGGGCATCGGCGGCAGTGCCACCTTGGGCACGGCCGGCATGGGCGGCAACGCGGCGTTCGGCACGGTTGGCACCGCCGGAATCGGCGGCAGTGTCGCCGCCGGGATGGCAGGAATGGCTGGCATCGGTGGCAAGGTGACCGCCGGCACGGCAGGCGGTGTTGCGTCGGCGAGGAGGCGAGCCGCTTGGCAGCTGCTGCTGCCGGTGAGCACGACGGCCATGGCGAGTACCGTGGCGAAGAGAACCGAATTGGAAGCCATGGCAAGATTAGCAGTGGCTAGTAGCTTGCTAGGCAATAGCTAGAGCTGCAAAACCAGGAGCTGCTTGATGATTTGAATACTGCATGTTTCTCGTCAATTTATAGGAGGATCTGATCAAGATTAGTTGATTACTAGTTGACAAACTTGACATTGGTTGTTGGCCAAAGCAAGGGTATTAGCAGTCAGCTGGCTCTGGTTTTAATTTGTTATTAATTTCAAAGGAGTTGGTTAGCTCACCTTCTTGTAGCTGAAAAGCCATTCTGCAGCTTTCTTCATGCAGGATGCAAAATATTCGACCTATTTGACAATTTAGCTTGGCTGGACAAGTTTTCTCTTATTAGGTACAACCGTGTCTAGCATAAAGGCTCCTAATATATATTTTCTTAAGATCAATATTATACTTGTAGTGAGGCATTCTAGCTTTCTATGTGTGATTTTATGGCACAAATAACTTATTAACTTGTATATGTTAAAAGTAGCATTAATTAGATAACATATAGCTATATAATCATGTTGATATACCATCTTTGCAAACCAGCAAACCGTTGATACAGGAACAGGAACTTCGATTTAAGAATGAATTTTCTATTAGATATAGCTCTATATATAATTACATATCATGTGTCAATATCATATCGTCTCATCAGTTGCGAAATGAAATAATATGACTGAACAATCAAAGGCCTCTCATCTCATGCATGCACTTTAAATTTTCTAGTCATGTACATCAAGTGGAAATATACTGTCTTCCAAAGGCTATTGTTGGGAGAAAAAAATGTGTTCCAAACTTATAATTGAGGGTAATTCGGCAAAAGAAAGTACATATATTTTACTCAGGTCATCTACCATGAAAGTGCTCGGATATGGTTTTCCGAAGGCTATTGGAAGAAAACAAACTGAAACCCCCAAAATCCATCACTACCATATATGGTCCACGGAACAGAAACACTAATGTTTAATTAATACACAAGAGGTATAATATAATACTCCACTAGCTAGCTAGTACAGTAGTTGAGCATGAAATTTTGTCTAAATTATTATTTCTCTCTCTCTCTATATATATATATAGTTAACATACCTGACAAACCATATGTTTACACGTCGTGTTACATTAGAGTTATTGCGCATATATACATAAGTTTCCCATTATATATATAGCACTCCAGATATATTCATATATACCATGCCTCTTTATTGCCAACTATATATATCACATAAGTAAGTAGGAGTAATTAATAGATAAAGGCATGCATCGAATAATTAGTACGAGTAGCTAACTAGCTAGTACACAGCAAAACCTCTGCAGTCTGCACACTCACCACAGTGATCACCTATTACAGGACTAATTGAAAGTGCTGCATATTTGCATGTAGATGAGTACTCTTAGACCATGCAGAACTTATTAACGTAGAGATCGTTATACTCATCATAATATAGTCTAGATGATCAGTAGTAATAATCATATTATATCCGTAATTAAATCAGGCAGCTGGAGCCACATCGACGTCGTCGTCGTCGTCGTCGCCGTTGCTGCGACGGTTGCCGACGAGGAGGTTGCTCTCCAGTAGCAATGCCCATGCAAGGCGCTCACACTCGCTCTTCGCTATCGCCATTGATGATCTCCAAGCACAGTGTATTTTGGCTATCGAGGAAGACGAAGAAGAAAGTGTTTCTATATGTATATGGTCGATCGAGTTGAGTGAGCTGTGGTATGTAGAACTAGTTATTTATAGGCATTGTTTCTTGAAGATATATGGAGATCTATTAATTGACGGCGTATACACGAATGCCTGACGATCGAGAAAAGTAATGGAGCCCTGCGATCGATTTTTTAATTTAGTTTCTTTTATGAAAATAAATCGTTGGTTTTGATTTATTTTTGAGAGGCATTCGTGTATGCCACGTTAAAAGGGAGTGAGAGGACGAGAATGTTCCTAGAGGAGAAAAACCGGTACTTGCAATACGTACATGATCTGTTTTTCTTTTCAGTGAACATTCTCACGTATGTTTTTTTTCGGCGAATGTACAAAACAATTACACGTCGATATATTAGAAAAAAAGAAAATGTTTAGTTACACAACACAACAAACAGAAAGCCGTTACCGGGGACAAGAAAAAAAAATCAAAACACAAGAAAATAAACAAAAAGTTAGCTAATAAGAAGTAAACCTCCTAACGCCGGGGAGGGTGGGAAAAAACCACTAATAAACTCCCAAAGGTTCCCAAAAGCAATGGCGCCAACAACAAACCCTAAATGGCATTCTTACAAGAGAAAATTAATTATATATCATGTAAAAGTCAATACTACCTCTATTTCATATTATAGATTGTTTTGACTTTTTTCCTAGCAAAACCTTTCTAGATTTGACCAAATTTATAAAAAATAAAGTAACATTTTTAGCTAACAAAAAACATACATATTATCGAAATATATTCAGTGTAATGAAACTAATTTAGTGTTATAAATGTTGCTAGTTTTTACAAATTTAATCAAATTAAAAAAAAGTATAACAAGAAAAAAGTTATAATGAATTATAGTATTAAACAAATGGAGTATAAAGGAGACCTAATCATCTCCAGTTCTCCATCGTCATCGTGCGGTTGGAAATTTAAAGATCCGACGGATCGATCGATCGAATCGATAACAAAGTGATCGAATTTTTCTACGGAATTTTCGTACAGTGTCTGCAAAGCTAAAAGCTATCAAAGCACATTGATTTTTTCTTTTTTGATTGATACCCAGCAGCTCCCTTTCGTTTTTTTCTTCTTGACGACATGGATCGATGCACGTGTCGTCCAACTCTGACGTGGCTTCATGGCTTTGGATTGTCTGTGCAAGTCTAAGCATGTATAGATATATAATATAGTAAGATATATGCACATAGTTAATTATATAGTTGTCGCAAGCATATATATAGCACATGTGCCTTTGAATGTTCACGACATGCAAGTGTTCTCTTTTAGATAATTGCATGGTGACTTCATTTTGTCGAATCATATTATACACCACAGTAAAGTTCACTTTGGATCATCTTTTATTGCCGGTGTTTTACTTTGGATCACTATTTAATCAAGTTTTCACTTTGGATCGGGTAATCTAGCCTTTGGACTAACTCAACTCTCTTCTCAAGCATATGAATGGTACAACAGCTTATACTCGTCAATAAAACTTCCTCAACTGTTTGTAGATCTTTTTTTACACATGGCAAGTTGAATTTAGATTGATAAATTAAGGAGTTGAGGGTGACCCAAAGTGTTAAAGAAAATAAAATTACCCGATTTAAAGTAAAAACAATGGTTAAATGGTGGCCTAAAACGAAACACCCACCCAAAGTAAAATTAGTAACAAAATATATATTAAATAATGCTGCCTCATGAATATTTTCAGGCTTTGACTGCCTTTGACGTAGATAATTAGTCCAACTGATCGAGTTGATCATCACGTCCGGTATATGCATGGAGCAGGAGATCGTCGCTACGGTGGGTGGCGTCCGACGTGGCGAGCCGGCCCACCGGCCCACGTGGCGGGCGGCCGCCGCGCACGGTGCATCCACGTGGAGGGACACCGCCATGCACGTTCCCTCCCGCCTCCTGCATGCGCCGATGCGCGCCATGGTGGAACGAAGCTGTTACACCTTCTAATGGGCCTGGAGGCCCAGCCCACAGAAAATTCATGGACCATGGCCCATTTGGTTTTCGCCACTACGGGCCTCAGCCCAGGTATCCGGGAGTGGAGGCCCATGCTGAATAGCGGCCTGTGGAAACAACTTCAAGTCACCAAAATCCACCTTCTACACTTTGGGCTGGTTTGGTTTGTGGCCTGAATTAGCCTTTACTAATATTTGGCAATTTCAATAGTGTTTTCTATTTGGTTTGAAGTTAAATTTTTGCTTAGCCTAGAAAAATAGGCCATTTCAATAGTTAACTTAGGCTATTTTGACTTCAATCCAAACACAACTTTTCCTTGTCAAGATTAGTCATGCTAAAACTTGCCAAAATTTAGGATTGACAAAAATTGGTAAGCTCAAGTTATGCCACAAAACCAAACCAGCCCTTTGTTCTTGCATATCAGAAACAACAAAAGAATCACAAATCACCTTTTATTTTTTTTCCCAATTTCTCTCATGGGCAAAACACATGAGACTAGCTGAAACAATCTGCCACTGATGAATTTGGCCTACAATATAGGAGTATACCACTAGCATCACTGACACGGTGTTTTCCAATACTGTACACAATTAACTGTTCAGGGGAAGCTAACATCTGTCCAAATTACGCAGTATTCTGATTGACTGTACGCAGCATTAGCAGCAGCAGCAGCTAGTGAAACTAATCGCTCTTCTTAAGCTTGATGATCCCTTTGGGCACCTTGCCCAGGACACCCTTGTCAAGTTTCTGATACTGATTCTGAAGCAGGCCAAGTGTGTTGTACAGGAACTCGTCCACTTTTTCTTGGTTCTTCTCATACAGCACCGGGAGAGTGTGAGCACACACAAATCCTGAACAGAAAATTAATTCAAAGTTTTAAGAATCAAATCTTGCTCAATCTTCACAGACCCACAGTGACAATTGACAGAGAAAATGCAGAATAGATTTTTCAGTACCAATGTAAATGACAGTGAGGAGATTGCACCAGCTCCCAATGATAGCGGCCGCGAAGAACCCGGCAATCACCTGAAACAAAGCTTGATCTGATGTTACAACATTGTGCACATTGGTGACAAACAGATGAAATGACTATGAACATTGCTGCACTCCATACCAGGAGAAAATTCTTCAGGTCTCTTCCACAAGACACATCCTGAAGAGTGCCCAAGAACTTGTTCACTTGGGTGCCAATTGCAGAACCAATGTTTGCGAACAGCTCATCCGGCAATTCGACGCGAGGAACTTTCGAAGGTGACCTGAAAGTTCAGAGATTATTTACAGGCTTTCTCTGACAACACAAGATGCAGAGAATTTTTTCCAGGTTTCATACCCATTTAGCATGCCTGCAAAAGTGGACCATGCAAACTGGACAACCATGCCAAGAACAAGAACAAAGCAAGCAATCGTCAGGAAGTGGTAGTCGAGCCACTCGAAGAAAACCCAGACAGCCGTTGCAACTGCAAGAACACTTGAAGATATCTTCTTGTTCCTCCACAACAACACGTCGGCGGCTGTGATCGCAAGCAAGTATAGATCATAGATGTCAAACATTGCAGTATATGTATTATGTATAGGTTCTTTGCAAAGTATATCTGAGCATCAATCAGGGAGATTTTGCGTACATTTTCCACCACCCAAAACATGATGGACAGACTTCTGACCACCGAAGAGTCTCTTAGCTTGATCAGAGATTGAGCCATCTTCAAATCTGACTGACTTCTGCTTGGGAAGATTGTCGGCAATGGCGTCCACTATGCTGTCCACAATGTTCGCAGCCGCATTCTCAGAGTGCTCCGGCATCTCTTTGCACGCTGAATTCGTTTCAGTAGAATTAGGTTAGGTCGCACTGAATATTTTCGCATGAACTAAGGTAGCAGTCACCTTCATTTAACAACAACGTGGCTTCAGTGTTGTTTTAAGCTGATTTAAGGCCATAAACATTAAGAATTCCTTGTTATATTCATCAAATTTCTTGTTTCTACATAATAGGATGTGCAAGTAATTGTACTGTACCCAGTCAACGCTGCTATATTCATCACAGTTACAATAAATCAGCTAAGGCGCCACGCTGAAATCTTCAGACTTCAGATCATTTCTGAAGAATCTTCAGATATATGTTTATGTTGAAGAAAATACCACCAATAACAGAAAGGAATTTTCTTTTAAAGAAAAAGATTAACAGCATCAGTGAATTAAATTGTTCGATTCACCACCGGATCGACTAAGCAACCGAGCATCTGAGGCTCGTATTGTCTAAACCTTTTCCTTTCGAAGAGCTTCACACTCCTTTTTGGTCAGACTAGGCCATCAAGGGTATTCTTTTTACTCGGAACAGAACAACAAACTAAAGCAAGATGGATTCGCAAAAAAAAAAAAGAAAAAAAAAGAAGAAGGTAAAGCAAAGATACGGCGGGTAACAGCAGAAAAGAAGAGAAAGGAGATGGATTTGGAGCAAAAAATTACCGAGCAAGACCAGCAGAACAACAAAAAGGCCTGATAAGATCACAGCAAGCTGGTGATGAGGAAGGGAGATAGCTGCTGATTGGAGATGAGAGGAATGTTTTTTCTGTGAGAGATGAGAGGAAAGTTACTGGAATTGAGTGATTAGGCAAAGGAGCAACCGATTTTTGGGGAGGGGAATTATTAGGTGGGCCATGGTGCCTTCTTGTGACTGAGATGTGGGCCCGGTATTTGCCTGCTAGGGGGCCACACGTTCCTGGACTGGTTCTATCCAACTGACAACTGGTGTATGGTAACAAGTCGCTGTAGTAGTAACCAGGGTTGGATTTTTTATATTTATGTCCTTTTGAAAATATATTTTACAAATAAGCACCCTAAAGAACTTATTTCAAACCTGATTTCAGTTTAAACTTAAGGGCCGTTTGAATCAAAGGATTTATGGAGAAATTTTATAGGATTGAAATCCTATAGAAAGTTTTCCTATTTCGCCCTTTAATTCAAATGATTGGAGTTTTCCAAATCCTATACAATTTTCATGGAATGACTTATTGCATGTAGGTTTTGAAGGAAATTTAGCAAGAGATTCAATCTATTGGAAAATTCCTTTGAGTCTATCTCTTTCATCCAATTCCTGCGTTTTTCCTACAACCCAATCAAACGATCAATCCTGTATTTTTCCTGTGTTTTGCAATCTTTTGTTTTATATTTACATTCCTATTATAATCCTGCGTTTTTCTTATTCCTCTATTTTTTTTATTCCTATGATTCAAAGGGCCTGAAAGAAGGAACCAGAAAAGAAAAATACCAGAATAAGGATATAGCCACGTAGGAGGAGGACATATCCTAAACTATTTCGACAAAAACAGGGTAAATTCTTACTGACTTGAACAAGGTGGAGGCAGGAAGGTATCAAGAGTAGGTATCACCCATGTAGTTTTATATTCATTTTGTTTAAATTTTATCTAAAGTTTAGTGTTTTATCATTGTTTTTGTTTTCTTTTTTGTCATGTGTAAGCTCAAGCTATCCTACACGTGGCTCCGCCCCTTCATCAAAGCAAAGGGTAAATTCTCGAGAAACGGTGAAAGTTGCGCGGTGGTGTGTGCTGTTGGAATCGGACACTTTGCCCTTCGCTGCACGTCTGCTACCGACCGTTGCCTTCCCCCTTCTCTTCTTCTGCATCTATAAAATTTGCTGCAATTTCTTGTGTCGACGTTCTGCTGCACTATTCATTTCGCTGCTTGGTCGATCAACGCTAGCTGCCGATTGTGTGCCATCCTTCTCCGGCTCCAGTTGTTGCTGCTACTTCGGCTTCGGCTGCGACTCCGGTTGCTGCAGTTAACCGTGAGTCGCTTAATTTTTTTTCAATCACTGTACCTTGGCACTGTTTAGATTCCAATTTTTTTCTTTAAATTTTTAACTTTTCCGTCATATCGTTTCAATTTTTCTAAACCTTTAATTTGGCGTAGACTTTCTGATCGAGCACGTTTCACCGGAGGCGATATATAAACGCAAACTTAGAATTCCTATCTGTACATGCAAAAGGTTATGTTACTGTTACCAGAATGACAGTTTATTTCATCAGATTGGTTGATTGGTTCGAGCGAGCGAGGGGGCACATCGCAGCACATTGCGCTACGTACGTTGCCGTCCACCTCCACTGTGCGCTCCGGCCGGACGGCTCCTTAATTTGTGTACGTACACCTATCTTTCCTCCAGATTCAGCTATATTACTACTAACCCGTTTCAAAACATAAGCAATTCTGTGTGTTTTATAAAAATATTTTCCATGATTAATTGGCAGCACACACATTCAACATTGACACCACTGTTAATACATGAACTACACATCAGGAAATACATAAGTGATAAAAAAAGGTTGACCAACCAAATCCATGACATCATGAAAAGGGTATATAACATGCATGGCGGAAACATAGATAACTTGCCTAAGGCACCAAACAATGTGCAAGTAAAACTTAGCCACATTGCAGGGCACCAGCAAACATGGCATATATATATGCTTGCTTGTACTAAATCAATGCCAACCAATGTGACCTACAACACCCTGGCAAATCTATTGTAACAAACAACAATATATATACTTAGCTAGGGGCTTCCCTTTAGCCACATGGGGTTTGGACTTTACCAAAGAATCAGTACTTAAGTGAATAAGTGATCCGGGCGGACAAATCAAATATCAGTAGCGAACACAAGCACACTAGATTCTACCATCACCCATCCAAATGAAAATCAATTTGGACTCATTTTCCACCAATATCACAGAGGCATCACCCTCTGTTCATTAAACAGAGTAAAATTAGCACTACGATAAGCACGCTAAGCATATTCTATGCGGCTATCCTCCCATCATTAATTTGACCCTAAATCTTAGTGGTAACATAGGTGATAATGAATAATGATACTCAAGTAATCAGGACAAGGTATATACGCAAATGGCAAGCTACCCGAGCAAACCACGTATTTTTAAGTAAAACATCGCATACATAATAATTTTGCAATTAATATAATTTGCAAATTTGAAAATAGGAGCAATTGATCAAGGGGGTGCTTGCCTTGTTCTTGACCCACCTGGTACTCTGGTTTCTCCTCAGCTGGATCAGTAACGTGCCAACGTCGTGTTCTACGCGAATACCTAACAAATTATTGATTGCATTTGTTAGGTATTGATTTACAACTTTCATATCCTACATATATGCTACTGTGAACCTAAGGACAACCTGCGAGAGTGGAAATGCTCCAACTCGCAAAGGCGTTAATTGCGCATGCTCTCGCATGTCGCTAAAACGGCCTAACACATGTAATCCATCGGGTACAAAATATTAACCTAAGGCGATTGGAGGTGGGGGGTTTCTAGGGCCTAGGGATCACTGGTTGTGCAAGAGGAACCTATGGGAAAGCTTCGGTAGCAGTGAACACCTCTGCCCATGGCAAAATCTAATTGGCTATCGTCTATTCATTCGTGGACTTGTATGAATTGCAAAAATTCATATAGTTTTTGGTCCTTAGGAAAAAAAAATGGCGCTTGTGCGTGAACAAATGGCAAAAATGATCAAAACGATCATGTCGGCCATGCGAGTCTTAACATGCAATGTTAATGACCGGAAGATCATTTTTTCTGTATTTCCTCTAAAACGATGATTTCATGCTTACGAACTACCCAACTCGGTTAGCGATATTAACGACTATTAACAAAATTGTGAACTCGTTGAACGAAGATGGGAATCCATCCTACAGGCTCTACCAGGGTTACTGACTCAAGGGATGGCAGCCAACGGGATGGCTATATATGACGCCAAATAGAAGCGTACATAAGGTGCTCGATGAAATGACAAGCTAAAGCAAGACATGACGCTCCCTGTCTGTTCATGAGTTAGTGCTTAAGTAGCGTAGGTAGGGGCTCGAGAAGAATCTAGGTTTTATGCATGCAAGGTACTAGGGTTCTAACTCGGTTGGCGAAGCTCCGATTGAGCCTTAGCCATGCATGTGGCCATGGTAGTACAATTAAGCACTAGTATGACACTATCGAGTGGCTGATCAATTGCATGGATTCCTTCCTCTTATTGCAGGCAGCTGCATCTACTACTTCTATACATCTATCTTGCCTTGAAACCACCAGCATCCACAACCACGCGATCGATCAATGGATACCGGGATCATCGTGGCACGGTGGGTGGTGGGCAAGGCGTTGAACCCTGTGTTAGACGGCTTGGTGGAGGCGTGGGCGGCCAGTCAGAAGCTCGGGCCCAATGTGGATGCCCTCAAGATGGAGCTGCTCTACGCGCGGGCCATGCTCAACAACGTTCGCGGTAGGGAGATCCACAACACCGACCTCAACGAGCTCCTGCAGAAGCTGCGGGACTTAGCGTACAATGCCGACGACGTGCTCGACGAGCTCGACTACTTCCGCATCCAGGACGAGCTCGATGACACCTCCGAGGCCGCTGCTGAGCACGCCAAGGGCTGCGTCAGCGACCTCTTCCTCAACGCTCACCACACGGCCAAAGCGGCTGGCAAGCTGTTGGGATTCTCTTCATCATGCTCTTCTTGTGCTACTAACAACGGGCCTGGTGATTCCATTACCGCTGCATGCTGCGGTTCGCCACACAACACCATCCATGCTATCGGTAAACGCCTTTGTTTCTCGACTTCTCTAGTTGATGATTGCGATCATGATTATGGCTGTGTGCACGATGAGAGAGACCATGTGAAAGGGAAATCAACGCCAAAGTTGAAGTTTGACAGGGTAGGTCTATCCAAAAAAATGAAGATTATTGTAGAGCAGCTGCAGCCTGTGTGTGCAAAAGTTACAGCCATTCTTAATCTAGAGCTCATGGGTTCTCATCTTAGCATAGAATCAAGCACTGCTAAGAGTCGTCCCATCACCGCACCAACAAGTATAGAGCCCACCCTGTATGGCAGAGACGCTGTAATGAAGAGAATTATAGATAGTATCACTCAGGGTACTTGTTGTGAAGAATACCTGACTGTCTTGCCAATTATTGGTCCTGGAGGCATAGGGAAAACCACTCTCATACAACACATATATAATAGCCAACAAGTGCAAAACCATTTCCAGATCATGGTTTGGACATGTGTATCTCAAAGTTTTAGTGTCGATAAGCTCATAGAAGAGATCAAAGAAAAACTCCCTAGTGTTGAAGGTGAAAAAAAGGGTAGTGCAGAAGAGCTGATTGTACAAAGATTGAAATCGAAAAGGTTTTTATTTATATTGGATGACATTTGGAAGTGTGAAAGTGATGATTGGAAAAGGCTTTTAGTACCACTCAGAAAGGGACAAACAAAGGGTAACATAATTATAGTGACCACTCGGTTTCTGGTAGTAACAGAAACGGTTAAAACATCTGATAATAAAATTCAACTGGAAGGTATAGATGATGAAGCATTTTGGGAATTATTCCTTGCATACGTGTTTGGCCCTGAAAAATCAAAAAATGATAAGGATTTACTTTGCATTGGAAAAGATATAGTGAAAAAACTAAAAGGCTCCCCTCTTGCGGCAAAAACTGTTGGCAAATTATTGAGTAACCACCTTGATCGAGTTCATTGGATGAGAGTCTTAGATAGTAAAGAATGGGAATTGCAAGCTGGTGATCATGATATTATGCCCGCATTGAAGCTTTCCTATGATTATCTACCGTTTCATCTGCAACAATGTTTTTCTTATTGTGCTTTGTTTCCCGAAGATTACAAGTTCAACAACAAAGAGCTCATTCGCTTTTGGATAGGACTAGATATTTTACATTCCGAATCTCAAAATAAAGCATTTGAAGATATAGCTCTAAGCAATATAGATAGTTTGGTCAGTCATGGATTTTTTAAAAGAGAAGAAACTGATGGGCATCCATGCTATATTATTCATGATCTGCTACATAATCTAGCATTGAAAGTTGCATCTCTTGAGTGTGTTAGTTTACATTCCTCTAATGTGAAATCAGTGGAAATCCGGCCATCCATTCGTCACTTATCTATCATCACAGATGGCGCAAATGATACTGATGGAATAACTGATGAAAACTTCAAGAGTGAACTGATAAAACTAAAGAAAAGACTAAAGGTTGAAAACGTGCAAACTTTGATGATATTTGGAGAAGTGGATAAAAGCTTTATTGGATGCTTTCATGATTTGTTTAAGGAAGCAAGTGCTCTTCGTGTGCTTTATTTTCCCAAAATGCCATTTGCGGTGGGGTCCATTTTGGATGAATTTACAACACTTGTCCACCTACGGTACCTTAGGCTAGGGACCACCATTGGCAATAACTTTCATTTACCAATTAACCTTTCCAGATTTTATCATTTAAGGATTTTGGATCTGGAAAAATGGGATAATTGTTTTCATTTGCCTGGAGACATTAGTAACCTTGCAAAATTGCACAACTTTCTTGTCCCGGGATACCCAATACACTCAAATATTTCTAATGTTGGAAAACTGCAATTTTTGCAAGAGTTAAAAGGATTTCAAGTCAATAGAAAAGATGTTGGTTTTGAGCTAAAGCAACTAGGTTATCTGATGGAGCTAAGAGAGCTTAGAATTGATAACCTTGAGAAAGTACACACAAAAGAAGAAGCGGCTGAAGCAAAACTATTAAGTAAAACCCGATTAAGGAAGCTAGAATTAAACTGGAAACAAGGGAGAACAAGCACAAATGCTTTCAACGAAGATCAAATACTTGAGAAACTTCAACCACATAGCAGCCTCCAAGAGCTATCAATCCATGGGCATGGAGGCTCTTCTTGCCCAAAATGGTTGGGTACAGAACTATCTGTCAAATTCTTGGAGACTTTTCGTCTCAAGAATGTAGTTTGGAATATCCTTCCACCACTAGGGGAGGTGTTTCTGGTAGGCGGACCTGGCGAAGAATCAATTGGTCAGAAAACTAGTCAAAATTTTCGTAGCTTGAAGAGATTGGAACTTGTTAAGTTACCTAATTTGAGAAAATGGGTAGCAAAAGAAATTTTCCCTACGTTCTTCTCAGTTTTGGAAGTACTTATTGTGAGAAAGTGCAATGAACTAGCAGAACTACCATTTTCATATCATACCTATTGCACATCTGAAGAAGATGTAAAAGCAACTTGCTTTCCTAGGCTAAGAGAGTTGGAAATACATAATTGCCCAAAGATAGTGTCACTGCCTCCTATCCCTTACACTCAGACCTTGTGCTCTGTCAATATAACAGATGTAGGAACAGGTTTGGAAAGCTTGGTTTACTCGAGTAAATCATCTAAGTTAGAAATTAAAGGAAACAAGGATCTAAAAGTTTTAGATGACAATGTGTTTGCTTCCCGTAATTTACACAAACTACAAAACTTGACGATTGAGGGTTTCCCACCTTTGGAAGAGCGACACCTTCAAATGCTAACTTCATTGAAGAGATTCAGTCTTTTCAGTTCGAGTATTGCCTTCAATCCAACAGTAGAAAGGAGTGATGTTGAGTGGCGGCTTTCAATTGAGAACCTTATGATTCAGGATTGGAATGGCAGTGGGAAGGAATTGACACAGCTCCTCTTTCACCTCCCAAAGCTGTCTTTGTTGAGTCTTGGTGGCTGCCGCAAGAAAACACTGTTGAGTATAGCTCTAACACAGCAGCAAACCAGTGCTCAAGTGGAGAGTACACAAGTAACTGCTTCTAATCATCGACAGCAGCAAAAAGCAGAGGATCTGGATCTGCTGGAGGAGGAAGAAGTAACACAGCTAGATGTGGATGGAGAAGATGAAGATGACGACAGGTTGCTGCTCACCAACTCTCTAGAGCAATTATGGATTGTAAACTACAAGGAGCTTATCCTGGTTTCCCATCCACTTCCCATTGGTCACCACAATAAGGAAGAAGAAGGAACAGGAGGAGGTTGGGGGCTCCAAGCCCTGTGCTCCCTGCGGCAACTAGGGATAAGAGGATGCCCCTTGTTACTCTCTGCCTACGAGGCTCCAGCTTGCCTTTTCCCATCCTCCCTGCAATACCTCCAGATTACAGGCCCTATGGAGGGCGTGCAGATGCTGGACCTCTCAAACTTGACCTCTCTCACTAAATTATTCATAGAAGATTGCGGGGAGTATTTAAGGAAGGGCCTATTGCCTCTCCTTGCTCAGGGTCAGCTCAGCAACTTAATTGTCTACAAAACATATGGGTTGTTTGCTGGTGTATTGGATTCCATACTCAGGGGAGCGCAGGAAGAACAAGAGCAGCTTCATCTTCTTGAGCATTCCTCCAAACTGCGGGTGCTTGAAACGGATGACTTGGCGGGAATCCTTGTGAAGCCGATCTGCAGGCTCCTCTCTTCCTCACTCACCAACCTAACACTCCAAGGAAACTCAGAGGTGAAACGCTTCACAAATGAACAAGAGGAGGCCCTTCAGCTCCTCACCTTCCTTCAAGACCTCAAATTTATTCACTACGATAAGCTGCGGTGCCTTCCTGCGGGCCTTCATAGACTTACCAACCTCAAGAGATTAATGATTATGAACTGTCCATCCATCCAGTCACTGCCCAAGGATGGCCTCCCAGGTTCACTGAAATACTTCATAGTCCGCGACAACGAGAAGCTCGTAAAGCAGTGCAAGAAGCTCAAGAAAACCAACCCAGAAATCGAACTAATTCTCTAGTGCACGACTAATAAGGTAATAGATGCTTCTATGTTCCTACTAGTTCCTAAATCCCACAATTACACGTCCTTTTTCCTAACCCCATCCATCACATCGTTTGCAGGGGGGTGATGAACTAGTAGTGCAGTGCTGGGCCTCGTATTGGAGTGCCCTTTCTTTTAGCCAGTCGTGTACAGTACAACTCGGCAATAATCCATCCATGCACCGTTCCTCAGATGCGGATCTTGTATGGGTGGTATCCTCTTCCTGGATATAAATCATGTAAGTACATGTAAAATATAGCTTTACTCAGTGTACATATCAATTCATGTACTGAAGAAAGGGATGCCACATCAGTATTTATATCCTCTTCGTACTCCTTTGTTTTTATGTTTGTATTGTGTGTGTTCAGAGAACGGCTATAGTCATCGTAGAATGATTTAAATTCACTTGTATTGTAAGATACTCCAAATATTTTGAGTCCTATCTTTCAAATGAACTACGTAGTGTCCTGCTGCTATGCTATATCAGATGGTAGATGCATAGATGACCAGCTTTTATTTCTTTTCCTCTTCAGTAATGTAAGTAATGAGAGAACAAGTGGCCTAAATTGTTATGTAAGATTTATTTTATCATAAGTTGCAAATACTAGTTCAATCCACAGTTGATGTCACTTCAGAGGTACTTTGCATTCAGATTACTCACCATCTTTCGGGGTGTTTGTTGTGCAGGTATTCTCATGTCAGTTCTACTAGGATTCTTGGTACTTCAGTCGTATATTTTGGTTACCACTCATGAACATGGAGTTGGGGTGCAATAGATTATGGATCAAATATCGTCACTGAGGAATATCTTTGGACAACAATGAATTTGCAGTGTTTTGATACTGACATTAAGGTGTGCAACTTTTTTCTCTCCACTGTCACATTTGCTACCCATACAAAGGTGTTCTAGCATTGTTTAGTTTTGAAACACGCAAAAGACTTACAGTCATCCCATTAGATAGAAAAATAAAGGGCTACAAGTCGGCCAAAAACAAGAATAACCATCATTTCATATCCCGATATCCGTGTGTCATGGAGTCCTGTCAATCTCAGGCTAATATTATGCTCAACGTATTCTTATCGAAGCTGCTTATTCTTCTTGCTATCACTCAAATTATCTATGATAACGCAATCTAGTTTTGTAGATCATCTCCTTGGAACTCTCATGTGGGCTGTCAAAAGTTGTGATTGGTTCAGGTAGCGCCTTCTACCACTGACAACAACATGAAAATGGTACTTTCCAGTAGATTGAACATGATTTGTTCCAAGTTCTAATGTGCTAAATGCCAGACGCAATTTTTAGAACACATGTTGCACAATCTGTTGTGAGTCTCCTAGGAACTTAATGCATTGGCTGAAGCCTCTGCAGCCTTAATGCATTGGCTGAAGCCTCTGCAGCCTCAAAATCCATTCCCTGTGGAGTCCCTTCAGTCTCCATCTAATATTATTCTCAACATATTCTTTATTGAAGGTATACTTCTATAATTGTTTTTTTGTTCTACTTGCAAAATGAAGTAATATGAACTCATGGTTCCAAACTTCAATTTATAACTATGATTAATTGTTGGATTGCTTGATAGATGTGTGATTAATTGTTGGATTGCTTCATTGCTTGATAGATGTGGTACAGCTTTGGAAACCCAACATTGTATAGCTCCCATAGTCTCGAAAGTGTTTCCAAATGGCATGAAGTCTTGAGCGTGATTTGCATTTCAAATGATGTGAATGCTTTCGTGTTATTGCTTAGTTATTCAACTGAATACAACTCTCAAGGGCACAATCATACAGATCTGTAGAATTACTTGCTCTTCATGTTGGAGCTATAAATAAGACTACCGTTCCACTATCCCATGCCTGTTTGTAGTGTTCATGCCTCCATGGAGATCATCTTGTCAATGTGTTTTTCTTTCCTCAATTTAGCAAACACCTTGGGTAAATGTTTTAAGTTAGTTTATCTTAAGACTTCATAATATCTCTCCTTTTCTGAACCAGCAATATTATAACATTTCAATTTTCAAGTACCATTGTATTGTTCTTATCTCCATATTGAATCATGTGGTTAGTTAATTGTCCTCTCATTTCTTTCCATGAACAGATGGTTCAATCTTTGTTCTGTGCACTAATTCAGGATGCTACTAGTAAAATCTTGCCTAACTAGTGACGGAAATGTAAGTGCCTTACTGTTGTTAATCCCCTTCCTCACAGGCTCATAGATTTCGCAAGAACTCCATTACTAAACAGTCAAGAACTTCACATGTATGCAAATAAACTCTAACATGCAAGCTCAAGCACTAACCATGGTTGGCTGCAGCCGAGGCGGTCCAGGAACATATCATGCTGTTCCTCCCGCGGTGGTCGGCGTCGAGGGACAGCATGACGCAGCGTAGCCGGTCATCACCGTCGTCCCTCGGCGGCTGCTGCTCTCTTGTAAAACTCCTGCACGGCGCATGAAGGGAGCTGAGGCAACTGCGGCCTGTGGAGGGTGGCGGCTGCACAAGCACAGAAATCATACTAATGCTCAAGAAAACCAACCCAAAAATCATATTAATGCTCCCGGCTAATCAAGGTAATAGATGCTTCTCTCTTCCTACTAACACCTAAATCCCACAATTACACTTCTTTTTCTCTAATGCCATCCATCACATTGTTTGCAGGGGGTTGATGAATTAGTTAGTGCAATGCAGGGACTATTATGGAGTGCACCTTCTTCTAGACAGCTTGTGGGGGACATGCTACCCGGGTGTCCTATAGGAGGCCTTCGGCTACAGCGCAGGGGGTAGGCCGAGTTGCCTAGGCCCATGCGGTTATTTGTAATACATGGAAAGGGATAGCAGCCAGGGAAACCTATCCTGTATCTGTACATGAATGGTATGCACCAAGATTATAAGGGATACCATATCACACATGCCGGCAAATCCCCCAGCATTATATAAGGGGCGCTGGCATGAACCCTAAGGGGTTACGCAATCTTTCATACTCATCGGGCACAAATCCAATCCACATACAACTGGACTAGGGTATTACCTCGCATTGAGGGCCTGAACCAGTATAAATGTCTGTGTCACCATCTCTCCTTGATATAGAACACCCTATAAATTATATTGCCGATCATAAAAATCGACACATCTGTGTACAACTTGGCAATAATCCATCCACGCACCATTCCTCATATGGCAATAATCCATCCATGCACCATTCCTCAGATGAGGATCTTGTATGGGTGGTATCCTTATATTCCTGTACATAAATCATGTAAGTATAAGCATGTAAAATGGAGCTTTACTCAAGTGTGCATATCAATGCCTAGATCTAGATGGCTAGATGTGAGCACCGTAAAGGAACTAATGCTTAGGTAGCATAAGTTTTGCATACCAGCTGTATGTGTGTTCAGAGAATAGCTATAATCATTGTAGAATCATGTAAATTCACTTATGCTGTCAGGTATTCCAAATTTTTTGAATTCTAACTTTCAAGTGAACTTGCATAGTCTCCTGCTTCTAGCTATATCAGACGGCAGATGCACTAGACGACCAGTTCTTATACCTTTTACTCTTAAATAATGTACAATAATCTGAGAACAGGTCTCCTAAATCATTGTTTGAGATTTATATTATCATGGGTTGCAAGTACTAGTTTAATCCGCACAGTTGATGTCATTTCTGAGAAAGGTACTTTGCACTCAGATTACTGACCGTCTTTTGGGGGGTTTTGGTGTGCAGGTGTTATTATGTCATTTATACTAGGCTTATTGGTACTAAAGTTGTATTTTTTGGATTATCACTCATGAAGATTTAGTGATGTACACGGCAAGTTGGGGTGTAATAAGTTATGGATCAAAATATCGTCATGACAGAATATCTGTGGAAAACATTGAGTTTTCGATGTTTTAGCTACTGATATTATGGCTTGCAGTTTTTTTCTCTCCATTCTTACATTTGCCACCTATACAAAGGTGTTCTAGCATTAGTTTGGGGAACATGCAAAAGACTTGCATGTCATTCCATTAGATAGGGAAAAAAGGGCTACAAATCAGCCAAAGAAAACAAAACAAGGAGAGAGAGAGAGTTCTGGAGTTCTTCATAGTTACTATTGCTTAACTAACTTAAGTGGTGTACAGGACCTTCACAAGAATAGCCATCAGTTCATATCAGTTTGTCCTGGAGTCCCTTCAGTCTAGTCCAGTATGAACTGTTTTCGTTTTACTTGTATAACTGTTTTAGTTTTACTTGCAAAAAAAGTAGTAAATATGAACTCATGGTTCCAAACTTTAATTCATAACTGTGATGGTTGGATTGCCTGACAGATGTGGCACAGCTTTGAAAACCCAATATTGTGTCAGTAGCCGGCTTGAAGGTACTGCTCCCATAGTCTCAAAAGTGTTTCTGCATGACATGAAGTCTTGAATATGATTAATTTGCATTTCAAATAGTGTGAATGCTTTCGTGCTACAGATCAGTTATTTAACTGACTACAACTCTCAAGAGCACAACCGTAAAGGTCTATAGAACCACTTGCTTTTCATGTATGACTGTATGAGCTATAAATAGACTAGTGTTACATTATCCCATACCTCTATTCTATAGCATTCATGGAAATCATCTTGTTAAGTCTGAGCTTTTCTTTCCTCAATTTAGTAAACACCACAGGGGAATGCTTTTCTTCACCAATCGAAGCTAGTTTATCTTAAGACTTCATAATCTCTCTCCTTTTCTGAACCTGCAAAGTTATAACATTTCAAGTACCATTTTATTATTCTTTATCTCCATATTGAAACATGTGGTTAGTTAATTGTCCACTCATTTCTTTCCATGAACAGGTGGTTCAATCGTTGTTCTGTGCACTAAGTCAGGATGCGACTGGTAAAATCTTGCCTAAATAGCGATGGAACTGTGAGTGCCTTACTGTTGTTAATCACTCAATCCCCTTCCTCATAGGTTCATAGATCTGGCGAGAACTCCATTGCTAAACAATCCAGAACTTCACATGAATGCAGATAAACTCTTAACATGCAAGCTCAAGCACTAACCATGGTTGGCTCAATCTGCCGAGGTAGGCGTAGAGGGGCAGCATGACGCAGCCGCAGCCGGCCGTCGCCGTCGCCCCTCGACGGCTGCTGCTCTGGTAAAACCCCTGCACGGCGCCGCTCGGAGGGAGGCGCCGGCGGCATGCGGAGGGTGGCGGCGGTCGGAGATGGATGAGCGAGATGGGAAGCGGCGGCGCTGGGTTTGGGGGGTTTTGGGCCGAATGGAGATCTTATTGGGCCGTGGGAATGGGCCTCAATCCCGGCTTGCCAAATAAGGCCTTAATCCTTGCAAAATTCACTTTTTTGTTGATTGTTTAGACCCATTTCCAATCTATGCAATTCATCATTGTACTAATTCTCGAGTTTGAACTTGCTCTTGGGTGCAAGTAACGCTATTAGAACATAGTTGTACTCTTTTGGAATTGCAACCTTTTAATGTGTGGGCCTGCGTGTTTATCCGTGTCGAATTTCGATCTTCATGTGTTCGGTTTGCACTCAGAGAGCTGATGTTGTGGAATTCGATATGCATATGTGTTCGGCTGCATTGCACTACAGCGTTTCATGCATGTTAAATGATATTGCGTGCAATCAGCTGACGATGTTGCACTCTTTGTGAAACCCTCCCTTGATGAACTGACAGCAATTAGAAGGATCCTCGAAATTTTCTCTCAAGTCTCAGGTTTGCACATAAATATGAACAAGACGGAAATCTTCCCGATAAGATGTGAAAATTTAGTACTGGAACATGTTATTCAAAACTTCCCTGGAATGCTGAAATCTTTCCTTTTTCGATATCTTGGTCTACCACTTCACACGCGAAAACTAAGGTTGACTTCCTACCTTTGATCAAGAAAATTGGGTCACGAATACCGGCATGGAAAGGTAATTTTTTCACTTCGGAAGGCAGAAGGACCCTGGTTCAGTCGGTCCTAAGTGCGTTGCCAATTTATCACCTCACCGCCATCCAATGCCCAAGATGGGTGATAAAAAGAATAGATCGTTTTCAAAGAGCTTTCCTTTTGTGAAGACCCAAGTAACACAAACCCAGGAAGGTCTGGTAAACTGGCAAACAGTGTGTAGGCCGAAAGCTCTAGGGGGTTTGGGGCTTCCGGACCTTGAAAATTTTTTGGGAGCCCTTAGGCTTCGGTGGCTTTGGTTCAGCTGGAAGAACCAAAACAGGCCCGGGGTTGGTATGGAAATACCTTGCGATGAAACCGACAACAGGCTATTCCAAGCGGCAAACAACAATTTCTATTGGAAATAGAGCAAAAACAAGCTTTTGGCGCGACAACTGGCTCCAAAACTCCTGCCCAAAGGATGTTGTGCCACTCTGCTTCAAGCTAGCAAAACAAAAACAAAGAAATGTTCAGAAAGAGCTGGAAGGCAATCTTTGGCTCCAGTCCTTCAAGCAATTCACCACGGTGGAAGAAATCAACGAATTAGTGCAACTAGGGGAGATGCTACAGCAAATTCAGCTTAACCCGCAAGTGCAGGATGACATTGCTTGGAACTGGAATGAGAAAGGTGTTTACACAGCAGAAAGCGCTTATTTGGCTCAGTTTCAAGGATCCTTTGTAACACATGACTTCATTTCCATCTGGAAAGCACCTGCGGAACCGAAGACTCGTTTCTTTGGATGGTTGATCATTCACCAAAAAACGTTGACAGCGCAAAGCCTCCTTCGCAGGCATTAGCCTTGCAACTAGATCTGTAACCTGTGCAAAGAAGCTTTTGAAGACACAAACCATCTTTTCCGTTCGTGCATTTTTTTCGGAAATGTTTGTTCCCTGGTTAGTGCTTGGGGTGGTCTTCCCTCCTTGTCATTGCGTGATGACATTTGACTGTGGTGGAATGATATCAACTGCATCAAATCCAAAGAACAAAAAAGAGTGATCTCTGGAAGCCTTCTCACCACCTGGTGGAATATTTGGTTAGAGAGGAATAGAAGAATCTTCCAAAAAAAAATGAGGCTTCGGAGTTAAGAGTAGCTCACCTAGTAAAGGAAGATCTAGATATAAGAGCTTTGGCTTTTAAACCGCCTTGATCTCTAGACCGTTTTTTGTTTTTTTTTCCAGTTGGTTGAGCTCTGTCTCTCTTTATTATCTTTGTAAAACTTTGATTTCCCCCTTCTATGGCATTCCGGCAAATCTCCTGCCGTCGGTTACCTCAAAAAAAATTAGCCACAAAAATTATTGAGCATATCTGATTAAGTGATGTCAAATGTCTGTGCTATTTGTTGATTTATGAAATATAATATAAAATAGTAAGTTGGTTATGCATGAGAACATCTCAAACAAGCATTAGGTGCGATACTGCGAAATTTTGATGATTGAATAGGGCATGAACAATGTAAGCAACGGCGCCCTCAACCTCAAGGTGAAAGAGTGTGCTACATACAATTCAATATACTTGATTTATTTTTATTTACACTTTCATCCAAAATTGCGTGCAACTACCACTCTCCATAGAAAAAAAATAAAAAGGTTGTATATAAAATAAACTAGTTTAAAAAAGATGGGCAAAACCTTTGATGTCAATCAGATTCATGTCGAGGTCATGCTGAAGTTGAAGTTATCATCGAGAATCCATGGCATGCTTCCTATACATTAATATGATCTGCCATTTTACTGCAGTCTCAGATGAACCATGATATGGTTTCCTGTTTCTGTCATGTCATTTTTCTTGTTGTAAATGGCCTCATGTGTGGGTTCATACCATACCACAAAGTGCTCACCTTGATTCTTTTCCTAGCTGTTTACCTTTTGTAGTAGATTTCCTGATGATACTTCAACGGAGCAAAACCACTTTTCTTAATTGTTGCAAAATCACTTCTCTTAATTGTTTAGACCCATTTCCAATCTATGCAATTGATTATAATTCTCATGTTTGAACCTGCTCTTGGATGCAAATAATACTTAGTACACAGCTGTACTCATTTGGAACGTCAAGATTTTAATTGTGTGGCATGTTTTGTATCCCTATCTCAGAGAGTTGCCGTAGCTGTACATTGTGGGATTCGATCTGCATGTGTTCGGTTGCATTGCCATACCATGTTTCATCCATGCATGATTCCATGTCAAATGACATTCATGCGCTTAGCCGCAAAAATTAGCTAGACAGCTTATCTTATTAGGCGATGCCAAATGTCAGTGCTATTTGTTGATTTATGAAAGAAAAATAGTTAAGTTTGTTATGCATGAGAACCTCTGAAACAAGCTTTACGTAGGAAACTTTGATGAAACGGCACTGCACGGAATATGTCGTATCCGCGCATGTGAGTTCAATGGAACTCAAAGTCTACAATTGTGTGTGTTGGACGCATACGCGGGTGTGTGCGTGTGGTGTTGTGTGAACTTAGAATAAGTTCGTGTGCGTACTTAGTTGTACCTTCATAAAAAAGTAAAATGTAAAATACTGTTGTTTTGATACATGGTATATGCGATTAGAGCAAGTTTAATGAAAGCGCCGGCTACTGTCTCCAAAACAACCAAATTGGCCTAGTTAGTATAGCTAGTGCCAAAAGCGGACCACTATATAATCGGCTCTCTACGCATTTTTCACTGATAGCTTTTCTTTTTTCTAACCTCAGCTTTCACGGTATAACCTGTTGGAGCATGCGTGCATGCATTTTTATCTCTCATCTTCTTTTCCTGCCTTTTTTTTTTTGCCCTTTGGGGAGACAAATCTTTCCGTTTCACTTCCCCCTTGGGCCATTTGATAAAGTCATCCTTCCATCCAATATCCATATATGATTTGATTCCCATGGTCATGGTGGGCTGCTGGCTGCTGCTATGCTAGTGATCGATGGGTGAGTTGCAGGTGAGCTCAGCGCACAGCGCCGTGGACTCGCTCCTGGGGCGGCTGATCCGGATCCTGGAGGACGAGGCGAGGCTGCTCGGCGGCGTCCGCGGCGACGTGCAGTTCATCAAGGACGAGATGGAGAGCATCAACGGCTTCCTCCTCCACGTCCTCCACCTCGACCGCCCCGACCACCAGCTCCAGGGGTGGACCAGGCAGGTCAAGGACCTCGCCCGCGACTGCGACAACTGCGTCGACGTCTACATGCAGCGCCTCGCCGGCGCCGGCTCCGGCGGCAGCGCGCGGCGGCTCCTCAGGTAGGGGTGCAAGTGGGTTTGTCCGTGAACTCGCTTATAGGAAAAAAAAAGTGCGTAACCCACGGATTCGATTTACGGGTTAAATATTAATTTAACTTATAAATGGGTTTATGGATGGATCCACCTCTATATTTAGATACGGCAAGCCGGGTTACAACGAGAAACGAAATCACTAGTTAGCGTGTGCGCGCTGCCGGCGCGCGTTTTATGCCTAGAAGGCCCAGCGCCGGCGCGCGCGCCTCTCCACGCTTTTTTTTTTCGTTTTTTTCGTTTTTTTTTCCTCGCTTTTTTTCTGACTTTTTTTTATCTTTTAACATGTTTTGAGTTTAAAAGTTTTTAAATTTTGAGTAGAAAGTTTTCAAATCTCGAGTTGAAAGTTTTCGAATCTCAATTTGAAAATTTTCAATTTTTTCAAATCTGGATTTGAAAGTTTTCGAATCTCGAGTTGAAAGTTTTCAAATCTCAAATTGAAAGTTTTCAAAATTTTCAAATCTGGACTTAAAAGTTTTTGAATCTCGATTCTTTAGTTGAAAGTTTTCAAATCTGAGTTGAAAGTTTTTAAATTTCAAGTTGAAAGTTTTTAAAATTTGACTATAAAATTTAAAACTTAAATCGAAAGTTTTCAAATCTAACTTAAAAATTTTTCAATCTGTCAGTAAAAAAATCTCGAGAATATTTTCTTAATTATTATCATTAGTGTCAGTATATTAATAAATAATATAGGTAGTTAAACTAAAAGGGAGAAAGTGCTCGCCAACTCTTTTTCTTGCGCGCGCTAGCAATCCCCCGCGAGAAAACCCATAAATTATTTTTTATTTGACCTTAGCACCCCTATCGTCAGGCTCCTCACGCTGCCGGCACGCCGCCGCATCGCCACGCGGATCCGGGAGCTCAAATCGCGCGCCTGCGACGTCGGGGAGCGGCGGCGCAGGTACGGCGTCGTCGTCCCCAGAACCAGAAACAATGCCGCCGCCGCCGCCGCCGCCCGTCGCGGCGGCCAACGTGGGCTGGCGAAGAGGCAGCTGTCGGAGGCTGGCGGCGGCGACCACCATGCCGACGCCTCCTCCGCCGGCAACACCACCAAGCAAGATCACCGGAGGCGCGCGCTGCTGGAGGAGGAGACACCCGCGAACCTTTTCGCAGGTGAAACCGACACGCTGGTCGGCTGGCTGCTGGCTGCCGCCGACGAGCACCGACGGCCAAAAGTGATATCAATCATACGACCTGATGACGAGGAGCTCGTCGCAGCTGCCATTGATCCTGTAAAGCGAGCGTTGGATGATCCGCGCATACTTGAATTGTTCCAAATCAGGCAGTGGCACAGCGGCCAATCTCATCCCGGCTGGGTTTACCAAGACATGATGACACAAATACTCCCTATGATTCAGCACATGCATCGGGCGCTGGGAGGGATGGTATCCGATTACGACAAGAGGAACAAGAGGAGATATACGCGGCTGAAGAAGAAAAAGAAGAGAATTGTGGTCTCAAATTTTTCGAGAAAAAATCTGGGCTCAAAGGGGAACAAATTTCCTGTAGGAACGACGTTTGACGAGGTGAAGGAATTTATCGGTGGAACAGCATCCGACAAGGAGGAGGAGGAGGAGGAGGAGGAGGGATTTCTACAAGCAGCGGCAATGGAAGTTCATGAAGGATTTGCAATGGACGTTGCCAAGATTATTTCAGAAACGATGGCATCCGAGATGGGATTTCATCAAGGAATGACATTTCAGGAGATGATGGAGAACTTCCTGAAAGATAAGAGCTACCTAATTGTTCTTGATGATGTTCCTGATGAATCGCTATGGCGTGGCATCGAATCAGCTTTCCCCGGCAACACGGCTCACAGTGCCATCCTGCTGACAACCCGGTCACCTGCCGTAGCCTACTCCTGTTCACCACATGACAGAGTCTTCCCTCCTCTGGATCATCTCATCGACTTCTTCCATGCCAAGGCTGTCTCCCTGGTTGAAAACTATCCCAGCAACGGTAACCTGGATGAAGTGATTAGATCCATACTGTCAAAATGTGCCTCCAACTCCACTGACATGTGCATCAGAGCATTCCTCCATGTCCTTTATGCCAATCCTAACAGGAACAGGGAAGAACTTCAGGGCTTGTGTGATAGCCTGCATGATTCACATGGTTTAATGCTGGATGAAAACATGCAGCAAATCCTGATGTTCTGGTACAACGACCTGCCTGTCCATTACAAGAGCTGCTTGACGTATCTCTCTCTATTTATCCAAGATGATGGAAGCAGTAGCAACAGTACTATGATGATCAGGAGAACAAGCTTAGTCAGAAGATGGGCTGCTGAGAGCATAAACACAGAACGAAACGGGCAGACAGCGCTGGATGAAGCCGAGCGATGCTTTGGTGTGCTCTTAGCAAAAAGATTTGTTCTTGAGAGAGACATCGGCGCTTCTGGGAAGATCAAGAGCTGTGCAGTGAATGGCTTGATCTCAAAGTTCATCACCAAGGTTGCTAGAGAGGATAACTTTGTGGATGCAGATCTTCAGCCAGATTTTGCACACCGTGTTTCGATTTGGAACAGGAGTCAGCTGCAACAGGTCCTAGCAGAGCTTCAGGCTTCTCCACGCCCCAGTTCTTCCTCATGCTGGAACATGCGCAAGCATTATGATCAGCCCTTGGATGACCTCACAATTTTTCTGAAGTCATTGCCAGCATTCTCTCGGCTGGGATTGCTCAAAGTGCTGGATCTAGAAGGCTGTGATGGCTTAAAGGACCATCATCTGGAGAACATCTGCAAACTATTTCAGCTCAGGTATCTGAACCTTCGAAGAAGTAAGCTCACCAAACTTCCCAAGAAAATTCAAAATCTCCAGCAGCTGGAGACACTGGACATCAGAGAAACAACCGTGAGCTCATTCGCTACAAAATCTTTAGTTCTTCCAATGCTAAAACATTTGCTCTCTGGATACACCCAACAACAAAATGAACAGACCGAAAAATTTTCCACAGTGCGTATGCCACGTGGGATCGGAAGCATGACAAATCTGCAGGTATTGTGCCATGTTGTTGTTTCTGGCATAGAAGATGAGCTGATGGACATTGGGAAGCTACTACAACTTAGGAAGCTAGGTGTGGTCTTCCATGGTGACCAAAACAGCTTCAAGCACTTAGTCCAGGCAATTGAGAAGTTGCATAAAAGTCTCATCTCTCTGTCAATCCGTGTTGAAGTACCAGATGGATGCGAGAATTTTCCTGACATGAACATGGCAGAGCCTACAGCATTCTCATATCCAAAGCTTCTTGAGAGCCTGAACATATGCGGCATAAGATGTGGGCTGCCTCGTTGGATCAAGGAGCTCAGCCGACTTGCGAAGTTAACTCTTTGCGACACTCATCTAGGAGAACAAGATATGGCAGTTGTTGGCAATCTCAAAGCACTGCGGTATCTCCGGCTCCGGTGCAGGTCATATGTCCAAAGCAAGCTCACCCTTGGGGAAAAACAGTTCCAGCATCTCAAGGTTCTTCTCATCCACGGCGAAGACATTACCGATATCAGCTTCAGCAAGAATCCTAAGTTGGAAAAAATTGTTTGGAGTTTCAGGGAGATGAAATCCATTTCTGGAATTGAGCGTCTTCCGAGCTTGCGATCATTTGAGCTTCATGGTGACTGCAACCCAGATAAGGTGGAAATTGCTCTAAAAGATCACCCCAACCATCCAGATTTGGAGCATCATGGTAACCGTCAAGGCCAGGGAGACGCTGCTGGAAGCTTGGATGCTGATGCTGCCTCAACCTGTGCCTCAGTCTCAGCTCCCAACCATCCAGATGTGAAGCATCCTGATAACCGTCAAGGCCATGGAGATGATTCTGCTGCCTCGACCTCTGCCTCTGCCTCAGCATCAGCTCCCAAACACATCCAGAGTATTACTTGATTGATTCATTAATTTATCCTCAAATCAAGATGCATCTGTGGATAAAATCCTTGTCATCTTCGTCCTATCTCAAGTGCCAGCTCACCGAGTTTGATGAATTCCTTCTAGTGTCAATCCGTTGGCCTTTCCTGCATGTATGTCAAATTTCTTTAGACATATAATAGTTGTACTCTTCTGGACTCCTAATTTTCAACCTTATGTAAATTGTAATGCGTGCTTGTTTGTATGGTGTTTGAGAGCTGCCCTAGCTGCTAGTCATGATTTGGAATTGGATTTGCATGTATATGTGATTGTGTTCAGCTGCATTACCGTGTTTTCATGCATGCCACGTGATATGCGTGCACTTATCCACAAAAATTATTGGATCTATATGATTAAGTGATGCCAAATGTCTGTGATGTATATTGAATTATGAAAGAATTAGTAAGTTAGCTATGCATGACAGCATGAGAACCTGTCAAACAGGTACTAGATGAGAAAATTAGATGAAAAGGCCTTATATGGAATAGGCTGTACAAGGGCAACTAAAGTGAAATGCCTCTGGTTTTGACACCTGATATGTGGTTACTGTCATTAGGAACAACCACCAAAAAGAAAAAACAAGATAGATATCTTCCTAAGTTGCTACATAGCAAGATGGTTTTTTGTCAGTGCATCCCAAAGGGTTCTTTGTCAGTGCATCCCAAAGGGTTCTTAACCTGTGGGTAAAACGGATGCAGTGGGTGGGATGAAGAGACCAACTTCTCTGCTCAGTTCCTCTTGATCTTTGAAAATGTTCCAGTCTCAGAAAAGTAAGTGCTTTGTGTTCCACTGCCTAGCAGGTTCCCATGGGACTGGGGATTTGATAGTTCTATTCCCTGAACAAGAAAAAAAATGGTATGTTACAAAGACAAAATGATGGGAAGGGACTTTATGTAGAATCACTAGAAGGTACTCCATGTTATACATCAGGGAACACGTATGGCGCGAAACACACGACACTAGATTTGCAAGGAACATGTGATGCATGGTGCAGAATTAAATGCATGGCAGAACACATGGTTGACATGAATTCAAAGATAGAAAATTTAGGAACTGTTGGCCCTGACACTAGGGTAAAAGAACGGGTGTATGCATTCTTGATATATTGCACAAGCCAAGACAGCTTTTGTTACATCGGGGTATATGTCCTTTTATAGGAATTTTAGGTTGGTTGCTACCGTGACCGACCTGCTACAGTAACACGTTTTTACAGCTCAAAACTAGCTAGCTAGTAAATTTCCTTTTGAATTACTCCCTGCCGACATAACATTTTACAGCTAGCTGATCACCGATCTTCTAGTACATGTATGTTCTAGTGATAGCTCTAAACAATTCACTTACCATGCGTGCATTTCACCTTAGTTAAATCCAATTTGACTTTGTTATCTCAAGAACACAAATTAATTTCCAACAGGAACTTATTAAAAAGTACTCTGCAGAGCAAAGTGAAACAAGAAATGTTGGCATAGTCTTTTCCGATCCATCAAGTATGAGCAATCCAAATACCAAAGTAAAAAGAGCAATCTAGGTAGCAGTCAATTTCATATTCAACAATTGGATTAGCTGAAGGGCATACATGACTAAAATTATTTATCAATATAACAAGAACTCACCTGAACTGGTGTAAAGGCCAAACTAGACGTCAGTCCAGATGTTGCACCACTGCTACCATAGCTCTTCTCCTTGAATCTGATATTCGAAAAATAATATAGAATCAAAGTGATGTTGATGATTTCGTGAGAGGTCAAAACTTGAAACACAAGCAACATAGTTAAAAAAAAAATAACGCAGGAGGGTAGAACAGCAACATGGATTTCACTAGTGCTTTTGCTGGGCAACTGGAACTGGACGCAGTGCGAATTATATGTATGCAACAACAGAGAATAGTGTGAAGTTTTAACCTGCTTGCACATTTTCTCTAATAGTGTGAAGTATTAACCTGCTTGCATTGGATTAACAGTTAGAAAGAGAACTTCGCATTAGATATTATCCTGCGTCTAGACTCGAGTAAATGGGCACAAGCCGTCTCCGACTCTCAGGCCCTGTTTAGTTCCCAAAACAAAAACTTTTCACCCATCACATCGAATGTTTGGACACATGCATGGAGTATTAAATGTGGTTTAATAAAAAAACCAATTACACAGTTTGCGTGTAAATTGTGAGACGAATCTTTTAAGCCAAATTGCGCCATGATTTGACAATGTGGTGCTACAGTAAACATTTGCTAATGACGGAATTCGTCTCGCAGTTTCTAGGCGGAATCTGTAATTTGTTTTGTTATTAGATAACGTTTAATACTTCAATGTGTGTCCGTATATCCGATGTGACACCCATAAACAAAAAATTTTGCCATCTAAACCAGCCCTCAATCATGGTGAGTGATCCTTTTATTTTTGAAGTTGAACCATGTTTATTTCTTTAATATGTAAAGACAAAAGAAAAACATACTACAGAAAGAATCAAAAGCATACTTTTTGGCCACTTTAGCAGCAAGTTTGCTTTGCGCAGCTGATACACGTAGTTTCCCGCTTCCTGCCTGTCCAAGCATGCCATAGCCTTCCCCCAAGCCATCACCTAATGATAGCAAGATGTGATTATGTAAGAAATAGCCATATTTCCATCTAAGGCAGTATGACAATGGTGAAACTAAACACATAATGTTATGTCAAACTGGCATATCTATACTCAACACTAACTGACCTAATGAGCTTTCTTCTGGTACCCCAAACTGCATTCGGTTCGCAAGCTTCATCATGTCAGTCTGCGCATATCTGCAGAATCAGTTCCAAAATTTAAGACAAGGTAATATTGCGGGTCTGGCAAATCAAGTTTCAGCATATGGCACAAAACAATAAGTAGGTTAACACAAAATTAAGCCTGGGACTGTTTTATATTATCTGTAAAAGAGAACGATGAGCAAAGCTTACCTTTCTTTCATTTTCCGAAGCCGACGGCCTCCTCTCTTCTTTTTAGGCTCAGAGTCTGGAACAGGAAGTGGTTTTGGAAGCTTTGCAGGAGGCGGTTCTTGCCACTTCTCAATCTTCTTACGAATTTCTTCTAACAAGTTCCGGCCAGCTTTTCCAGTTGGATCACCTCTGATTGAATTGATTCTTGCAGCTAGAGTTGATTTTGCAGCTATAAGTCTGCAAGCACTAGTTCTCAGAGCTGGAGGTGTGCTCTGAAATACTTCAGTTTGTTCAAGATAGCCAACACGAAACTGAGATGTGGCACTAGAAAATCCAGCAAGATTCTTCTTCTTTGCCCCAAGTAACTGAACATTGCAAGCAGGCATTTTTGCAAGTGCTCCCAAACCACCAGCAGTTCCCATTAGTTTTGAGGCAACAGCGCTGCCAACAATAGCAGAAAGGTTTGGTGCAATGCGACCCATTCTGCTCTCGACAAAATCAAGCACCTTCTTCTTTGCAGCATCAAGAGTAAGGGCTCTCTCACATGCTTCAATGGTTTTTGCCAGATTCTCCTCAGAAAGAGGCTTCCCGTTAGTTGTTGATGCTGTCACTGACACAACCATTATAATTGCAGAAGGTAAAAGCCCTTCCAGGTCTACGAGTGTCAAATCAATCTCATTTCCAATCTTCTGAACAACACGGGCATAGTCAATAGGATGATGAACAAGGGATTCCAGTTCAGGAAACTTCAGTCTATACTTGTCGCGTATGAAATTATGTATTATAATGATTTCATTCTCAATATCTACTGACAAAGCATTGAAATCAACAATAAGCTGGTATTCTGGATCCTCCTCCAAGATGGACCCTTGATTGGAGAAGTCTGTGCCTTTCTGAAGTGCATCCTCAACTTTCTGCAAATAAACAAATGGAGTCATCAATTGTCAATCTATCATGCATCAGGAGTACGGCAATTTGTGCCTCAAAATATAAAAGAACTGGGTTGCCTGCCTACAGGGTCAATATTAATCCAATAGTTACACAAACCATTCTAACACTGAGCATAGTGAACTATATTCATTTTGCATCCTACAAACACCTCTCAAATTCTATTTATTCGAACAGAAGGCTACAGTGCTAAAGTGTTCCACGTAATTCGTCAACTTTAATGTTTCTTTTTTGAACTAGCAAACAATGTTCTGGACTTCTGGTGTAAAACATCATGGAACGCCATATGAATATGGTTTTAAGTTTGACAGGTAAACAAAGAAACGGCCTACATATGCAACATGTAGAACTATATAAAACAAAGTGAGGATTTATGAGTTTGATCGTGCACCTGCATTATGTCATTATAACACTGTGTCTTCTGCAGCTTTGAGACACTGTCAAGATCATCATAATTAAGAGACTCAAGGTCAAGCATATCTTCACCGCCATCCTCATCCATACCCACTGCCTCAGCATTTTCTTCTTCCTGAAAATTTTGACGATAAATGAACAAGCTCTCAAGAAGTATCGCTTATTAAATCTAGTTGCATGGCAGAAATAGAAATAAACTCACAGGATAGGCTTCATTGTCTGACAGTTCATCAAGATCTGCTAAGAAAGAATCAGCAAGGCTTGCCTGCGAAGTGGCACCAATCAGAAAAAAAAAAGGCGAACAAGTGACCACGGAAGAAAAGAACTTGCAAACCTTAAACAGAATATGGATTTAGCACAAGCTACTATCAAGCAGTTAGAATGTACTCACCATGATAACTCCTGCTCCAACTTATTGAGGAGGATCAGTACACCTGATTCATAGTGGTTATGTAGTCAGTGGCACTGTGCAAATAAAAAGAAAGATGTAGTAAGCGGTATTACTACCAAACTATTATTGTAGAATGAACATTGGCCACTATAAATATTAGTGTAAGCAAAGTTTTGTGACACATTTTCTAATTTACAACACGGCACTCCAAACAGTAAAGCTTTTTTGGGCAGAGAAATACGAAGTACATAATTAAACACTTAATTAACCCTTTGTTCTTCGGTTTATCGATTTGGTCTGCAATGCGGTTTCGCCAAAATTCAGCCCTTCGGCAATCCTAAAATTATGCACATCTAGCAAGGGGAGGCACCGAGGCAGGCATGAGATGTCCAACCGAGGATTTTAAAAAAAAAATAGTTAAGAAACTATACCGCTATACTTCGCATAAAATAAATCCGCTAAAAACTGATTGGTTTCGAGAATCCGTACCATAAACGAGGCCCGATTAGATTTATCACAGCAAAATAATCCAAACAGAGTAGGCTAGGGTTCGTCACCAACGACAGGAACAAATCCATCCGACTCCCAACGGATCTCAATTCCACACCCGCCCAGCATAAGCAAGGTAGAACCGAACCTTCGTCTGCGTCGATTGATCGCCTCTCCGCCGCCGCCGCTGCCGCCGCAGCCGCGCCGCCCCGTAGCGAGGATGAGAAGGAGAAGGAAGAGGACGTTGTGTCGCGGCAAAGGTATGTTTGGTCTTTTCTGAGGTTGTTTCCGCAAAAGTGCATCATGCGCAATATACACGAAGGGGCCTTTCTGAAAATTTACCAATGGGCTTGAGAAATCCATGGGCCCACATTAATTGGGCCGAATGAGAATTGGGCTCGCGTCAAGACCACAATAGATTGTGGTTGCCCTCGCCATCGCCGGCGAACTCGCTCGCCCACCTCCACCTGTGCCGCCGGCGGCGCCGGCTCTCCCTCCCGCCGCCGGCATCTTCGCGCTCCTCCGTTCTCGGCTCCCCGTCAGCTTGGTTCGCAGCGGTGTGCGGTGGCGTGAGGACGGGGAGCGGTTTCTCGCGGGGCCCAACGTTGCCTCCGGCGGCGGCAACGAGTCCTTCCTCTTCCAGGTGTGTTTATCTGGGACTTAGGATGCATGAAAGATTGTCTTCTGTTTGATTTGCGGCGCAGCAGCCGATGAGAGACCCTCGCCTCCTGGATCCTGGTAGAAGTGAATACTGTTAGTATACCTGAACAAGAATAGGGGTAGAGTGTGGATAGTACTAGTACGGAGTTATTATGTTGATTAATGGGTTAGAAACTTAGAATGCTGAGTTCTGTTTTTGCTCGGATTCATATAGTCTTCATTCTTCAACCTTCTAGTATCATGTCATGTCAAAATGGTAAACTTGTTCTTTTGTTTTAATGTGAATAGCTTACATTACAACATTATCGGGGAAAAGGGTGGGAAATGTTGTAAGCAGAAGCTTTGCTTTCCCTTTTTTTTTTCCTATCGCCACTTATTTCAGCTTGTGAGTGGTCGTGTTCTAGGTGTGGTTAAATCGTGAGAAACGCTCAAGGGTTTTTTTGGCTAGCTCCACAAGGTGGTGGGCTAGCCGGCCTGGGTTTGAAGCCTCACCCTTCTATTTATTTAATATTAGGTCATTCCCTAATATTTGCGTTTTAGGTGTGGTCAAATCGTGGTTGCTGAGCCCTTAAAGCAGTGCAAAAATCTCACCTGGTTTCTATCCACTGGAAAGAGTTGAGCATTGGAATTTAGAAGGCAACTTGGTTTATTTCCTTGCTGCTGTGACAAATTCTCACACAGTAAGTAGAGTCCTCAAAAAGAAATACTGTATTCTAGGTTTTTACCGACTGGGTTTATGACTCTCTTAATTTCTTAAATCTTTAGGTAATGGCAACAAGCGGATCCCTTGATGAGGTGCAAGAGATAAATGTGCACCTGGAAACAGTAGAAAATGCACTCGTGAAAACAGTGGTTAATGAGGATGATTTTGTCGATGAGGAATCAGGAAGTGATACTGATGAACAAGCCACAGAAGATGACTTGGAAATCATGGAACCAAAGGAAGGGATGGCATTTGCCAGTGTGAATGATGCTTTTGTGTTCTATGAGAGATATGCTCAGAAGAAGGGATTTTCTATAACAAGGAGAATCTCAAGCACTTTCCAATCCTTCACCTTCGCTTGCAGAAGACAAGACAACGCTCAATGCTCCTCAAACAATGCATGGAAGCATCATCAGAATGAATGTCCAGCTAAGATAATTGTGGATCTTGATGGTCCTGACGACAAATTCTTCTTATCTTCAGTTACGCTTGAGCACAATCACGATCTCAGTCCAAGTGAAACAAGTCGAATGGAAGTTTTCATATGTAACAAAAAACTGATTCGTGTGCTAAAAGAAGAAGGGTGTCAAATGGGAGAGCAGACAATCATGCCAACAAGAAGTCCAGTACTCCTTGCTTGCAAGCTGAAAATCGCCCATTTGGTCAAAAGGATCCCATGAACAATTTGCAATTGGAAAGAAAACTGAAGCTCAGTGATGCATATAGGCTTTATCATTACTTCTTCTGCATGCAGTTCAAGAATCCTAGCTTTTTCTATGCTTTGGACTTTGGCAAGGACTCCTGCCTGAGAAATGTTTTCTGGGCAGATGCAAGAAGTAGGGCTTCATGTAAATATTTCTCGGATGTCGTGACAGTTGACACTACATACTTAATGAACAAGGAGAGCATCCCTCTTGTTCCTTTTGTTGGTGTAAATCATCACAGGCAGCCGATTTTGTTGGGATGTGGACTACTATCAGATGAGACCACTGTGACCTTTCTATAGCTGTTCAAATCCTGGCTAGCTATGTCAAATAAGCCACCAGAAGTCATAATTACTGATCAGTGCGATGCGATTCAGGATGCTATCGAGAAAGTTTTTCCACAAACTTGTCATATATGGCGTTTACAGTCTGTCATGAAGAAGATGCCTGAAAATCTCAGTGGATTCTCAGGATTTCAAAGCATTGAAAATGCTTTTTCAACTGTGGTACATAATTCATTGACACAAACTGTTTTTGAAAACAATTGGAGTAAGATAATTGACAAGTTTGGCCTTCATGGCAGAAGCGCATGGCTTAATATGCTGTTCTGTAATAGGCATAAATGGGTGCCCACTTATGTGAAAAATAACTTTTGTGCTGGTATGTTTTGCACACAAAATAGTGAAAGCATTGGTAGTTTATTTCATGGATACATCAATTCTACCACAACGTTGGACGAGTTTCTGGACCAATATAATAAAACAATTGTGGGCATTGATTGTAAGGAAACTGATGCTAACTGGAAATCCTCACATGAGGTTGTACCATGTGTCACCCATTATGGCATTGAGAAGAAATTCCAGAAGGTTTATACAAATAAAATGTTTGAAGAATTTCAAGAGCAGCTAAAAGGTAAGATGTACTGTTATCCAACTCTTCTGAAACAGGAAGGTTCGGTTTACATATTCAAGGTGACGCAAGATGTTAAAATTAGGGAGCAACAATGTAGCTTGGATTTCACAGTGTGGTGGGACAGAGATGATTGTGATGGAAGATGTAAATGCACATGCCGTCATTTCGAATTCCGGGGAATATTGTGTAGCCACATCATTACCGTACTTGCTCTACTGAAGGTCAAAAAAGTACCCTCCAAATATGTATTGCAGCGATGGAGAAAGGATATGATTCGGAGACACGGTACCATTACTAACTGGTCCTATAATGAGATGGTCGACTCACCGGTTGCACGAAGGTTTGATTTGTTATGCAAATCCTTCTATGAAGTGGCAGAGAAGGCAGTGGTATCAAATGAACTGCTCATGTTGGTGCTGGATAGTGTTGAAGAATTAAAACGGAAGGTTGATGCACATACAGCGCAAAATTCATGAAATTCAGGTCTCTAATCCTTCACAGAGCAGACCATGAGGTGTGATGATCATGAAGCTCCCTTTCTCCTGACAAGAACAACCGACATTTTCAGCGTCCCCATGTAAGATATCTTTCTTCTAGCTGAAACATTTCGAGGGGTAATGAAACTACTGATTTCAATCTGTAATCTCAGTGATTGATATGTGTGAAATTATTGATGTGAAGTTACGTTCTGAAAATGCGTTCCCTTATAAACCCACCTTTAAACCATGATTATTGTTTTCTACATACTTATCATGGGCTTAGCAGTCAACTATCCAGCTGGTTGCAAAAGAACTACTACCAGTAGTACCAAATGGTTTGGTTAATACACGCAAAATACACTTTGGCATCTATATTTAGTTTTTGCTCTGAAGCATGAGTTGTTTGCTACATTTTGGAGCCATTTCCAGCTCATTTTGGGGCTATTTTTAGCATGGGTTGTTTACAGTTTTAACCTCACCAAATTTAGCTTGTTCTTGGATTAGATTCTCATATATCAGCGAGAATTCTTCACTTTGGACTTGCAAATCCCTCAGTTTGCCGGCTTTGGAATTCCAAAGGGAAAGTCACGATGAGATCCCTCTTCTACGTGACTTTCCTGGCCATTTTGTCCATAAACGTCCATTCCTCTGCATGCTTGCGCCTCCTAGCTGAAACTCCATTGCCGGTGATCCCAAATGGCCAGCCAGGAGCACCGGCGCCGCCCCCTCCGGCGAACATTCCGGTGAACTTGCCGGCCAACGTGCCACCGGAGATGCCAGCCAACTTGCCGGCCAACGTGCCACCGGAGATGCTGGCCAGCTTGCCGGCGAACCTTCCGGCCAACGTGCCACCGGAGATGGTGGCCAGCTTGCCGGCCAACGTGCCACCGGAGACGCTGTCCAAGATTCCGGCCAACGTGTCACCGGACGTGCTAGCCAACTTGCCGCCGGACGTGCTGGCCAAGCTGCCGGCGAACGTGTCGCCGGAGATGCTGGCCGACATGCCGCCGGAGGTGCTGGTGAACCTCCCGCCGGACGTGCAGAAGCAGCTCCCGGCCAACGTCCCGCCGGAGAAGCTGGTCGCCGAGCTCGCGGCGGCGGGGAAGAACCAGCCGGCGGTCGCCGCCGCCGCGGGCATCCCGCAGATGCCCAAGATGCCGGACTTCTCCGGCTTGACCGACCTGTCGTTCCCGCCGATGCCGTCGGCGAAGATGCCGTCGATGCCGCACAACATCACGCTCTTCGGGTTCGACGTGCAGATCCCCGAGTTCATCAACAAGATGGTGGATGAAGAAACCACTTAAGCTTGATCGAGCTTGGCAATGGCGATGGCGTCATCATTGCCTCGAGTTTTTGTGACATGGTTGGTGGTGTAAGTTGCGTGCCATTGTTGTGACCTGTACAGCTTAATTTCTCTGAAAAGAAGTTGTTTAGATTTTTGGAGGAAAATTAGTATGTGTTGTGTGTGGGAATATGGACTATGGTTTGTGGCCGTGTTGCATCTTTGCTCATTTGTGAATCTCCAAAAGTATCAAGGGATTGCCATTTTTCTGTATCTTACTATGGTTGTGTTTAGTTCAACGCAAAGTTTGGATTTTGGTTGAAATTGGAGATGATATGACTGAAAAGTTGTGTGTGTATGACAGGTTGATGTGATGGAAAAGAACTGAAGTTTAAATCACAGCCTATAACGACTTCTTGAATTCGTTCAAGAATTTTATGACATATAATGCGCGCTGATGTAATAATTCGAAATGCAATTGCAATAGTAATATGAAAAAAAAATCACAAAACGCGCGGTTCCCTGTAAATACCAATAGAAGTCTATCCGTTTGAACGGCGACACATCTAAAATGGAAGAAAAATTACTTTTATCAGCCTCTGGTCCATTTATTTTCTAAAAAAAAAATCTTTGTTAATCCCTTATCCACTTGATGTTACTGCTACTCGTCACCAGATGTTTCATAGGTCCAACTAGGGGAAAAACTGTTTAGATAGTTTGGGACAGAGATGGGATACTTGTTTCAGATGTCTTAAAAATTACTGCCAGTTTTGAATTTTATAATTAATTTATAATTTTTTTTCATTGTTTTTATATTAAACCATGGCTTTCAAATCAGGAGTAAAACTATAAAAGTATTATCTTATTTTTTTTAGAAACATAAAATAAACGCAAGTGCTCGCACTCACCCATACAAGCAAGTTCGAAAAACTTAGTCGGCGAGCTATGTTTACTTCGCTATAATTATTTGTTTTCAGTCATGTATCTTCATCTTATACATAGGAGCTGGAAAGGTCTGGTTTTACATAAGGGCAGCAGATCTTCTGAATTTTAATTACGGAGAAAGTTAGTGGCATTCACCCTAAAAAGTTTCAGTGAAAAAAAAATGATCGCAGATAGTAACAGCAGAGTGCCAAGAGGGCAGAGTACGAGAGGGGGAGGCAAGCAGAGTGACGTGACCAGAGAGCGCGCGACGAAACACGGCTCGATCCGACGTGGGCCAATGGCGCGGCGCGAAGCCTTATCCCGCGATCCGAACACCATCCACTCGCCGCGCCAAACACCACAAGTCCTCGCCACCGCCGCGCCCCCACTGCGCTCTCCTCTTCGTTATCCCGTCGCCACCTCGCCCCATCACCCTCTCCCTCCACCACACTACACCCCGCTCCACTCTCAGGCAGGCAATCAGCGGCGAGGCACCAGCCCACCGGCCGGCAATGGCGTCCACCTCCTGCTTCCTCCACCAGTCCACGGCCCGCGTCGCCGCGCGCGTCGCCTCCCCGTCCCCGGCGACACGGACCCACCTCCTCGTCTGCCGCGCCCAGAAGCAGGACGACGCCGACGTCTCCCGCCGCGCGGCGCTCGCGCTGCTGGCCGGAGCGACGGCGGCGGTGGGGGTGAAGGTGGCGCCCGCCGCCGCGGCCTACGGCGAGGCGGCGAACGTGTTCGGGAAGCCCAAGACGAACACGGAGTTCATCGCCTACAGCGGCGAGGGGTTCAAGCTGCTGATCCCGTCCAAGTGGAACCCCAGCAAGGAGCGCGAGTTCCCCGGACAGGTCCTCCGCTACGAGGACAACTTCGACGCCAACAGCAACGTCTCCGTCATAATCAACCCCACCACCAAGAAGACCATCACCGAGTTCGGCTCCCCCGAGGAGTTCCTCGCCCAGGTAAATAAAAAAAAATATTTTATCGTTTTAGACATTGACACGGTCTCTCTATAAGATAAAGTAGAAATAGTTCTGAATTAACGATTGCTTTCTTGTTCAGGTCGACTTCTTGCTTGGCAAGCAGGCCTACTCCGGCAAGACAGATTCCGAGGTAACGTATTTGATGTTCGAGACAGGATTTGGTCAAACTTTTCGAAACTTTACATACATGAGAATGCTATAGTACGCTATCATGTTCAGACAGGATGATATCTCGTAGTTATCGGCTGATACGGTATCATCCCGTCCGAACAAGGTATCAGACATCTTGTTCGAACGGGATATCGTCTTGTAGTATTTCCCTTTAAATATGATGTTTTTGCGAGAATGTGTTGTGATGTGTGGATATGCGATATAGGGTGGGTTTGAGTCGGACGCGGTGGCGACGGCGAACATCCTGGAGAGCTCGGCGCCGGTGGTGGGAGGGAAGCAGTACTACAGCGTAACGGTGCTGACGAGGACGGCGGACGGCGACGAGGGCGGCAAGCACCAGCTGATCACGGCCACCGTCAACGACGGCAAGCTGTACATCTGCAAGGCGCAGGCCGGCGACAAGAGGTGGTTCAAGGGCGCCAGGAAGTTCGTCGAGAGCGCAGCCAGCTCCTTCAGCGTCGCATGATCGTCGAAATCTCTATCTCAGCTTCTCTTTAATCCCTAGCGAATCAAAATCAAATCAATCGAGTTCGTTGCTCAGAGAGATGCAGTGCACGCATGTGTGTGTGCGTGTGTGTTTCTTTGATTGTACATGAGAATTAAGAACAAGTTAAGGAGAGAGGTCGATCCATCGATTTCCCCTGCATGCAAGGATTGATTTTCTGTGATCCGTGTGTTAAGTAATCCTAGTAATTAATCATGTTTCATTTTTGTATCTATGTTAATTTAATCCATGCTTGACATGACACTCATATATATGTAGGAGCTGCTTTATTTAGTTTAATCTAGTGCATTTTCATACTTGATGCACAGCTATGCCAATCGGAAGGATAGGATAGCGAGAAGCAGAACCGAATGGCCATTGAAGTTTTCAGTTCCTAATTAACCTGAAGTTTTGTTTGGCTGAATTTGGGGGCGGAAATTGGAAATTGATAGTTTCATACACCACCATTTGTCCATTTCATATTCCAGCTTCAAATGGGCACTGAACTTGTCCAGATTTCTAATTTGCTATGTTTAGCTTTTGAATTGGACAGTGCATGCTTGATATAGATTTGAATTATTGAACCTGAACAAGGTTTTAATCTGCCTACATCCAATTGAAACATATAAGCTGATTTCAAGATTCCAATATTTGAACCTGAACAAGGCTTGCATTTGCCTTCAATCAATTTGAAAAACAGTACCTAAGGGTCTGTTTGGTGAGCTTAAGATTCTGAGAAGCAGCTGGCTGGTAACCAGCAGCCAGCTTATGAGAATATGAAAAAGGTGGGTTTCCCAGTTTCTGTCTTCTATTTATTTTCTGGATTCCACAACTACAGCTTCAATCTGAACCAAAAGCTGGACTGTTTAGGGGAGTTTCTGATTCTGGTAGAAGCTGCATTAGCTTAAAAACTCCCCCAAACATCTTCTGAAATCAGCTTTTGCTATTCAATAATCGATTGACAACCAACTTCTCTACCAAGATCAAAAATAGGAGCAGTAGTAGTAACAGACAAAACTTGGCGTTGTTGCGTTGGCGCGACACGTCATCCGCTCTGCTGCACGTCAGAATCCGGTGCGCATCCGGCGAACCACGCCGTCTCGCGGCGCGTTCTGCTGCTGCCGGCGAACGGACTGGAGCGCCTGGTCGACCATCGCGGCGAGCGACACCGGCGACACGGCCGTGCCGCCGGCAAGCGCCCGCTGGTAGGCCTCGTCGCGCTCGACGTCCTCGCCGTCCAGCGCCATGCGCACCAGCCGGCGGACGTCCCGCGGCGTCACCTCGAGCTGGTCGTCGTCGTCGAGCTCCGCGCCGTCGGAGCGCGCCGCGAAGCCCGACAGCAGCAGCGCGCCGTCGCTCGGCCCGCCCTCCCGCGCCATGGCGCACCCTCCGCCGCCGTAGACGCCGTACTCGTCGTCGTCCTCGTCGCTGATGAGTACGCCGTCGTCGTCGTCCTCTGTTTCCCCGCACACGTCGCTGAGATCCATGTCGCTCCCGATCTCGTCGTCGTCGCCGGCGCCTCCGAACACGTGCACCACGAGCAGGACGTGCAGGCGGAGCTCGAGCCCGGCGATCTCCTCCTCCGGGCGACCCTCGCACACCGCCCGGACGCGCGCCGCGGCCTTCGACACCTCCGGCTCGACCTCCGGGAGCAGCGTCTGGTGCTCGATCCCGGCCAACATCTCCCGGAACGCCCGCTCCGCCACCGAGGCGCCATCGTCGTCGCGATCATCCGCCATCAGCTCGCGGAGCGGCGCTCGGCAGATCACGTCCTCCATTGTGTCCATGTCGTGGTCGACGACACCGTCGGCGTCGTCGTCGCTGTCGTGGTAGCAGCAAGCCCGCTGGACGAGAAGCCGTAGCGTGACCGCCGGTGGCGCTGTCTGCTGCTCCGCCAGCGGCGGCGGCGGCGGTGGCGCGGCCGCTGTCTCGGAGAGTAGCACCATCTTGTGAATGCCGAACACTTGGCAATCGAGCACAGTTACCGCCGCCATGGCTGCGTTTGTGAGGATCAGAGATGTGGGTTTGTGCTACTTAATATAGGCCGCCGCCGGCGCCGAATGTTTTAAATCTCATTCGGATTCGGATTACGAGTCCGAATTGGGAAAGGAAACATTGTAAGGGGGGGCGTGTTGCAATATTGCCTTTCTTTAATCTCCACCACCTATACTTGATCAGACGGTGTGGAATAAGGTAATACTCCCAAAATAAGCGTAATCATAAATTTTCGTGTCCAACTTTTGATCGTTCATCTTATTTATTTTTTTAAAAAAAACTAAAAAACATAAGTCACGCATAAAATATTATTCATATTTTATAATCTTATAACAATAAAAATATTAATCATAAAAAAATTTAAATAAGACGACGGTCAAAATTGAACATGGAAACTCATGGTTGCATTTATTTTAAGACGGAGGTGTAATAATTTAGTACGTCATTTTTCACAAAAACCCTTAGGTAAACTCAAAATCGAATCGGCACGGTGACGCGCTCGGCTCTCCGGCGACACGGCGACGGTGGTGCCTCCAACTTTCTCCGGCGAGCTCTGCCTTATCCGCCGCGACCGAAGTTTGGAAGTACCGAGCGGAGGCGGTGGGGGCGGCAGCGATGGCTCAGGGAGAACCGCATACGGCGGCAATGGCGCCTCCGCCGTCGCTTGCTTGGATACCCAACATCCTCTTGCCCAGTAGAAATTGCTCCCTTAGGCCGCAGTCACCCTAACCTGGAGCCTTATTACGCCTTAACATTGGGATTTGGGAGAACATGAGATTTTATTTGTGATGAAGATTAGAAGATTTGACTTTTCTCTTCTTCTTTTTATTTTGTTCAGGAGTCAATCGGAGTAATTAAAGATGAAGGCGATCTGCTCGCACCAGAGCGCTCCGAGGCTTTTCTTACTGGCATGTTCGCTTCCGGTGATGGCCACATCACCTGGTGCACGAGCTGGCAATTTTACAAAAAGTCCTCGCTTAACTTGATAATCTTTCTTAAGTCTCTAAATGTAAGTTCACTGTCTTATGTATTCTTATGTAAAGGCCCTCTAGATCCTGATATATCTTATGTGAAGGTGAAAAAAAATTCAAGTATAGGACCGCGTTCTGAAAAAGAGAAAGTAAGGGAGTTTTCTGCAAAATTTGATGAATGGAAGGGTCGAAACTGAGTGATTGCGTCGATGAATACTTCATATCAACGGCGGCAATGAATAATTCAGACAGGAGACCCTCTCTGTTTTTTCTTCTTGAGGGAAGTAAGCAGAGTCCTAGTTCTTTTGTTCAGGTTTTCTTCTGCATTTTTTAATCTAATGAGATACGATATGCCTGTCGCTGTCAGGTTAATTATCATATCTCCCGCGTTCTTTTTTCTGACTTGACCTGGTTACTGCAGCGCGTGTTGAACAGTTCTTTGGTTGCTGTCCCAACACGATAGCCCCTTGAGTGCTATAAATTCAGCCCCAGATTACAGCTGCATATGCTACACGCATTGTTAGTTTGCATGCAAGCTTGATCGATCAGCTTCAGAGTTTGGATCACCAAGAAGTTCAGAATCCTCCCAATTCGTTCTTCATTTGCAGCAGTAATTCATTATTCATCCACCAACATGTCTGCTAATCCCAACCAGTCGTTCGACGATTTCAACAAGCAAGCCTCCAGCAATTTCAACTCCTTCCTAGCCATCGTCGTCGGTGCGTGAAATCTCGGCAATTTGTACATGTTTTTTCTTTCTTTTGTTCTTTTCAATTTTCAGTTTCTTGTTTCGAGATGATGAGCTGGTTTCACTGAGATGATGCTTGGTTTTGATCTCTGGTGATGCAGTGCTTTCAGTGGTGAGCATTGCTGGATCAGTCGCCATTGTTTACCTCGTGTACAGATGTGTCAAGAAGAATGGCCTCCCGGCCGTCAACATCAACACCAACCCGACGGCGGCGGCGGCGATGTACGCCGTGGTGCCGGACTCCCAGATACGCGACGCCACCGTCGAGAGGTTTCTCAAAGAGATCGCCGGCGAGAAGCCCATCCGGTTCACGGCGCAGCAGCTGGCCGGATTCACGAACAACTACTCGGCCCGGCTCGGCGCCGGCGGCTTCGGCACCGTGTACAAGGGCATGCTCCCGAACGGCCTCACGGTCGCCGTGAAGCGCCTCCACGTCGGCGGCCATGGCGACGGGTGGTCGACGTCGCAGGAGCAGTTTATGGCGGAGGTGGGCAGCGTCGGGAGGATTCACCACATCAACCTCGTCAGGCTGTTCGGCTTCTGCTTCGACGCCGACGTGCGCGCGCTGGTGTACGAGTACATGGACAACGGCGCGCTCGACGCCTACCTGTTCGACCGGAGCCGCGCCGTCCCCGTCGCGACGCGGCGCGCCATCGCCGTCGGTGTCGCGAGGGGGCTCCGCTACCTCCACGAGGAGTGCCAGCACAAGATCGTGCACTACGACATCAAGCCCGGCAACGTCCTGCTCGACGGCGGCCTGACGCCCAAGGTGGCCGACTTCGGGCTGGCGCGGCTGGCGAGCCGCGGCGACACGCACGTCTCGGTGTCCGGCATGCGCGGCACCCCGGGCTACGCCGCGCCGGAGATGTGGATGCAGGCGGGCGTGACCGAGAAGTGCGACGTGTACAGCTTCGGCGTGCACCTGTTCGAGATCGTCCGCCGGCGGCGGAACCTCGACGACGGCGGCGAGCCGGGGAGCCAGCACCAGTGGTTCCCGATGCTGGCGTGGAGCAAGCACGAGGCCGGACACCTCGCCGAGGCCATCGAGGGCTGCGACGCCATGGACAAGCAGGAGAGGGAGACGGTGGAGAGGATGTGCAAGGTGGCGTTCTGGTGCGTGCAGCAGCAGCCGGAGGCGAGGCCGCCGATGAGCGCCGTGGTGAGGATGCTGGAAGGGGAGGTGGACATCGACGCGCCGCCGGTGAACCCGTTCCAGCATTTGGTCGCGTCGCCGGCGGCTGCGCTTAGGTGGACAAGCACTACAGATTCAGCTGAAAGTGATAACTCATTGAGATCAGGGTCTCGTCAGTCTGCAGAGGTGATCATTCCAATTGGATCATTACATTGTTAAGAGCAGGTATAATAGCAGGCTATAATCCAGCTATAAACATATTTTAAATAGATAAAGGAAGAGAGAGAAAAGCAGTGGGCTACAGATCTGTAGCCAGCTGCAGCACAAACTCCAAGACGTAATGTGTGTATGACAGGTAGGACCGGGTATTAATAGTATAGTAAGGAACTATTGTATGAATTAGCTATTACATTAGCTGTAGATGCTTTGGAGTTAGTAGTTGGCTATACTATTAAACTTGCTCTAATCAAATACCATTACGGTGATAGCACAGAATGTGACACATCCTAATTTTATAAATCTGGACAGACGTCTATCCAAAATAAATTAATCTCAGATTAATTAACTTATTCTGAGGAAGTAGTATGTGGCAAAAGATATGGGTGGAGTTTGGAGCTCGTAGAGTGGAGTGGTCGTTGGTTTGAAGCAAGTTGGAGAGGAGATGATGAATGTTAGGCATTGCGCAACACCATAAAGTTGTTTGGATTGACATTACCTCTGTATTAGCGCTTCTCTTAATTTGGATGTTTCCTGGAAGTTACAGTTGCACAACTGTTAGTTTTTGTTGAAAGGAGTATTGCACAGTTTTGGTCATGTACATGTAGGATGTAGAGTGTGGGTTTTAGTTAATCCATTATCTAAAAGAGAGTATTGCACAAATGCACAAATAGTGGCATCACAAGTGGCGATGCTACTGATCTACTTCCCTTTTGCTTGAAATGTCAAACAAGGGTTCCACTTATATATCCTTAAAGATATATATATGCATCTCATCACACTTGAGAGATGGGCTCTAGCTCCATGAAGTGATGTATTCAAACTAATACAAGTGATAATTCACCTACATATTTGTTCAAGTTTTTTTCAATTTTTGACAACCCCCATTTAGGGAACTCCCTAAAAATATTTTCTCCCCACATTTTTTTTCTCCAACCCAATATCTAAATCCCACCCTCTGTATTTAACTTTGTCATATGTTATTGATTGCCTACAAATATCTTTATCTTTAATAGCTATATTTTTAATGGATTAATATATGTGGTGACGATTGGGAGGCAGGGGGGCAGGAGGCGAGAGGAATGTGTTGGCTGCCAGAATTCTAAAAACAAAAAATAATGAACTTAGCAATGATAAGTTCCAATTTTTTTATAGAAAATAAATCCAAATGATAACGAAGAGGATGAGCATGACGAGCAGAGGGGTGGCATATGGCCAGCTAGCAAACCAGCAGGGCACATGGTGGCTAAGCAGACTTTGAAAACCACTCTCTCCATTTTAAAATAAACAAACATCGTACTAGTATGTAACGCATCTTAGACTTCTTAGTTCAACGAATCTAAATATATAGTACAACTAAATTTGTAAGATGTATCACATAATATTCAAGGTTAGTTTATTTTAGGATGGAGAGAGTATGAATGAATCCATCAATAATAACGTTCAATTTTTAAATGTGCAGACATAGAGTTAAGGCGACAACAAACGAATGGCAGGGATTGTGACTTGGGATAGGGACCCTTTGGAGTTTGGAGCACTTTTTTTTATTTGGTGCTCTTTGGAGATGTTGTGACAGTGTCGACCGTACATTTTTCAAACTAGTTAAACTAATTTAAATTTTATGTCTAATAAAGTAGTGAAGAGGTAAATATATGTGATATATCTATCCAAGTATAACAGAAAATTTCAGCGAACTATGGTTTTGTTTGATCCTCCGGACTATTAAATAGTCTTTCAGAATCTTACTATCTAGGAGTATTAAACGTAGATTACTGACAAAACCCATTCTATAACCCCTAGACTATTTTACGAGACGAATCTAACGAAGCATATTAATCCAGGATTTGCTACAGTGATGCTACAGTAATCATCCGCTAAGCTATGTCGCAATCACCTCACTAGTCACAGAGTTGGGATAAGCTTGCCTCTCTCTCAAGAAAAAGTTAATCGCCGGCTAAATTTATTAAGATTTGCAAGGCCGTGTGGAGCAAGGCACAAGGCCGTCACTCTTCACATGCTTTCATCAAAACACCAAGATTACATCACCTGCTTCATGGCGTCGCCTGCCGTTTACGGTGTGCACCCTTGTCATCGGTTTCCATGATCATCTCATATATTCTCTCATCTACTGGCTGCTTGATTTCGATTATATTGAGTTGCTTCCTCTTGTTTGATTTTTGCATTGATCGATCGGTGGTCCCTGCAGTGATTGCCACGATCATCTTCGTTGTGGCGTTCGCGGCGTTGCTGGTCAAGGTGTACCGGGGCGCCGAGAGCTGCGGCGCCGCGGTGGCCGCCGAGATGAAGGCGACGGCGCACTACGCCGTGGTGCCCGACGCCGCGATGCGGAGCGCGACGGTGGAGAGGTTCCTGTGGGAGATGGCGCACGAGAAGCCCATCCGGTTCACGCCGCGGCAGCTCGCCGGGTTCACGCGCGGCTACTCGGCGCGGCTCGGCGCCGGCGTCTTCGGGACGGTGTACGGCGGCGCGCTCCCCAACGGCCTCGCCGTGGCCGTCAAGGTGCTCCGCGGCGGCATGGACAGGAGGAGGTCCGAGGAGCAGTTCATGGCGGAGGTGGGCACCATCGGGAGGACGCACCACATCAACCTCGTCAGGCTGTTCGGCTTCTGCTACGACGCCGCCGTGCGCGCGCTGGTGTACGAGTACATGGGCAACGGCGCGCTCGACGCCTACCTGTTCGACCTGAGCCGCGACGTCGGCGTCCCGGCGCGGCGCGCCATCGCCATCGGCGTCGCGCGGGGGCTCCGCTACCTCCACGAGGAGTGCGAGCACAAGATCGTGCACTACGACATCAAGCCCGGCAACGTCCTGCTCGACGGCGGCATGACGCCCAAGGTGGCCGACTTCGGGCTGGCCCGGCTGGTGAACCGCGGCGACACGCACGTCTCCGTGTCCGGCATGCGCGGCACCCCCGGCTACGCCGCGCCGGAGACGTTGATGCAGTCCGGCGTGACGGAGAAGTGCGACGTGTACAGCTTCGGCATGCTCCTCCTCAAGATCGTCGGCCGGAGGAGGAACTTCGACGAGGCCGCGCCGGAGAGCCAGCAGTGGTGGCCGATGGAGGCGTGGGCCAGGTACGAGCGCGGCGAGTTGATGATGGTCGACGACGCCGCCGCCGCCATCAATCATCCGAGCGACGAGATCTGTAGTGGCAGCGACGGCGAGGCCGTGGTGACCGTGGCCGAGGCCGACGACGAGCGGCGGTGCAAGGAGGCGGTGGTGAGGATGTACCAGGTGGCGTTCTGGTGCGTGCAGCAGCGGCCGGAGGCGCGGCCGCCGATGGGCGCGGTGGTGAAGATGCTGGAGGGCGAGATGGACGTCGCGCCTCCGGTGAACCCGTTCCTGCATCTCATGGCGGCTCCGGCGCCGGTGCCGAATCCATGGGCGACGACGACGGCGAGCAGCGGAAACGCCGTCTCAGAAAACGTCGTTGTTTCTCACGGAAGTGACGGAATCGTCTCGCTTTGACTACTGAAATCTTTTGTCTGTGCGTGTGGGTCGCCACGACCTCGTTTCTTTGCATTCTACAAGTAGATTGTTTATCACTACATCATAATACTTCCTCCATCTCAAAATATTTGACGCCGTTAACTTTTTTAAAAATGTTTAACCGTTCGTCTTATTAAAAAAAAATATTTGACGCCGTTAACTTTTTTAAAAATGTTTGACCGTTCGTCTTATTAAAAAAATTAAGTAATTATTAATTCTTTGATTTATTGTTAAATATTCTTTTATGTATACATATAGTTTTACACATTGCACAAAAGTTTTTTTTAATAAGACGAACGGTCAAACATGTTTAAAAAGGTCAACGGCGTTAAATATTTAGGGATGGAGGGAGTACTCATTAGATTTGGACCAACAAATCTTACAAAACTTTCAACCAGTGAATACTACGTTTTCAACAAAAAAAAAAGAACAAACATGTTAAAAATAGTAATTCTAGAGACAAAAGCAGTTGTAAAATCAATTTTTTTATAATATAACTGAGTGCAGATACACTGTAACTATTTGTAAGTGTTCTATAGTATATATAAGCGTTTTGTAAATGAGTGTAATTGTAAGTTGGGTCTACATAAATATAAATCTTTGTGCAGATCTTACAGACAAAAAATAAAGAGGCTGCTATATAATGGAATCCCGTTTTCGAACGGAATGATCCCGAGTAGGTAACAGGTGTGATACCTATCAAGTATCAGACGATTCTACACAACATGATGATCCCGAGTAGGTATCAGGTGTGATACCTATAAGGTATCAGACGATTCTACACACATTTCAGGTGACACTTGCAAGTATCATGTGATATTTATCAGGTATCATGCGATTTCTACCACGTATCGCGTGATACTCGCGAGGTATCATGTGAAACCTGTCAGGTATCAGACGATTTCAACCACGTATCGTATGATACTCACGAGGTATCATGCGATACCTGTCATGTATTAGACGATTTCTAACACGTATCGCGTGATACTCGCGAGGTATCATATGATACTTGTCAGGTATAAGACAATTTCTACCATGTATCGCGTGATACTTACGAAGTATCGGATGATACCTACCAGGTATCAGGTGATTCCTACTATATATAGCTGGGCATCCCGTTGGGGGAGGAGCACCCCGACACGTGCGGTCGGCCCCCTGCAGATGTCCCTTGTAGATGAGGACGGCGACGGCGGCGGTAGGGGACGAGCGCGGCGGCGGCGGGGGATTGCGACGGCGGCGGTGGGGCATGGACGCGGCGGCGGCGGCGTCGTCGACGGGGGACGGGTGCGGCGGCGGTGGGGGATGGGCACGGCGGCGGCGGAGGCGACAGGGGACGGGCGCAGCAGCGACGGGGGACAGCGACGGCGGCGAGTGAGCAGGCCTGGTGCGTGTATGGATAAGAATCACGTTATGGAGGAGGAGCTATCCCGTTGGGGGACGATATCCCGTCCCCTAGCATTCCCGAAAATAGAAAAGGGAGCCAAAAATTCCATCGCAAAGGCTTGAAGGGCGCCGATGGACTAAAACGGATGGCGCGGAATCAGGTGATCGATCGGACAAAGACGACGTACAAAAATCTCTTCACAAAAACATCTTCAATTTTAATAATAGTAGTAGAAGTAGAGATAGAGACTATGGGCCCACATGTCTGTAAGACAAATGATAAAAAATAGCGGGACCCACATGTCAGTGGGCCCCACCCTCCTCCCTATCTCCAGCAACTCCTCATTCGGTCATTCCCCTTCTCCCCCTTCTTGCCGGTAGCTTCCTCCTCTGGCTACTTCTTCTCGCCAGCGGTGGCACCGGCTGCTGTGAGGAGGCGGCGGCAGCGTCGGCTGCTGCAAGGAGGAGGCGGCGTCGAAGGCCTCGATAGCCTGGTTGGAAGCCTTCACGCCCTCGAAGTCTGCTGCCATGGCACGCTAGGCGCTGAGGATGGGTTCGGCGGCGGTGGCCGGTTAGCAAGGGAACTCAAAGAGGGAGTAAGGAGGGCCGGGAGGAAGCTCGAGGAGGGAGCGGGGCAGCTGTGTCAGGAGCCTTGATGGCCTCGAGGTCGGCGGTCATTGAGCGCTCGCCGCTGAGGATGGGGTTCGCAGCAGTGACTATGGCGCGCTCGGCCTCCATGCTCGGCCGCTATTGTCCTCGTTGGCGGCAGCCGGTTGGCGAGGGAACCCGAGGAGGAAGGAGGAAGGGCCGGAAATAAGCTCGAGGAGGGAGCAGGGCGTCGGCGGCAGTGGAGGGACGGAGATGGTGGCGTGGGTCATCGGCGTGCGCAGCGTGGATAGCCGCACCCGGCGGTCGCTGATGCCTTTCTCCATCTCCGCCCCTCCACCGCCGCCACCGCCCATGCTTTTGCACGGAGTAGAGGGTGGAGAGGGGGGTTTGGAGTCAGCTATAACTTAAAAGAGTGAATTTTATGGTCCATATAGAAAAATGAAAGCTCGGTGTTGTGAAAAAATCATTTTAATATTATTCTTCTCCAAATAAATTTATAATTGACTTATAATTATGATTATCCTTGCTCTGTGGGAGAACCTATGGACTCGGTCTCTACCCTCTCTGTTTATATTATATAAGTCGCTTTGAATTTTTTTAAGTCAGACTTATTTATGTTTAACTATATTTATAGAATTTTTTAAATATATACTGATCTGCGATAACAAATTAGTTTCATTAATATTGAACATATTTTGATGATATTTTGTTTGAAATGTTACAATAATTTTCTATAAACTTGATTAAACTTAAAATAGAAAAACAAATAACTTATAATATGAAATGGAGACGGAGGGAGCACCACAAAATTAACAGCTAGTAGCTAGCAAAATACAACTCGGTCGACAGCTTCGGACTCGGTAATTCATACGTATATATAATCAATGTATACGATCGAGCCAGCTATAGAGATCCCAAGCACGTACGTACGCACAGATCTTAGACGTACGCGATGCCTGCTGCATCCGATCTTGGGCGGGACGTCGTTGTTGTACCTCCAGCCGGCATCATGGACGACGATGATGAAAGCACCTGGTCACCATGGCCGGATCTCCAGCCGGAGCTGGCAGGCATGGTGTTCTGCCGGCTGCTGTCCCACGGCGACCGCCTCCGCTTCCGAGCCGTGTGCCGCCGGTGGCGCCTCGCCGCGTGGCAGCAGCACCCTCTGCCGCCGGCGCTCCCCTGGCTTAACTTGGACGGCCGCATCACCTACCAGAGTCTCCCCGACGGCGAGGTGCACCGCATCCCCGTCCCCGACGAGCTCCAAGCTGGAGGCACGGTCGTCTGCCGCGGCTCGTTCGATGGCTGGCTCCTCTACGACCGCAGCGAGCAGCTGGAGTGCTTCCTGATGAACCCAATCTCCAAGGCCAGGATTGATCTGCCCTACCACTGGCACTGCGACGACGACGACGACGCCATCCTCCCCGACTACGGGGAGGAGAAAGAGGGACAACGAACCATGTGCTTCGGCGAGAACGCCGTGCGGAAGATCGCCGTGTGCTCGCCTGATCTCGTCGCCGCCGTCATCGCCGGCTCTGGCGTTTTCTTCTACCGGCCGGGAATGCACTCAACCTGGCTGTTTGCCTCCGGCGGCCCCTGCTTCGCGCGCGACATAGCCTACTACAATGGCAAGCTCTACTCCATTAGCAGTGACGGGGAGCTTTTCGTTCACGAGTTCAGCGATAGCATCAGTGCAGATATCGTGATCGGCATAGCTCCTCAAGCCTAGAGTTGTCAAGGCTACAGTTGGCGGAGCACTTTTTACCTCGTCATATCGTGCGCTACTGGAAGGCTGATGATGGTTCGATGGCGGTGGCATCTCCCCATATTTTACAATGTACGCCGTTGGGGCGTCGACGAGCTGAGGAAGGAGATCAAGCTGGACGTGTTCGAGGCAGATCTGGAGAAGCGCAGGTGGTTGGAGGTGAAGGAACTAGGTGACCAAGCTCTCTTCCTCGGCACCTCCTGCTCCAGGGCAATTCTTTCATCGGATTATGGCAGCTGTATATTCTTTTCGAGCTTAAACATAACCAGATTATGCTCTGATGGGATCATCAATGGCATTGGTGACTGCGCCTACTGTGTGTATGACATGAAGAACGACACATTCAGATTTGATAATCCGGTGTCCATAAAAAGGGAGGGGTTGTCTTATGGGTCGGATGGAAGATGGAGAGCTGACTGGTTCTTCCCATGTGAGTGACCTTTTTTTTTTTTAAAGATGCGCGTGAGTACATGCTTGTATTGTATATATCTTGGCCCGTGGCATCTTTAAAATTTGTATGACAAAATATAGCACATCTATTATGTACCCCCTCCACATAATAAATATTATGCACCCCTTCCTTCCACGTCAATCAAAGCGTTCGCACGTCGGGCAGACTCCGATCAATTGATCAAATCCACCTGCTGACTTCCCCCATGCTATCTCTTTTTAGGTCCTTCTCGTAGAAATGGCGTAATAACATGATGACCAAAGTACACCTGCTGACTTCCCCCATGCTATCTCTTTTTAGGTCCGTCTCGTAGAAATGGCGTAATAACATGATGACCAAAGTAGGAACATAACTGCTTTATCATAGTAACAATGTTAAAATATAGTCACGATATCATGGTTATTGCAAGAAAACACCCGCCCAAAAGTTGAAATACTGCAAAATCTGAAGGATCGTAAAGGGCCTTTCCCACCCCAAAAGCTAGCCGTTGAGGTGAGGGGTTCCTCCACTAATATCTTAGGTCATTTGCCCTTCCACAACCAATGTGGAACTATTCAACAAAATCTAGATTTAAAATTGAATCAGGAATTTTTGAGGTTTTCGGGGAGGGGATTTTGAGACCTTGGCACATAGATCGACCTTAAAGCCACACCAAGAACAAAAGTTTTTGAAGTGGTCCAGCCGCTGCCGGAAGTAGCGCGTTTCGTAGTCGTACCCTCTCACCGCTTCTTCGGCCCCCACCACCCCACGTCGTAGCCGCGCGTGGGGCACCGGGAAGCGGGGCGGCTCCCTCGCCATGGCCGACGCGGTAGCCGCGCGCGACGACACGAGCGCGCCCACGTCGGCCGAGCAGGACAAGGAGGCGGAAAAATCGGAGAAGTCGCCGCGCTCGCACGCTGCCTCCGCCGGCGGCCATCGCGGCGCCGCCCTCCCGCCTCGCCTCGGCCAGCTGCAGAGAAGTGAGAGAGAGAGAGAGAGAGTGAGAGAGAGATGAGGAAGGGAGAGAAGAGGGGAAAGAGAGGGTGACGTGGACACCTGGCATGTGGGGTCCACGTGGGTCCCACGCTGACTCAGCGCCACGTAGACCAAAACCGGGGTCAAAACCACCGAAGGATCTCGGGTGACCGGTTTTGTATAGTTAAGAGACCCCACATATCTGGTTTTGAGGTTCGAGGATGTTTTTTAATCCCGACGACAAGGTGAGGGACCTTCGGTGTACTTTTTCCGTTCCAATGGGTTGTCTGGGAACACCCAAGAATTTGGCCCATCCCGGCGACGGACGGCCCAACGAGAAAAAAACAGCCCAGTCGCCCTAGGGGAGTCAGGGTTAGGGTGGCAGGAGGCGTGCAGGCGGGAGTTTTTTTCGTTTTTAGATTATTTTTTTTAATATTTACAGAAATAATCTATCGACCAAAAAAATTGCAGAAATAGCCCCTACCGCCCTAATGGTGGGCGGCAAGCTGACGTGGCAGACGGTGGGTCGACCGCGCCGTCTGCCGTCGTTGGCCAAAATTGCGATTAGGCCCTTGCCGCCCATACAGAGGGCGGCAAGGGGCTAATTGTAATTTTGGCCGCCCATAAAGAGCTTGCGGCCGTACTTTTTCATCTGGGTCCTTTGCCGCCCCAATAGAGGGCGGCAAGGGACCCAGATGAAAAAAGTACGGCCAAAAGATTTTTCTATGTTATGTTAATAATAAATAAAGAAGTATTTATTGGTAAAACTTGTTAATATTATTATAAAAATGTATTAAAGTTGGTTGTTGCGCAATTTCATATGTTAAGTGAGGTATTATTTTGTACCTTATTCGACGTATTAGTACTCGGATAATTTATATAGGCGCCTATCGCAGTCTGGGTCGTAGAAACATTATATGGACTTAAACAAGGAGAATTATGTAACATGAAGAAATAGTAGTACAATTTGAACATGATACGACTATTTGCATTGCGGTTACATAGATTATATTAGATTCGAACTAGGAGGGAGGTAGTGCAATAGTTGAACACAACGACGATGTAGTAATGGGACAAGGAAGCATGACAGTAGAAATTTCAATATGCCAAGTTGTCCGATAATAGCTAACCCCTACGTGAGGATCCCTCTCCTCTCTCAAACCGCGCTTTAGTAACCCTGTATTGCTCTGGTAGTTCAAGCTGTACAACACGGCTAGGTGGAGTTAGAACCTTTCTGGTGTCTATCCATTCTCTGTATTGACATCTCCTTGGTGGTTCCTGGGAGGAAAGAATAGATGTAAAGCAAGCAAAGTTAGTAAATGTTGTGAGAAAATAAGGATTCATGTAATCAAAATATTCTTAACATATATGTAGAGTTCAATAATATAACATAACATTACGTGTCGAAGTCCGACATACATCAGCATACCTAAAGACGTTAGGCGCCTTAGTCCGACGTTACATCACGAGACCTAAAGACACGACATGCCGAAGTCTGACATTACACGACGAAACATAAACACATCGATAAGTTCGAAACGAATTACAAGCAAATCCACATGCCGACATAGAACATAAGAACTACACCACATAGCCAGACGTGGCACGACGACGCCTAGGACGTGGTCGAGTGGAGGTAGTGCCTTCACCCGTAGGGCGAGCTCCATCTGCTGCTGATCCTGATAGTCCTGCCTCCGCCGCACTTGGTTTCTCCTTGTCTTTAGGATAATGCTTGTAGGTGTGCCCATGTTCATCGCATTTGCTGCAACGCTTCACCCTGCCAGCCTCCGACTCGTCCATATCGTTGCGGATGCGACGAGTCCTCCTCCTTCCAGCCTTGCCTCGGAGCTTCGATGGGTCAGGAATATTGAGTACTTCATCGTTAGTCTCTGTGAACTCCCCAGCTATGCCGAACCCATAAATCTCGCCGCTCCATGTATGATATATTGCTTGCTTACTGAAGTACTGTGACACATATACTGCATCTGGTATGCCACACTCCGCTGCGGCAGCAATGACATGGCTGCATGGCCTGTGGAGCAGCTTCGGCTTTGCACAAGAGCAATGACATGTGCCGTCGGCTTTGAGAACACACTCCTGCTTCACTCTCTTGCGGTAGATACCCCTGCCTGCCTTATCTTGACATAGTATCTCAAACCTGTGCTGTTGGGTACCTTACACTAGAGCTCGATGTTTCATGGCCTTTTTACGCAACTCCTCTAGCTTTTTCTGCATGAAAGCTCCAAACAAAATGCTTTGTTCGGCATAGAGGGAAGAACTGCCTGGAACCGATCCCTAAAATACCTGCATGTCCCATGTAAAATGAACTCCACTATGCCAACTAGTGGCAGTCCACGGACACCGCGCATCACCTAGTTGTAAACTTATGCCAAATTTGTTGTCATTATTCCATATCTAGCACCACCTGTGTCATACGCCTTGGCCCATTTCTCTTTTGGTTCATGCAGAATCCACTGAGAAAATTTCCGAATCTCCAATACAGTTCTTCTAACCAATGTTGGACTATCCGTTGGGAGAGGTCCAAGAGCTTGAGGAGGGTCAGCAACGGCGGTCGATGGAGCCGCTGCACGCTGATCACTACATTTGGCTGTCAACTCATCTAATCTCTTCCAAAGCTCATTGAATTTTTTCTCCTGGTTCTGATTGCACAGCCTCTTGAACATGTTCATGAGCTCCTTGTTCTTGAATTGCTTGAAGAAATTAGCTCCCATATGACGCATGCACCACCTACTCTGTACATCTTCCCAAACACCGGGGTATCCTCGTTCCATACTCCCAAACTGCAACTCTTCTATCGCTCGCAGAATGCCAGCGTGCCTATCATGTATCAGGCACACATTTGGCCTCATACCAACAACTTTTGTTTTAACCAATTTCAGGAACCAGTACCAGCTGTCGGTATTCTCACTCTCAACAAAAGCAAATGCCAAGGGCAATACCTGATTGTTCCCATCTACCCCTATTGCTGTTAGTATCTGGCCCCGATACTTTCCTGTCAAGAATGTCCCATCAATGCAGAGAACAGGACGACAGTTCACGAATGCCATCTTGCATGCATGTAGAGCTAAGAACGCCCTTTGCAGCACACTCTTGCTAGGATGTTCAATTGAGGGGAATTTCTTCAATTCGTAAGAGCTCCCAGGGTTTCTTTCCTCGATAACACCAAGCAGGCGTGGCAAATTGTCATACGAGGCTTCGTAAGTTCCAAATCTCATCTCTATTATTTTCTGTTTGGCCCTCCAAGCCTTGGCATAGCTAATAGTATACTTGTATGTCTCTTCGATGTGTCGGATTATTGACCTTGGTTCATATGTGAGATTGTCGATGACATGCGCATACATCTCAGATGCAACAAATGCACAAGTAATGTTCCTGTGGTATTTCTGAACACCAGATAGAAAACATGTATGCTTGGTAACGACTGACACTGTCCAATAATCCTTCCATTTCCCCTTATACGCGTGCACTCTCCAGGGACAACCATCTTTTTCCTTAATACACTGAACTTCATATTGCGACCGGTTCGACTTGGCAACCC